CTACGGGGAAGGATGCTAAGGGAACTCATTTTAAACACTGCATTTAATCTTGAATCATTTAAATGAGATGTCTAGCTGGTGGCTACCCAAGTGGCCAGGGCAGACTTTGTCCTGGCCCAGCTCAACCTTCTTCCAGTGTCCAACCCTGCTCCTTCTCCCTCTTCCGAAACCACATGCATCCAACTTGACTTTATAATTACTCTTTGGCTGGGGGTGGGGAGGAGAAACATACAAAGGTAAAACAGTAGTTATAAACACCTTAATGAAACACACCCAGTTACATATCCAACACGGCGAAAACACACACACACACCCCCTAACAAAGCTGCAGTGGCACAGTAGCTCCCGCTTGCTGGGAAGCGTGGTGAGGCAGAGATAGAACAAACAGCGCTCTGTACCTTGAAGTCAGGGGGTTCTCCTCTCGGGCCCTCAATGGACCCTTTCACTTTTGGGGAGCTGGCTAAGCAAGCAGGCGGAGCTCCATCAGTAGCAACACTGCCCGCTCCACAGATCTCTGCCACTGTCGGGCACTCCACAGTGCCAAGCACCGCATGCACACGGGGTCATTTCCTCCCCTGCACAGCCCTTGGGGAGGTAGGGAAGACACATGGGGAAGCTGCAGAACTTGGCTCAAATGCCACCACCTGTCCAGGCGCAAAGTCGGACTCTCAAGTTAACGGGTCTTAAAGCTCCGGGCGCAGGGCAACCCGGAGGGGATGTGCACAGCCAGGGCAGGGACCCCGCAGTTCTTACTTCTCGATCTCCAACGCTGCCACCTTCCGCTTTTCGTAAAGCTTGTCGTTGAGGGCCCGCACGATGTTGGGCGTGAGCGGCGCGAAATCCTTCTCTGGGTTCATGGTGGTGAGCCTCGAGGGAGTCCTGCAGCCTCCGGCTCCTCAGCCCGCGGCAGCCGGGACCGCGCCGGGGCCACGGGGGTCTGCGGCTCCAAGCTGCCGCCGGTGCCGGCTCATGGACCACGCCGCCCCAGGACCCCCGGCTTCGCTCCGCCGCCGCGCGTCACTTCGGAACCCCAGCCCAGACGCCCCTCTCGCTCCGAACACCTGACCCCTGCCGCCTAAAGGCTCACGCGACCAATCGTGCCCGGCACCGGCGGCGCTCACGGGGTGGCAGCCATGTTACTCGGGTCACATGACTCCGCCCCGCTTCCGCCTTCCGCCGCGAGGATCCGCCCCCAGCCCACCACGCCCCCGCACGCCGGCCTCGGGAGGCTTGGCCACGCCCCCGGAGCTCCACCCCTCCACTCAAACTCTTGGCGCTGAACCCCACAGCGTGTAAAGTTCGCCTGCGTGGGGCCCACACACTGATGCTGCCGGCTTTGCACATGGTTGGAACCCTGGGTTGCCAGGAGCCTGAGTTGTAGTCAGTCTAACTTATTCCGTATTTATTGAATAGTTCATGGCAGTGCTTTTCAAGTGGGAGTAAGGCTGCCATTGTTTATGCCTGTAATACTCTTGAACTGCTATTTTCTTCCAATCAACTAAAATCTAAAATTCTTACCTTACCCTTACTTATACCCTAAAATTATCAGTTTAAATAGATGGTTATGGATTTTGTTTGTCGCACTTTAAAATGAACTCTCAGGTATCCACAGTGGCCGTGGTTTTACCCTTTGGGTGTGGGATATGTTCAGACAGGCAGGCTCTGACACTGCCCAGGGCAGGAGCTCCAGGTCTCCAGGCGGAGCTGATGGAGAGCAGTCCCTTCTGGTAATTTCAAAATTAGATGGTGGTACAGAAATCACTGCCGCATGGTAAAAGTTTACAAAGCAGTCTGTGGCTGTGTTGCAGTTGAAGACGTAGTAGCAGGGAGCCCCACATCTGGCTCTCATGTGACCCTGAGGGGCTGCAGTCTAGCCCGGCTCTTGCAAGCACCAGTGGGTACTGGAGTCTAGTGCAATTTGACCAGTCTGGCCTGCCTGCGGACCCAAGCGTGCTGATGGGTGCTGCAGCCTTGTCCAGCCCAGCTCGCTCACATCCCTGGCTGTCACACTCACCGAGGGGAACTGCAGCCTAGCAGGGGAGTCCCCAGCGTTCCCCTTAGCAGGCTGTTCCCATTCCTGGGACTTGTGTTTGCAGGTACTTTGACCCAGCCTGGCATGGCTCACCGGCAGTCTCGGCTCTCACTGGCGGACATTGCAGCCTAGTCCAGCTGAGTCCTGGATCTCATGCATGCCAGTGGGAGCTGTGGTCTAGCAAGGGAGTCCCCCGAGTTCCCTATCAGGTCTGCTGGCAGCCCTAGATCTCACATGTTCCGGGGGGTGCAGCAGCCCTGCCTGGCATGGTCTGCCCTCAGTCCTGGCTTTTGCATGTGTTGGTTTTGTGCTGGTGGTCCCGCCCACCTCCTCCCAGCCGCAGCTGTGTCGGATGGGCTCCTGTCAGGGGAGTTCTGTGGTGCAGCGTGGCTCAGTCAGGTCGCTGTCCCCAGCTCTCCACACAAGCCAGCTGTGCTGCAGTCCCACAGAGGTGGGCCTACAAGTCCACTACAGAATCCGCCCCCAGATCTGGTTCTCTTGTGTTCCAGTGGGTGTTGTGGCTCAGTGTGACATGCCCTTCCCATGATACTGGTGGGTGGGTACTGCGGCCCAGCCCAGCCAGGCATGCCACCCAGCTCCAGCTTTTGTGTACACCAGGAGGTGGCAAGTGCTGCTATTTAGTCCAGCCCAGGTCTCGCACATGGGCAGGCTGGTACCCTTGGCCTGACCCAGACATGTCCTCTGGTCTCAGCTCCCTTGCCTATCTGCACGTGCAGTGGCCCAGTCCATGGAATATCCTAGAAATCATTCCTCCCCTGTCAAACATGCCCTTAGCTGCTCCCAGACAATCTTCCCAGGGCAATCTGCAGCACCCGACCTGGGGCTGGGGCCGGGGTGGTGTGTCTTGGCCCAGTGTTCCCATCTTCCCCATATATCTTTAAAAAAAAGCAACTATGCTGGCACAGTAAACACAAATTTGGCATTCAACAGTTTCATTGAGGACTTTAGCCGCTAGGCTACTGCTCTGGACTCAAGCCTGTGTTGTTTTAGGTCACTAGGTTTTTGGTTGTTTATGTTGCTGGAGAAAATGAACACAGGGGTCAATCCCAAATTCAGTAAATCTTGGAGAAACTGTGTCTGGACAGCTTCACAAAAAGCACTTTTTCCTACGCTGATGGGAGTTTGCAGTTGTTAAAAGCTTTTCCAACAGGGTCTGACGAAGGCAGTCAGTTACAAATGACACGAAGACTCCCCAGGTAGACGCTTTGGCAGAAAAGGTACATTGTCTAATGGTTTCGTACCTTGACAGAAAGTAGCACCGCCAAGGACCTTTCTGAATGTGTTACAAAGTTTGTGCTGGTAGGACTTTGGTCATGATATGTGAAAAGAATTGAGTCAGTGAGAGTGATTTAGGTCTGTTTCCTCACGGTGTATTCATTCCCACCACCATTGTATGTAGCATTTCCATCTGTTTGCTTATGGGTTTGACTTTTTCTTAAAAGTGAACTAAATTTCCCAAGGGTCATAGCATGACGTGGTTTTTTAATAACTGAAACAATGAGGAAACTAAACAAAAAACATTTTTTTAATCATAAGGTATTCTCTCTTCCTGAAATTACATCCTAGCTCAGGTTGCTAAGAAACTGGTTCCCTCTCATCCTACTTCTGAGTTAGAAGCTCCTGCAGAGACGTGACGGTCTAGGAAATGTTGATAACTGAGCCATGTGTCCTTGGCTGGCAGGCAGGGGTGCCAAGGGTGATGGTGCCCTTGCCCTGGCCGACTCCACCAGGCTCACACTCTTCGTGCCCAGGGGGCGACTGAGAAGCATGCTGGCACGTTGGCCAACATCTCACAGTGTTTATTCACCTGCGTCTGTGTGCTGATGCCTTGTTCGTACAGTACTTGGAAGAGTGAGAAACAGTTGGGGGCGTTATATAAGACATTGTCCCCCAGAGTTTGAGCAAAGCAGATCCTCTCTAGGGCTAGTTGACCATAATCATCTTTATCTCAGCAGGTGGTAGCAGCAAGTACATGCTCCTATGAAGACACACCACAAGGCCCTGGGTGGGGGCAGAGCGGGAAGGAAAGTGGCAGCTGTGGAACCAAGGCTCTGGGTTGAGGCAGGGGCCCCCTGGACGTAGAGCTTCCAGAGTGGTCCTACCGAAAAGCACGGACTTCAACTGTCACCCTTTATGTGTGCACAAAATAGCTGCAGCCAGCCAGCTGTGACGCGGTCCTTCCCCTGGGAAAGGATTTATGACTCAAGTGGCCAAGCGCGTGTTTGAACCAGGTGCAGTATTGGTTCTCAGTGCAGCAGTACGAGACCTAGGTACGTGATGGACAAGCCCTTTTCTGCATCAATCAAGTCAGACCTGGGGAAGGGCTGAGTTCTGTGTGAGAAAAGTAGGTGACTGGATGTGCAGGTCGACTGATAACAAACTGCTCTCGTAGGAAAGAATGAGCCAGGGGCACCTTCAGCCTTTTGTTAGGACTAATGCGGATGCTTGACAGACATGCCAAGACCTCCTGTGTGCAAGAGCAAGCTGGGGACAGTCCTAGAGTCGTGGAGTTCCAGTGCCTGATGCATTGTTGTCCCTTGGAATGTTGCCTACTCATTTCCTTCCCACAGTAGAACTACTGTCACCTACCCTGTGCTTGGAACTGTTATGGATTATTCTGACCCTATGGAGACTCAGCTACTCTGTACTCTGCACACCTGCTTTCCCACCGTTTGCACTACGCGTTTGTAAAAGCATAAAAACCCTCACTTTGTCTCAGTGCATCATCCTGCAAGATGATGACTGCTCTGCTGCCATAATAAAAAAATTCAGTTCTGCAAGACCTCATGTCCTTTGTTTATTAATCCCCAACAAGGACCCGGCCCTCAGTGAGAACTTTCCTGGGGGAACAGGTACAGGATTTGAGACTGATGGTTTAACAAGCAACAGTGAAAGGGAATGGGAACATCCCAGGATGCTCTGATGTTATGTGTTCACTGCTTTGAATGTGATTTCTCTGACTTGACTGAGAAAGCACAACAAAATATCACATCAATGTAGTTATGGCCAAGGGCTCTTTGAGTCAGTATGGACTGCATAAAGAGATTGCATAGTGCTGCACGGTAAGACACCTGTCCTTTCTTGTTCAAAAGGAAGATTTCTGCAGAACACTTGAGCTTTGCAGTTGTGCCAAGGGAAAAAAGATTCAGAGACTTGTAAGGATTCAGTGAATGAAATCAGAATCTACTGGGTGTATGCACCTCTAGTGACTGACAGGACATTTACACTTCATAACTGCATTTGGAAAACATAGGAAAGAAATACTCAGCTCTATGAATGAGGATGAAAAGATGACAACCCCCTTAGAAATATTATGTTTCCCCTCACTCTATTGTCAGGCTAGGACAACATACAGCCCTCGAGGCCAAGGAAACGGCCTTTGGGGGGTTCTGGCCACCACAGGATTGTCACTAAGGGGTTATCCCCTTCAGGTAATAGACCCACTTGATCCCAGTCTCACTGCCTTCCCCAGGAGGGCAGGAGACAATCAGCTTGGAGGTGATGGGGGTTTTGCTGCCCGATGGGTTTCCCTCGAAGAAGACTGTGATGTTGTTGATCTTCTTGGGCCGCGTGGTGTCTATGGCGCGCACGGTGAAGGCCGGGTTCTCCACGATGTAGGAGAAGTTCACGGTGTGGAAGAAGATGTTCTTGAAAGGAATGATGATGTTGTACCCTGCTCGGATCAGGAAGGGCCCCTGGGGCTTGGGGGGCAGAGCCATGCCAAAGAGGGGGATGATGTATTCCCCACCCATGAATGATGACAGAGTCAGGATGCCCTTGGTTTCACCCAGGTGGCTGGGCTCGAATAAGACCTCCACGCTGACTTCTGTGCCGCCCTGGGCTCCAGCGGCTGCACTGATAACTCTCTCCGTGTGGAAGTCTGGGCAGTCCGTCTGGAAGGGCAACAAAGGAATGGGTGTTTGGGTGAAGCTGGACAGATTATTAAGCTGGCTGCTCCAAGCTCACATACAGGGTACATACTGCCAGTTACTATCCCTCCTCTGCTACCATGAAACAGAAGTAAACAGATGTCAACAACATGCCCAAAGACACACGGCTAGATTATGTGGGCAGGGTGGTCCTTGGGCTCTGGTTCCTCTTTCTTCCCACGGTCATGGATGATGGAACATTCTGACTCCTTGTGAACATGTTGGGCTAGTTCTGGACAAGTAGCTGTAGGCAGAAGTGAAAGGTGTCACTTCCACGCTAGAGCCTTATGTACCCGTACCTGGGGTTGTTTCACCCTTCTGATGCTTCTGGGCGTTAATAACACCCTTCTGGGTGTTATTCTTGGGCTGAGCGGCATCTGACGTGTACATGGAAGGCCGGGTTCTCTCACAGTGTGTGTGATGGAAGTTCTTGAAAAGGATGGTTATGTTGTACCCAGCTCAGATCAAGAAGGGCCCCTGGGCTTGAGGGAGCAGAGCTATTCTGAAGAGGGGATGATGTATTCCCCAGCTGTGATGAGGGGGTCAGGATGCCCTTGGTCTATGAAGGTAGCTGAAGTGGGGGTGATCCTTCGGCTGGGTCCCCGGGTAGCTGTGAGGAGCAGAGTCCCCTGTGCATCCTTACTGGACTAACAGCACATGTGAGAGCTCAACATTCCCTTTCCCAGCTGCCAAGCGCCTCGCATAGCATAGCTTGCTGTCTCCTGATTGACAGGATGACCAGGAACTTAGGCCACTCTGAGGCTGAGGGCCCCTGCTTTTCACCAGGCTCTCAGTCCTTGAACCTGTGGTCACTCTGCCTCTGGAACCATGAGCTGAGGAATCGTTTATTCTTTATACATGACCCAATCTGTGATAGCCAGGTATTGCAACAGACAATGGGCCAAGGCAGGAAAACTGTCTCCATGTAGCGATGAGCTTAGACAGCTTAAGTAAATTATTCTTACAAAAAGTGATGAAACCAGGATTCAAGTTCACATCCGACTTCCCACAACATCCCTTACTTGTGGCCACCAGGCTACATTGCCTCCCATTATGGACCCTGAAAATGCCATGGGAGGTAGAATTCTCCACCCATGTCCCTGGCTGGGTCTGGGTTGAAACAGAAACCTGTGCAGGAAGAACCTGGGCCTTGGGCTCTCCGTGACTAGCTGGGGCTTTCCAGGCTTAGATTCAGCACCTCCCCGCCCCCCGGCAGGTGTCGTGGTAACCATGAGGCTTTCAGCTCTTGGGGTTTTTTTTCCTCCCCTTTGGCATCCTCCCCTTTGCTGTGAGTTCAGACTTCCGGGGAGGGAGGGTGTGCGGAGAGTGGGGTGGGGGCCGCTGACCTTGCACAAGTATTCCGTCTTCTGCCGTGTATAATTGGTGAACTTGGCGAAGATGCTCTGACTGCTGCCAAGAACCGTCTGGAAGTGGACGGGCTTTTCTGGGGGCGCTGGCACCGCCTTCAAGTTGAGCTCGTACTGGTAGTAACCCAGATCGCTATTGTGCAAAGTCAGTCTCCCCGTGGTCTCTCCAGCTTTGAGGGGTTGGAATTCAAATGAGAACGTGCCCTGCATGGGAGGAGAAAGGCAGGGTGTCACACGGGGAGTCTGGCCCATCCTGTGCCACTCGGGGGCCTGTGAGACCTCACGGGGGCTGGTGGCAGACGTAATGCTACACAGGCATGTCCATGCCCTTCCTGTTACTGTCCAGACAGAATCAAACCAGGACCAAGGTCAGGGTTAGTAACAGCAAAACAAGAGAAACAACTGAAATGCAAGGATAGGGGATTAGTTAAATAAGTTTCAGTGGAATCATATAGAGCCACCGAGAAAGACTTCGGATCTAAGCACAATCAGTTAGGGCCTGGTGTGGTAGCGTAGTAGCTAAAGTCTTCGCCTTACACGCACTGGGATCCCCTTTGGGCATTAGTTTGTATCCCGGAGGCCCCACTTCCCAACCAGTTTGTGGCCTGGGAAAGCAGTCGAGGACGGCCCAAAGCTTTGGGACCCAGCATCTGTGTGGGAGACCTAGAAGAAGTTCCTGGATCCTGGCTTCAGATTGGTGCAGCACCAGCCATTGTGGCCACTTGGGGGTGAAGCATCGGACAGAAGATCTTCCTCTTTGCCTCTCCTCCTCTCTGTATATCTGATTTTCCAAAATAAATAAATAAACATTAAAAAAAAGAAGAAGAAGAAAAAGAATCAAGTAGGGCCCAGTGTGGTACCTAGTGGCTTAAAGTCCTCGTCTTGCATGTGCTGGGATCCCATATGGGTGCTGGTTCTAATCCTGGCAGCCCTGCTTCCCATCTGGCACTCTGCTCTAGCCTGGGAAAGCAGTGGAGGATGGCCCAAGGTCTTTGGACCCTGCACCTATATGCACAGCCTGGAGGAGGCTCCTAGCTCCTGGCTTCATATCAGCTCATCTCTGGCCACTGTGGCCACCTGGGGAATGAATCAGTGATGGAGGCTCTTTCTCTCTCTTTTTCCTCCTCTCTGTATATCTGACTTTCGAATAAAAAAGAATTAAATCTTTAAAAAATAGAATCAGGTAACATGGACAAACGTATAAACACAGGGCACAGATGATGGAAGGACATATCGACATATTGTGTGGCAATTCTGAATGCTAGTTCACTATTTCAGGCCTTGGGATGACTGTGGTTCACTCCAACCGGGGTCAGAGGCTTCTGGAGGATGCTTCTGGAAGCAGCACGTGAGCGCACGTATGCACACTGGACACTCACATAGCCGGCTTCCCTTTTCAGCATGTATGTTCTTTGCCAGTCTTACATCTCGCACCTGTCCCCCCGCCCCACCAAAAACCAAAACAACCAACCAACCAACTTTGGCTTGAATGAGACAAACAAATACTAAAGACAAGGCTCATAATAAAGATGTCTACTTTGGCCAAACTATGTGCCCCTGCTTCGGCCAGGCTTGTACCTCAGAGTTGGCGGGCACGGAGAACTGGGAGGGCAGGCTGATGTCAGGCACCCGGCATTCGGTGGCGAAGGTCACGGAGTAGGGCAGGGGGTTTTCCACCTTGATGGAAGTTGTGGCACTCTGCCGGACGGGGCTCGTCATCTCGAGGGTCTTGATGACACCGGACGGGGTGACCCTGAAACTCACCATGTAGTACAGGAACTCACTGGTCACCTCGTTTCGGAAGATCACCTGCGTTCCCAGGGAGAAGGGAGAGGGAGGGTGGGATTAAGCAATGGGCTTCTGCACATTTTCAGAAGCTCCTTCTCTGTTGGCCCTGCCTGGAACACGGAGCCTGAGAATCCAGATGGCACGGCTCTCCCAGCCCCTCTGCGTCCCTGCCCACTAGCCTTTCTCTGAGGCACGTCGGTCTGGCTCTTCAAAGTGGGAGATGAAAAACCTGGGTTTGCATGAGATGATGGACCAGAGCAGTGTGCAGTGCCAGCAAGCCCTCCTGTCCCCAGTGGGGAGGGTGAGAGGAAGCAAGCCTCAGGAAGCTCAAGGTGGGGTACGCTTTATTCCTCCCATTCCTATTGCTGCTGAAACAGTTTCCAAAACCACCATACCAAATGGGGACTAATAAGTAATTGTTTTCATTGAGTTGCAAATTCCCTTTTATGGATTTTGCCTTTGCTTCACGATTCCTTGATTCTCAGATTTTCTTTAGAATCTTGGCTGTGCATGTGGCTCTGAGGAGGGCTGTTTGTGGGACTGGCGTGTCTTGAGTGGTTTTTGCCAGTGTCCGTTCTGTGTGTGTGCGTGTTTCTAGATAGTCTTCCTCCTCCACACTTTAAGATCTCTCTCCTGTCAATTTCAGTGCAGTAGTGGCTTCACCTACTACCTGTGAGCGATGATCCTCCCACAGGTTGCCTTTAGCCCTGATCTTCCCCAAGAGCTGACGTGTGCATACGCTTTTCTCTTAAAACACGAACCTCATCTGGTGAGTTTAGATACCTGCTCCAGTTGTCTGAGTAACGGCTCTCTCCCTCCTCCATTAGACTGTGTTGCATGACATAAGATGCTGTCTGATTTTTGGTCAGGGCTGTGTTACCAGCACTTAGTGTGCAGCGCAGGGCATACATGTTCAATACGTGCTTGTTGAACAAGAATGAATTCGGAGAGATGGTTGTGTCTGGCAGCAGCGACTGTGGGAGGCTCCCTGTTACTTCCTGATGTTGGCCTCACCCACCTTGGGGCAAAACCTCCAGGGGTCCGAGGCTGTGGTTCTGACCCCTAGATACCTTTGCACTGTACAGTCCCTCCTTGTGGGAAAAGAAGTTGAGTTTGTAGTCTTTCTTGGAGCCGGACAGTACGTCGATGTAATCGAGGCCCTTCATTGTGATACTGAGGTCTGGCTTCTCTGGCTTGATTATTTCCACAATGACTCGGAATCTGGGGTGGCACAGGCATGTGACAAAGGGAGACAGGAACTTAGGGGTGTTTGCCCAAAGGAAGGAAGGAAGGGAGGGAAGGTTCCACCTGTACCCTGGCATTAGTGGAGAGTGCACGATCCAGGGCTGTGGTCTGTGGTCACTCACAAAGCAGGTCACTGAATTACTGACCACTTCTTGCATGTCGGGTACTGAGTGAGCGCTCTCCACAGGCTACAGGGATTTCACCCTCGTGGGTCTCCACTGTCACTAGTCTTTCTACTCTGACTTACTAACCAGGGGACAGAGACCAAAGGAGGGAAGATCAGACATGCAGGTGGCAGGACTTGTTGGCAGGACTAGGATACAGACTTGGCTGGTGGCCTTCAGTAGGTCACTCCTTGTCAGCCATTCCCTGGGTCCTTCCATGTAACAGAAAGGGCCTGGGATGTGTGGTCTCAGGCTCCTCCTGTCCTTTCAGTCCACTCTCTTCCCAAGGACCCAAGCAGCTTAGGACAGAGCACTTAGAAGTCACAGTGGTAGTGAGACCTAACATGCACTGGGACTGATTTCGTGTTAGGTCTTGTTCTAAGAGATTTATCGTGGTCCTGAGCGGGAGAATCTCCCCAGAGGTGTGGGTTCAGGAAGTGCAGGCCTCCTCAGGAGCTTTGTCAGCCACCCACACCCCAACATCCCCTGGAGGTGCTGGGAAGCCCGGACTGAATGGTGGAAGCTCTCTGTCTCCATCTCTGATCCCCCAGCTCCTCACCTCTGGGGCTTGTTCAGCCAGTTGGTGATTGGCAGGAGCTCAGTGTAGGGTGTCTTACAGGGCACCTCACGGAAGATGTTGGCCACGGCTTTGGGGAGTTCAGTGGTCCCATGCAGAGCATATAGCCAGCCAGTCCCATCCGGGAGGGGGAAGAAGAGGGTACCCTAAGGAGAAGAACTATGATCAGAGCAACACAGGTGGTCCTTCATTAGTTGTCCATAGTGTCCACACAAGCTTAATGGGAATCCACATAAAGGCATGGTGCTTTGGGAAAAGTTTGGTAATATGTTTCAAGAGTCATAAAAATGTTCACAGGTATTTGGATCAGGAATCCCACCATGGGAACTTAATGAAAAAAAAAAATGCATATCTATGAATGAAATCCCTTACCATATTGAAGAAAATGTGGCAATGGACATTCAACAACAGGTAAATGTTAAGTAAGTCATGGAATTCTGACTCAACCAAATATTAGGCTGTCTTTAAAAATGGTCATGACCCCTTTACAAAATTGTTTATGTTGTTACTGATGCAATTAAGCTATATGGGAATCACTTTGCTGCTTGGTTCAGGGTCCCTCCTCAGAACCGAGCTCTTGGCTCTAACAAGAGAATTCTGAAATGTGTGGATGAAGGGAAGCCCCAACTGGGTAATGTTCACAAATTGCCGTTGTTCCAACATTACCTGGGAGTTCCCACCTCCCACTCTGTTCTAATATACTCTCAGTTCTGAGCCCCCAAACTCTTCTCCAACATCTCTCCCACACCCACTTTATTCAACTGATGAGGAGTGGGGTGTCAGCTTACCTGGTGCTTGCGGTTCTCCAAGTTCATGTTGCGGGGCCGGTAGGTGATCTCATAGGGCTTGTTTTGTTGATGGGCCTCCAGGGTGATGAATTCAGGCCCTTCCCAGTGCTCCCCCTCAAAGATGGGGTGCAGATTCCAAGTCTGGTTGGTGCGGTTTGACAGCAGGATGGTTTGGGTGTGCTTGGAGCGTACCTGGCAGGTGAAGTTCACCACCTGGAAAAAAATGGGCATCTCATCTTGTGTGGCACTTCCTGGGCAGTCTAAGAGACGGAAGTCCAGCATGCATGGCGGGGAAGGCTTCTCATCAAGAGTTTCAATTGATCATTTACTTTTCCTTTCATTTATTCAATAAATATTTATTGGGTTTCTTCTAAGCATTGTTCATTGGTGATGAAGAGTCAGCAATGAACAAAAATAACTGGATTACCCTCAAAGAAACGGTACTTTAGCAGAGGCAAGATAGACAACAAAAAACAACTGAATAAGTTAAACACAGAATCTGTAGTGTAGGAATAAAGGATACAGAGTGTATTGAAGCAGAGCAAGGGCATAGTGAATTCCAGATGAGTAGTGGGCTCAGAATTTCAAATAGTGTGATAGAAGAAGGCCTCTTGGAAAATGTGTTTAACTAATGACCAACAAGGATGGCATCAGTGGAGACTTGAGTGAAAAGAATCCCCAACAGAGAAGGTGGAGAATGCAGAGGTCCTGCCTTTGGACAAGGCACCAGGTGGCCAGGGTGGTGAACATGATGGGGGTGGGGGGACTAAAGTAGCAGGAACCAAGAGTACACAGGGATTTCAGAGTCATGTAAAGGCCTTTCCTTCTAATTAAATAGGATGACACAGAAAGCTTTGAGAAGTGATCTGACTTGATCTAGAATCTCTCTGGATGCTTACAGGTAGCAGAAGATAGAGGTCAATTAGAAGACACACCAGAAAAGGTGTGTGGGGGACATCATGGTGATTTGGATGGCACTAGTAGCACCAGGACAGTGGGAAGTGGTTATATTCCAGTTGTACTGTCTTCACAATACAACTCTTCAGCCAGTTGGTTTTTCTGATGCATGGAGTCACAGATGCCAAGTAGAAGATTCAAGAATGAAATCCAGACTTCAGCCACAGCAGCCAGGAAGATGGAGATGCCACTGAGAAAGGGTTGAATGTGGGAGAAACAGGTTTGGGGAAGAGATCAGGATAGCTGCCTGTTAGTCAAGTCAGAGTTCAATAGAAAAATCCAGTTGTCAGTAAAGTTTTTTTTTTTTTTTTTTTTAAGTCCCAGGTGTGATAAGGAAGAAGTAGGTTGCATTTAGGAAGAAGAACTCTAAGGACTGATGGATGCATTTCCACGTGAGGGGAGAACCTGAAGAGGTGAGTGGGGCGGTCAGTGAGGGAAGCAGAACCCAGGGGCGTGTGGGGGTCCTGGAGGCAAGCGAAACAAGTGTGGGGGGAGAAGGGACTGGTTCATGTCCAGTGCTTGTCACAGGCCAGGTGAGAGGGAAGGGGACAGCCAGCTGCTGGGTTTAGCCACAAGGCAGTGTGGTGTTTTTGTAAAGACAGTAAGATAGATCACTGAACAAGGTCAATTCATTTTGGACAAGAGGACAAAAGTAACTCACATGATAAAGAGTTCTATTTTTACCATAAGGTTCTGGAAAAGTTGGATAACCATATGTGTACAAAAAAGGTGGATTCTTGTATAAATTGTGTGCAAAAATGAACAAGAGCTAAATGTAAATCAATGTACCCAGGATATTTGGAGCAATATAGGACAAGGAACCAAATGAACAATAGGAGATTGATAACAGAGCTTTGAGTAAAGAACATGGCACAGAAAGGACATGGATGACGCTCAGCATTTGACATCATCAGAAGGGTGCTGAATGTGAACAACTCCGGGCAGCCATCACTCAAGACTTTCTAGAAGTGAATGTGTTGGCAAGGATGTGGAGCCAAGTGGGAATATGTCAGTCATTGCTATGAAAATGGAAAAGGGATTCAAACACTTCAGAAAACGGCCTGACTGCATCTTGAAAAGGCAGGCACACACTCATTGTAGGTCTCTGCCATTCCATCCCCGGGCAGGTTTCCTCGAGAAAAGAGAAAGCATGTGTGTTTGTGCTGATTCATACACGTCTGGGGTGGACTGATTTCATTCACATGGCATTCTTGAACCATCATTATAGAGACTGGGTGTCATTTGTTACTGTTAAGCAGTATCGCCAGGTAATGCAGGCAAGTTAACAGCAATGGGACTAGTTAACCCTTTACTTCACAAATCTTGGTATTGGAATGTTACTTAGAAGGGACATCAATGCAGGCTCAGTTGAGAAAGTAATAATTGAGTTGATTTCTGAGTAACCAATAAGAGTGAACCAAATGAACAGAGAAGAGAGAACATTCTAGCCTGTTCCAGGAACCTCTAGTGCGTGGGAACAGGTCTGACTGCTAGAACCTTGGTGAGGTTCCTGGTCTGGCTCCTACTGCCACTGGTGCCCTCTGGAGAGCGCCTGCTCACCTCCTTGACTGCAGGTGGTCCTACACAGAGGCCGGACAGGGTGAGGCTCAGAGGGGTGCCGCCCTGGATGAAGCACAGCAAGTTTTTGTAGAGACTCTCCTTCCCCAGCTCGGTAGGGTGGTAGGTCACTTCGAAAGACACATCTGAGCCCGCGGTGATATAGCCTTCTTCTGGGCTGATGGAGAAGTGAGGCTCAAAGTTTTTGACGTCCCATTTAAACCTTTTCCGAGACAAAGGAAGATAAGAAAAGCAGCTGACTAATGTCCTGTGTTGTCCTGTTACGGAGAGTAAAACGACTGCCTGGGCTGTCAACTGAGAGGCTGTGCCCTTGGATGCTGCCTGGGCCCGGGAGGAGGTGGTCAGCTAACACAGGCACGTGCTGAACATGAGCCAAAGTCACTCTCTGGGTGAGGTGCTTTGGATTCTTCTCAGAGTTGAGCCAGGGTGGTGAGTGGCCACACCTTATCTGTTACCCACCAGGGGCTCACCAGGAAACAAAGACAAGACACGCACACGTGTATTCCCAAGGCTGTGCAGGAGCAAGCTGGTGGGGCCGGGCCCAGGAGGTCCCCAGTGGTATTGACAATCTCTTCATGAGAGAGCTGTGCCTGTTCCTGGTGGGTCCTGTGGGGTCATTTCTCTGTGGCCGGACACTTGGTCCAGGCAGGAGGTAGTGGATGACAACTGCAGAATAGCACCTCTGGTTACCAGAGCCACAGCATCCCACCCCTCAGGATGACGGGTGTCCCTGGCATGTGCAATGCCCAGCCTGCATGGATGGCTGTGTCAGCCCATGGCTGGGCAACCAGGAGGAAATATCTGTGACAATAGTTGTCTGCAGACATACAACCTAGGTCCTAAGCTCATCCTTCACTTCCAGGTTGTGTGTTTTTGGCCAAGTTATCTAACTTCTTTGGGCCTCAGCTTTGCTTGTGAAATGAGGACTCAGCACCTATCTTGGATAGTCCCAGGATAACTGAATGGCCGTCCAAGATAGGGCCACTCCGTGCCACACCTGTACATGGCTGCTGTGCGTGTGGTCTTGGAAAAGTGACTTAATCTCTTTGTACCTGAACCTCATCTGTCTAGTGGGTCTCTGGCAGTCTTAGTTTGGCAGAGTTGCTGCTAGGACCTACTGAGGAGAGTCATGTATAGAGCCTAAAACAAAGGCACCGAGCCAGCGTTTATGATCGTATTGATTGTAGCAGCAATTGCCCTGGTGAGGCCATTTCTAGGGCATCATGAGGGAAGGAGGGAAAAGCCACTTCTTAAGTGGCTACACTTGTAAAAACAAGCACACAGCCCAGGGCCTCCCAGGGACTGAGGTCTTGGTCTCAGCCTTGGGCTAGAAGGCCATGACTCCCCTACCTGGCACCCACGTCACCCGTGTTCAACATGAGGATGCGGCGTGTGGCTTGCGTCTGGTATACAACTGGTCCAAAGGGAAGATGCTCCTGGTCCAGGGAGATCTCCAGGGCCTGGCAGCAGCCGCTGAGCAGAAAGAGGGGGCGCAGGAGTCCCATGCACTCCATGAACACCTCCTCGGAGAAGGGGGGCACGCGCTTCTTTGGGGCAAAGGTGACTTCCAGCTTGCAGACCTCTTTGGGCCTCAGGGTGATGTTCTGGAAGGGTAGCAAGGTGATGACCTGAACAAAACAACAGAGACAGGGTGGCTCCTAGAGCCTCGGCTTGGCGAGGTCTAGCTGCAGGAGCTGAATGCACACGGGTTAGATCTCATCTCCTACTCACCCAACAGCTGTGTGATCTGTGTGTGGCTACCTTAAACTTCCAGCGACCCGGCTGCATGAAGAGGCATCACCCAGGACATCCAATGGGCAGCTGAGAAGCACTAAGTAAGTCCCTTCCTTGCTAACTTCCTGTGGGTCTTTGATTCTCCCCCCTTCCTCCCAAATAAGTGAAACCACAGCAGGGAACTGGAAGGACCCAGAATTCCGGAGTTTCTGCCTGGGGTTGCCTATGTCAGAATTCTGTGTGATTAAATTTTTTTTTAAGTTATTTTACTCGAAGGTCAGAGTTACAGAGATAACAGAGAGAGATAAAATTTTCTTTCTTTCTTTTTTTTTTTAAGAAGAGATTTATTTATTTTCATTGGAACAGCAGATATACAGACTGAAGGAGAGACACAGATCCTTCATCTGCTGCTTCACTCCCCAAGTGGCCACAGTGGCCAGAGCTTAGCTGATCTGAAGCCAGGAACCAGGAGCCTGTTCCCAGTCTCCCACATGGGTGCAGGGTTCCAAGGCTTTGGGCTGTCCTCGACTGCTTTCCCAGGCCACAAGCAGGGAGCTGGATGGGAAGTGAAGTAGCTAGGATATGAACTGGAGCCCAAATGGGATCCTGGTGCATGCAAGGTGAGGACTTTAGCTACCAGGCTACTGCGCCAGGCCCAAGAAAAACTTTTCTATCCACTGGTTCATTCCTTAAATGGGCACAATGGCCATAGCTCAGTCAATCTGCAGCTGGAATCCAGGAGCTTCTTTTGGGTCTGCCACAGGGATGTAGGGTTCCAAAGCCTTGAGCCATCCTCCACTTTCCCAAGATATAAGTAGGGAGCTGCGTCCAAAGTAGAGCAGCCAAGACGCAAACTGGTGCCCACGTGGGCTGCCAGTGTCACAGGTGGATGATCAGCGCGGTACACCACTGCAGATTTATGTGTGATTGTTAAAAAACAGATTCCTAGATCTGGCCCCAGGTCCGCTGAATAATCCCAGTTTCTGTGGGAGAACTCTGGACCTGTGGTTTGTTTTTTTTTAAAAGATTTATTTTTTCATTGGAAAAGCGGATATACAGAGAGGAGAGACAGAGAGGAAGATCTTCCATCTGATGATTCACTCCCCAAATGAGCGCAACAGCCGATGCTATGCCGGTCTGAAGCAAGGAGCCTCTTTCAGGTCTCCCACACAAGTACAGGGTCCCAAAGCTTTGGGCTGTCCTTGACTGCTTTCCCGGGCCACAGGCAGGGAGCTGGATGAGAAGTGGAACTGCCGGGATTAGAACTGGCACCCATATGGGATCCTGGGCGTGCAAGGTGAGGACCTTAACCACTGTGCCATCGCGCCAGGCCCCTGGATCTATGGTTTTGAAAGTTCCCCAGGTGACCCCTGTATCTTCAAGTCCAAGAACCATGGTGCACATTCATCTGGCTTTCTCTGCCCTCCTAGTCCAACTGAAGCCCAAATCCAGAGAGGCTTTGAGGAAGCTGCCTTCCTTTCTGTCCTTCGGCTCCCTGTGGCACTGGGTTCTGGAAGTCACCTATGAGTGAGCTGCGGCTGCAGGGCATGATAAGGGGCTCGGAGGAGTGTCAGGAAAGGACGCTGTGAGGTGTCGGGAACTGGTCTCCAGCAGTGATGCCAGCATGGGCCACTCAGCTGGTGGGGCCAAGCCACCACGGGGCCTGGCACTTGGGAGCCAGGGAATTCCATCTGGATTAACGTTAAGGAAAGGGAAGCCACGCAGCCTTCTGAATGGATGGTGAGGGGAGCAGCAGAGGGCCCGTGGTGAGATGCTGGCGGGGATGGTTCTCTGCTCTGGCCGGCCTCTGAGCTGATTTCCCCGCATCCTACACTGCCCAGATGTCCTTCCTCACAATGCCCCTCCCCAGATGGTCAGCTTGGGACAGCCCACTCGGTCCTCTCTGCACTGTGGTCCCTGCTCCTGGTTCGTCTCCCGCCTCTGGAATTTCTTTTCTTTCTCCCTTCTCTTCCCTTTGCTTCCCGTCACTTCCCATTTCCTTTCTCGTTCACTTCTCTTTCTCTCTCTCCCCTTTTTACTCCCTTCATCTCTTCCTTCCCCTCCCTCCCTTGCTTCCTTCCTTTCTTCCTTGTCCGCTTCCTCCCTCCTTCCCTCCTTCCCTCCCTCTCCTTCTTTCAGATTTATTTTAACTGGAAAGGCAGTAACACAAAGAGAAACATCTTCCATCTGACAGTTTGCTCTCACCCATGGGACATAACACATTGGGTCCATCTTCAAAGGGTACCCAAGTACCAAGGATGGCCTGATGGGCAGCCTAGTTTCTCTGTCCAGGGACCTTGAGGACACAGACATAGTAGCGAATGTGGGAGTGTGATGTGCGACACTGTTCAGGGGACAGATGGATGATGTGTACTGGAGAATGGTTCTCCTCTGACCTAATGGACTCACGTTCAAGGATTCCCCGCAAGCAGATGGTCACAGATGCACATGTATGGTGAGCTACATGTATGTTACCATGTTGTTTACAGTATCACCTGGGGTGAGCAGAAACAGGGTTGGTCGCTCTCCAAAACACCAACCTTGGGTTCCTGGAGCTCTGGAATGGAGAACAGGACTGACTGGCTGAACGTGACTTGAGTGAGGCTGTTGTTCATGATGGAAACGGTTTTCTTCACAGTCTGTCCTGGTAGGACAGCTCCCAGTTTCACAATCCTATTGGCCGGATCAAGGACTGAAATCTGAGGAATGAGAGAGAGGGGGTGGAGAGAGAGAGAAGGTTTGATTGGGTCCAGTGCTATGGCATAGAGAGTTAATCCTCTGCCTGTGGTGCTGGCATCCCATATGGGCACCTTTTGAGTTCTGGATGCTCCACTTCTGATCCAGCTCCCTGCTGATGGCCTGGGAAAGCAGTGGAGGATGGCCCAAGGCCAGAGATGAGTAAGAAGTTTCTGACTACTTGCTTCAGATTGGCCCAGCTCTAGCCATTTGTTGTTGGCAGGTTCTTATGGAGGGCAGAACAGAGGCGGGCCTTGTCAGTTTGAGGCAGGGTGGGGAGCACCCCAAGATAAGGAGTCAATCTGTGGCAATGCTCTGAGCCAGGGAAGTCATTGGCCCAGGCCAGATAAAAACCTCCCTGAAACATGAAGGACCCTAGGAACAAAGGTGGGCAGCTGGATATGATCTTTTCCTTTCTACTTGGGTAGGAGGGATGCCCTTGGTCAAATGTGACTCTGGGCTTTGTGGCTGGCCAGAGACTGCTAATCAATACAAGCATTAAGGGAAGACCTCTGAAACTTATGTCTGTGTCTCCTGCCTAACTATTAAGCCCATAAACAACCGTGTCCTACCCTAATGGAGTAGGACAGGATGTGCTGGGTGTCCGATCTGACTGTCCACCTTCCTGGGGATAGTGCTGCTCTGGCACCTGTGATTCTGTGTGCCCTTTGGCACACGGAAGTGTGGTGCTGAACAAGACAGGTGATTCGCTTGGATCCGACATTTCTCCCACTTGTTATGGGGGGGCATCATCACGATAGGGGTTTGTTCACCAAGCCTGGGGGCGCAGAGTGGTTTGTGGGTAACTGTGGGCAAAAGAGGCTGGAAAGGGCAAGGAGGGTCCCAACCCCAAGTTCTCCCCATCTGCTTCTCACCTTCAGTTCAGTGCCTTTCCCTTTGATTTCAACTGTTTGTTGTGAGAGCCCATTAATTTCAAAGGGGATGAGTTCCCGGTAGTTGATGCATTCTCGGGGATAAAAGATGATTGGAATCTCAAGTGTCTTTCCTGGTTTGACCACGTCCACGTGGAAGTTCACCTCAAGATGGGTGGTGTTGGTGTATAAACAGTCTATGCTGCAGAAAATCAAAGGCAAGGTGTGTAAGACTGGACAAGGCTGACCCGGAAGGACTGGCTCTGTTCCCGTCTTTCTGGGCTGGGTACTGCTGCCCTTTCTGTCCTCTGGCCTCGACTTACAGCAGTCACTTAATTGGTGATGGTACGGGGGAGGGGGGCGGGACTCAGCAAAAGATCCAGCCATCCACTCAAAGGCACAACTGCGTTCTTTCCCTCAAATCATGTCCTGAGATTCCAAGCGCTCTGTTTCTTGATAAACCAGCTCATGGTTTTGTGCCTCTTCATCAGAGGTACTTCCAGAAGCAGTTGACTGGCTAAATGCTGTGGAGAGGAGGAAGTTTGTGTTCTAGAGTCAGACAGGAGAGAGGGCCAGGTGCCATCTGCTAGCTTGCCACGACCTTGGAGAAGTCATCCAGCCCATTCGGGTCTCTCGTCTGGGGAGTGTGACGGCTGCCCAGAGTTGCTGTGAGATTACGTGAGAGGGAGTGAGCAAAGCAGCCACAGGGCACAGAGGAGACCTTCCACAGAGGCGAGCAGTTACTACCACCACCACCATTAGTACTACTACAACTAGCTGCTTGACCAGAAAGCATCCTGCAAGGTCATGTCTATCTCACTTCTCTGTCGAATAGCAACACCCTTAGGCCTCTTCAGAGCAACATCTTCACTTCTCCTTTCTGGGAGTGTAGCAAAGGAGTCTGGTTAGGCTAAGGTATGGACTCAACACTTTAAAGTAGGGCTGAGAGGACATCAAATTACGTGAAGAAAAACTGTAAATAGATTTTAAAATAAATGTTACTTATGTGAGGGAGAAAAAGAGAGAGAGAGAGAGAGAGATTACAGAATGTCACTTCTACATATTAATTTCTAAATGCCTACAATGAGTGGGGCTGGGCCAGGATAAACTGGGATCCAGGAAGCCAATCCGGGCCACCCATGTAAGTGGGAAGAATAAAATCACTGGAAACAACATCATCCAGCGGCTCCCAGGAGGTGCCTTAGAAAGAAACCAAAATAGGGATTGGAGCTGGTCGTTGGACCCGAGTACTCCAACAGGGCACATGTGTGTCCTAACTGACATCTTAACTGCTGGGCCAAATGCCTGCCTCTGATTTTTTAATCAGTATTTTAAATCACGTGACACTCTTAGAATTACCACTTAGGATAACAACAACTACAACAGTAACAGCTGCAATAACAGTAGCTAACAATAACTGTTTTTGGCTATATTCCAGGTACTATTCTAAACACTGTTTCCAGATTCAATTTGATCCTCCTAATAGTCCCTACATGGCAGATACTTTCACAATCACTCATTTAGGCAACAGAACAGAGTCAAAGAGAGTCTTAAAAATTTGCCCAAAACCACACAGGGAGAAAAGACCTAAAATTTGAACTTAGACCTGAGTTACCCAATATGGTAGCCTCAGGACACATGTAGCTGTTTAAATTCAAACTCAAATGAACTAAAATCAAACACTCAGTTTCTTAGTTAGAGTGGGGCATATTTTTGAGTGTGACAGCTCTATGTAGCTACAGAGAAGTATAGATACATGACTATCATTGTGGATAAAGTTCTCTTCAATATGGGCAGAGCAAGCTTTGAATAAGCACAGCTGCCTGGGCCCGGTCAGGAATGGACTGGAATGTTACCCACAGGGATGAGACAGAGCAGCCTTGATCTGAACCAAAACGCTTGAGCTTAGCACAGATCTGCACAGGGAGACATTCACTTGTTACCTCCTCAAAACTCAATTTCTTCATCTGTAACACAAGGGAGATAGAGGGGAGCCATGGAACCCTCTGTTACATTGCCTGGCACTGCCTGCTGCCTCAGAGAAGAGGATTCTAAGTGGAGCAGCAGTGTGTGTTTACCCAGGTGTTAGCATCAGAGACTAGAACAGGGGCCCAGGGTTCATGACTACACGTGTTTTGTTTTTCCCCATAACACCCCCACCTTTCTTCTTCTTTTTTTGTCTTGGAGGTACTCTGTCTTCCATCTGCGTGTTCTGGAAGCCTGCTTACCTCATTGAGGTCTCTTCCTTGTTGGTGATGACCAGAGTTTGTTTGTAGGGAGGCATCCCGGCTTGGTAGATGAAGCAGGTCCCAAAGTTGTAGCTGGTGAAGGAGAAATGGACAGCTGGGCTCACGGCGCAGCCTGCAATGCTGCACAGGAACACGGGGCCGTGGCTGATCTGTGAGGGAGGACACGGCGGGAGGGAACAGAGGGCACTCAGTTCCTTAGGTGAAGCAAGAGAACTCACTAGAATCAATAACACCAGTAACACAAATTTTCATACACATCTTGATGAACTTTAAAAAAAATCCATTTTCTTGGTCATAGTTTTGAATATATTTTGGGCATCATTTCCTGAAAAGCACTTATAGATCTTGCTGTCAACACTTCTGCCAGTTAGAATAGAAAGACCTTTAAGTCATCTGGTATTTCTTTTTGCTTTTTTAAAAAAAGTTCTGGAAAAGACAGTTTTCAATGGGAAATATTTCCTCATGAGACTCTGAGTGGCATGTAACTGAAAAGGTCTGAATTACTTCTTTCTGGAGTTTTCCACTCTAGTAATTTTGGGTCACAGTTCACCACAGGTAAGCTTTTCTTTTTTAAGTTATTGTGTCAACTTCATGCTTGTCCCGCCTCGGCTGCTCTATGAAACAACTGACACCGACTGTTTCTGGCAAATGCCTCATGGGCAAAGGCTGCTTATGTCGAGCAAGAAGGCGCGGAGTCAGATCAAACAGAGGCAAGCAGCCCTTGCGGTGCGGCCCCCGTGTGCTGTCAGACAGGGCACATAATGACAATGGTTTCAGAGTTGGGCTTTGCGGGGAGGCCCAGGCGTGCTCGGCTCCCTTCCACTTTTGTTGCAGTGGTTTGCAAGGCTACTTAAGGGCAGGGAGGAGAGAAGACAGGGGATGGGGCAGGTGAAAGTACCTCAGAGCTGTGTTCTTACAGGGAGTCAGCCATGTCTCTTGAACAGGGTCAGGGTTAGGGTGGACTGGTGCGCCTAAGATTGTTGCAAACCTGGGGTCAGTTTCCGGAAAAGGCTGATTTTGATGATTTTTTGGTCAGTGTTTTTGTTGCTATTGGAGAGAAGCGTTTCCAATGTTTTTAGTCTACTATTTTTGCTGACTTCATCATTCCTGTCTTTCTTTATTTATTGAGCTCAATAGCTTCTTTTGGGAAGTGTGTATATACTTGCTTGTCCCATCTAGTCCTCTTAATTTAAATTGCTGAGTGGTAAGACCAGTGCAGGGATGGTCAGCCACCTTTTAGTCAACACTTCTTCACCAGGCAGCTCAACCATCGAAGCCGCTGTGTTGGAGATGGGGGCTGTTTCTAACACAACCACCAGCAGCAGCTTCCAGACAGGAGAACCAGCCTGCAGGGACGGCAGGTTGTGCGCAGTCAGTGTTTAGACTGTACATGGTCTCACCTTGATTTTGAGTTCTAGGCCCTTTAAAACGCAATCCTTAAACGGCTGGAAGGACAGGGTGGCAGGGACAGTCTGTGCGACATCCACGGTGCCATCGATGGGTGAGAATTCCAAGTACTGCAGCAGGGCCTTGGAGCCAGACAGCTCAGCCTGGAAGCTGAAGTTGAACTTGCCAGTGTTGATGAAACTGAATTCGCACTGGACACATTCATTTAACTCCACCTGTGTGTGTGTGACAGAGAACAGGATAGTGAATGCCAACTGCTACCCCTTCCCTGAGGAAAACAGTCTTTTGGGAAATAAGTGGATGTTGATGAGCTAGGTGTCACCAATTTACTGTAGCCAGTTCCTTTAAGAGCTCCTGAGTGTGGGGGTCTCCTCACGAGTTAGATGGCAGTCTAATCCTTAGACCTCCCTTACTGTAGTCCAACATTCCTCCTCTATGTATCATACTCTCACACACATTTTTACCCTTTTATCACTTCCTCCAAATATCTAGTAAAAAAAATTAATTCACGGGCCCGGCGCGGTGGCGCAAGTGGTTAAGGTCCTCGCCTAGCACGCCCGGGATCCCATATGGACGCCGGTTCTAATCCCGGCAGCCCCGCTTCCCTTCCAGCTCCCTGCCTGTGGCCTGGGAAAGCAGTCGAGGACGGCCCAAGGCTTTGGGACCCTGCACCCATGTGGGAGACCCGGAAGAGGCTCCTGGCTTCGGATCGGCATAGTATCGGCCTGTTGCGCTCACTTGGGGAGTGAATCATCGGATGGAAGATCTTCCTCTCTGTCTCTCCTCTCTGTATATCCGCCTTTCCAATGAGAAAATAATAAAAATAAATCTTTATAAAAAAAAATTAAAAAAAAAAATTAATTCACGTCATAGGGACATGTGTTCTGGCGCTGAGCTGTGCCTGGTGTGTTTCTGTTCTGCTGGTCTCCCAGACATTTGAAGCATAAAGACACAGCTCATAGTCATTTGTATTGCCTTCTCCAGTCAGTGTAGGGGGATAGGTGAGACAGGGAGAGGAAGGGAAGGGGGGAAGGAGGGAGAGAGAGAGAGAGGGAGAGAGGGAGACCCTCTTACACCTTTACCTCATAGAAGTTGATAACATTGGTCTGGTTGGGAGTCAAGAGGGTGATGGTCCCAGCCCTGTCCTTGCACTTGACCTCTGCGTTCATGGTGTAGCCCTCAGCCTTGACATTCAGTGTTAGAGGGTGAACTTTCTTTTTAACATTGCAGATCAAATTAAAGTTCACATCTCCTTCCTGCTTTGGTGTGAAGAAAATATCAATTGGGAACCTGGTTGGGAAACAAGGCAGCAGATTAGCAGACTAGATGAACACGTGTTAAAACCTGCTGGGGAAAAGGGAGCCTACTGGAGGGCAAGGGGCACTCCAAATTATAATGAACTTGTCAGAAATGCCAGGCTGGCTAGGCATCATCTGTGGATGCATGACAAAGAATACAAACCCAAGAACAAATACTGAGAGCAAGGAGTTTGAATTTTCCACTCTGACAGGCTAATGGGGCAGGGTTGGGACTTCCTTCCTCCTCTGTTCCCTAGGGAGGCTGTGTCCTGAGTCGTCTGCCTTTCTTTACCTGGACAGCGGCGGGATCCAGCCTTCCATGGGGCAGACCACTAGGCTGTTGCTGAAACCTTCGGAGTAGCGCGAGTCATCCTGGATGGCGAAGCTGAAGCCCTGTTCCTCCTTGTTGATGATCTGCACCGTCTCCCGAGCCTCTCGGCCTGTGCAGGAAGCCGCAGACCTCAGGGCAGGGCTCCCTGGCACGGGCACCTCTTGGGCAGCCCGCCTTCTCCCTGCCCTGCTGCATTTCTCTGCCTTTGGCGCCTTCTCTTCTATCTTGCTGCCTTCCTTCTGATCTACAAGCAACCTTCCTCCCACAGAGGGGATTCCTTCTCTTCTCTCTAGAACTTGACTGTGCTGTTGGGTGCCCACCACACCCTGGTCACAGCTTTCCTGGGATGCTTTTTTTTTTTTCCCTCCTTGCTCATTTAGACTTAGGAATTGGAACATACTCCTGAATTTGTTGATAGGGCTTCACTCTCTGGTTTATCCTTTAATTGTTTATTTTTCTGTAAATAGTCCCTGCAGTAAATTCTTTTGACATTCCTGAACAGAGCTCTGACTAATACATTTACTCTTAACTTTGTTTTACCCTTGGCTATTGTAGAACATCTGTTCTCCCACCTAAGTTTTGGAAACATTTTGTGCAAGTCTCTCCCCTATCCCTGTGGGATCAGAGTTGCTAGATTCAGCCAATGATTTTTTAGTAAACACAGGGATGTCCAAATATTGCATTGGACATAATTACGCTGAAAATTATTCAATTTTCTCCAAATTAAAAAACTAATTGTTCATCCTATATTTTATTTGGCAACCTTAGTTAGGGTTCTAATTGGAAACTGATGAAATTTGCATCTAATTTTGGTAGAGCTGACAGTTGTTCAGCTTTTACTTGAGGGCATTTTAGTAACATTTAAAAGTGCTTTTCAGATAGGGCTTGTTCTTTTCTTTTTAAAGCTTATTTATTTTCATTTATTTGAAAGGCAATGTGACAGAGAGCTACAGTTCTTGCCAACCACTGGCTCACTCCCCAGACGCTCACAGTCGTCAGGGCTGGGTCAGACAGAAGCCAGGAGTCAGAAACAGGAGCTGGGTCTCCCACAAGGAAAACAGGAGCTCAAATACTTGAGCTGTCTTTTGCTGCCTCTCTGTGCAGCGCCTTTTCAGTATGTGTTAATATGATCACAGGACTTTTTGTTGATATCATGACATCATCACCACATAAAAATGCACATCTTTGCATTCCTAAACTGTTGGTCTTACTGCTATTGTTCCTGATACCATTTTGCTTTTGAGTTTCAAACTTTAATAAAATGTTGTAATTCTCCCATTCCTATGTGTATCAGTATGAGAAACATGAAAACAATACACATGCAACACACACCTGCAGCTGACACTCCTTGGATGGGGAGGGAATGATGAGGCAGATGGGGAGCTGCCAAGCTTTTTTGTTTTCATACGACACCACTCAGATTTATTTACTCTAAATTCTATTTATAAGTAAAGAGTATACTATTCGATAAGTTAAAAACCTTAAGAAATGATATTAAAAATAATTTGATTTTAGTTGCATTTTACACTTCCCTTTCCCCTACTCCCCCATCTCTGAGAACAATGCACAGGGTTACCAGGGCACCTGACAATCACTTCTTTTATGTCCTTTGGGTCTTTATTCAAATGTCACCTTTCCAATGCCTACTGCCTGTCTCATCTCTGCCACCCTGCTGTGTTTTCCTTTGACTCCATCTCCTATTACCAGAACGCAAACAACGTGAGGGTGGGAACTTTGAGCTTCATCCCAGTGTGTCTCCAGCCCACAGAAGTGTACCTGTGTTGTACCAGGTTTCAATAAAATTTGGTAAATTCAATTAAAGTCAGAAATTATAGCCAGGAACCCTGACTGTTGTGAATCAGGAAGCATGTAACACAGCTCATAAAGTGGGGACACAAGCAAAAAGAGTGGGGCTGATGAAGGACTTGAAGGTCAGTCTGGGACAGGAAGGAATCTGCCGAGCAAGATCTTCAATTTGGTTCCCTTATTTCCTTCAGTTGTTAGTGTGTAGGCTTAAGGGATACCTGATTGAAATGAGATTCAGAAGAAGTATTTCACGGCATTCTGGGATGTGCTATGCTGACATATCTCTGACATGCATGTGGAAGGCACCAGGGGAAGTTCCCTACCTAAGCCTGCTGCTGAAGTTTAGGTCATATTACCTCCAAACAGAACCTGGCAGGACGGCATTACCACTATGGTTTGGAGATGAGCTGGGATTTAGAAAACCCCCAAAGACCCGTATGTCAAAGGCTTGGTCCCTAAGGGTGGCTCTGATAAGAGCTGGTGGATACTTTAGGAAGTGCAGCTGGATGGGAAGCCCTTGAGATCACTGGCGGACATGCCTTCAGATGGTAAGTCTCCTGTGATCTTCTAAGTTCTCAGAAGAACATTGTTAGAAAAGACTGAGTCTGGGCCCACGTACTCTCTTGCTTCTGCTTGGCTATGTGATCCTTCTTCTGTGTGCACTCTGCCATGGCCATCTGCTGTCCTCCTTGGAGGCCAAATCAACGTGATCCCACCCAAACTTGGACTTGGACCTTCCAAACTATGAGCTAAATAAGTTTTTTTTCTTTGTTTCTTTGTTTGTTTGTTTGCTATTTATAAAGTTAGTTTGCTCAAGTATTTTACTGCAGTTGTAAAAATCTGGCAAACACACTTACCGATGAGGAGGGCACTGAAGTTGAGGTGTGACTTGTCAAGAGAGATGAGAGGATCCGTGGTTTTGCCTACCAGCAGGAAGGGGACGGAGATGTTGTGTTCGGGAATTAAGAAAGTCCACAGTGCTTCAGTGATGTCCAGGTGGAAAGGGGTGAACTGGAAAACAATCTAAGAAGACAATTCGGAAGAGAATGGTGAGAGGCATCTCTATTGGCCGGCTTCTTGCTCCCTTGGAGGCTTGCCAGCACTAGGGCCACGAGAGTTGGTATTACCAAGTAACTGTTACTTTTCTTCAGGCTCAGTATGGGCACAACCTCATGGGATGTTCTGGCAAATCAACATGTTTGTCCTGTCCATGTGTCCTTCCCAGGGAGCCTACCCCAGCCCTTGCCGGCTATGCTGTCATATTTGGTGCCATGTCTTTAGATAGAATGGTGACACACCATAGTAGAAAGACTCGAAGAGTTGGTATCACCCCAAGAAAGACAACCCATATGCTTGTTGCCAGCCTAACACAAAAATGGTGATCAGGGCCAAAGAGGTTTTTCTTCTCACAAATCTGGAATCAGGAGTGAAACGGTTAAGCCAGTTGGCGGTAGAACTGACAGGGAGGGGAGGGGTATTATGGAGTTGGGCCGTGGCAATCCATAACCTATCTGATAAGTGAAGTGACAAAGCAACTAGACAATAAGGAAATAAATGAGAAACTGGCCAGGAAGAAGAGAATGGAGTAGATGGGCAGAGAGAAACAGAGTGACCCAGAAGCGAAGTCCAATCTTAAAAAAAGCTGGCCCAGGTCCTTGTAATTTCCTCTGAGCTTACTGGAGTGTCTCTTTGTGATTGATTAATTAGGACTGAGTAGAATACTGGTTTTCCAGGAAGGTTGAACATGCATGGTACAGGCCAGGCCAAGAGAATGCAGAGGCAGAAATGTGGAGATCTGTTACATTCCATGACACCGTTGTCTTCCAAAGACCAGCACAACTCTGGATGATGGATTCTTCTTGTTTAGGAACTGGACAGCATCTTTGATAAAATGCTGGGCTATAGTGGGGGTCACATCCAAGGAAGATCTTGTCTGTGTTGGACCCATCTCCTGGATTCTGTCATGCTGAACTAGATGGGCTGGGTACTGACAGCATGCAGAGGTCAAACTAAAGTGGAAAATTGGCAAATACCTTTCATTTAGTTTGGGAAGTGTTAAATAAAAGTGTTGAACTAGATGCCAACAGGAAAATAGGGAGATTCATATAAATGTTTGGCAGTTTGGCTTCTTGGGAAAAGTTTGGGAGAGTTGGGCACCCTGGTTCACATGTCTGTATGGTGGCCATCACCCAACGCAGTGTGGTGCCCAGTGTTCCCTCTGAAGAATTTACCTGACATGGAAGCTACAGGTCTTTTCCACTCTTCCAAGCCATATTTCTATATGTTTTACTCTCCTCCCCACTTTGTATCACGGTGTCAATGTTTCAGATTAAGCCAGGAGGTGACTCTACTATTCCCTTTCTGTTTGGGCTAAGTAAAGGACTGTTGTCAGTCCTTTAGACAAAGATAACTCTTCAGGCCATTGTATGGATCACAGAGCCCTCAGCCCCTCCCCCTCCTCCACGGGGATGGGGTGAGGTGGAGAATGGGATCTGATTACACCTTGCAGCTTGAATATTCTTAAGTTTTAAAAGCTGCAAATCCTAGATCTTTCTCTTCCACAGTCAGCCAAAAGAGCTCAGGGTTGCTGATTGCTTCTGCCTGGGCGGTTGCTGAGCGACCAGCCCTTGGTTGGGTCTCTAACCTCACTTGCTGTCTGAGACATACTTGCAATACAGAGGCAGGTGGCATGGTCTAAACCCTGGGCTGAAGGCTCACTTGCACACACCTCTGCCTTCTTCTCTGGGTGGATGAGGCCCTTCTCTGTGAGGCACGTGAAGGCTGGAGGGTTCTGGAGACTTTCAGGTTCTTCAGAGAGCCAAAAGAAGGAGTAGGTGCTATTGGTCAGGTTCAGGATTGTAAAGGTCCTGGTCAAGGCAAGAAAAAATAACAGGAAGAAGTAAGAGGGGGATTGAGAATGAAGAGAATTCTCATGGAGCCGGATGCTGGTGTAGCCCACTCCCCCAACCCCCACCTCTGCTCCCTCCCCACCCCGCCCCCACCGTCTGGGGCTAGATCTGCTTTGAGTGCTTTGTCACTATAGAAACAAGAAACCCCTCTTCTCTGGGGATACAAAGTACTTTGTAAAGTTGGGCTAGGATCCTCTAGACCCTGGGGTAACCATGCTGCCATGGGTACCTCTGCTCTGATGCTTCTCTGGGGCCAAGGATTATACCTTTCCATCTTGTAAAATCTCTGAGACAGAATAATCTACAAGTTCTCAAAATTCAAACTTCTGAGGGTGTCAAGCACAGCCTGTTCCTCTGAGTTCTTTAAGAAAGAGAGACTGCTATGAATTCAGTCAACGCACACCGAAGCAACTCACCGGAGATTCTTCCCTCCTATGCCCACACTGTTGAACTCGATCACTCGAGTGTTCGGGTCCAGGGGTGCAGCCCCAGACCCTCGGAGCTCTGGGTTGCGCCGGTGACCGCTGATGTAGTCAGAGTCTTTTAAGTCGAAGTGGCAAACAGGCAAGAAGCTCCGCCCTTTTGCTACTAGGACTGGACCCTGCACTCCAGGTGGCAGGTTGGGAATCCTGAGAAGGATATGGTTATGATTATTATTTTTTTTACTTCTGCTTTATTTCATAAACACTTCATTTTTAAAAAACAATTGATCGGAATGACACAGAGAGAGGGGTGGAAAAAAGAGGGAAAGAGTGAGGGGCAGCACACTTTCTTTTGCTAGTTTACTTTCCAAATGCCTGTGTGGTTGGGGCCAAAGCCAGGAGGCAGAAAGTCACTCCATGTGTCCTATGTGGATGGCGGAGACCTGAGTGCTTGAGTCATTACTGCCGCTGCCAGGGTCTGTACAGGCAGGAAGCCAGGCAGGAGCGGAGATGAGACTCAAATCCAGCACTCTGATATGGGATGTGGTCTCTAACTGCTAGACCAAACATCTGCTCCAACTGACACTTTTTTGATTGGCTGGAGAAATGAATGTTAAATCCACCAGAATAGGAGGAGAGGCTGGGTCTGAGCAATATCACCTCAATGCCTTGACCAATAATGCATGGTACATAGTGGTACCTGTGAGTTTGTGATTGAATGGATTCATACATGAATAGGTTGCACATGAGACATTTGAATTTGATTCCTTCTATGGAGCTGAATACGATTCCTTCTTCAGCAAGGAGAAAATCTCTGTACAACGAGTGACATCACGGGCCCTCTTACGGCTTTCTGTGGGATGTAAAAGTGATCTGGCATTCATCAAAAACATATCCTGACTCCTTGGGGAAGGTTACTGGATATGAGCAGACTCCTAGGACCAAGATGAGGTAGCACAGGTGTGGCAGGGTCTCTGTGGTGGCCAGGAGGGACCTGAGGGGGCCCCGACAGCTCATGCAGGTCTCTGCCATTCTCCAGAATTCCTCTGCAAGGTGTCTGTTCCCCCTGGGAGCTGTCTTGGGACTGGATTCCACACCAGGGACTTCCGTTATCAGATGTCACTGGATGGGGTCTTCTCTCATTGGGTCTGGGCAGTAGGGGTTCCTCAGCTGCCATTACCAAGCCCAAAAGTCCCCTCTACCACACACCCAAACGTTTACAGAGCTTACTGTGTGCTAGGCCCTGTTCTAAACTCTGTTTAAGTTATTTAATCTTCCCAATAATTCCAAAAGATGAGTATAGCTATTTGCATATTATACAGAAGGAAACTGAGTTCTCAGGAAGGTACAAGAACGTTGGCCCAAGGTCATGTGCCCCTAAGGCTTAGAACCTGTTTAGCTGTCAACTGTCCTGTGGTTCAGTGGACTCCCACATGTGGCTGGGAGATGAGAAGCAAGGCCGATGCGGAGGAAGCATGTGGAGGGGTTGATGAGCATGACAAAGGTCAAACTCTCCTTGTTCCCCAAAGGCCGGCCAAGCCTAATCTCTCCAAAGGGAAAAGTGATGATCCAGGGCTCTGGTGGAATCTATGGATGGCAACAAATGGTGGTGGAAGAGGGGATAAAAGCTGTAGGGCCCCATGTGCAGATTTCCTTACTGGCAGTAAAGGGTGCTCTCAAAGTCTCCAGGGTCCAGCGGGGAGAATTTCACTTTGAGTTTCTGCGTCTTCCCCACAGGTACAATGCCTGAGGAGGGCTCCACAGAGAAGGGTGACAGAGAACTTTCCATCCAGTTCTCCACGCTGCTGTCTTGAGTGCTGCTCGTGTGCAGTGTGATTTGACTAAGCTGGTCTTTCTGCACAGAACCTGGGGGCAGATGGCAAGAGGGTCACATTTGGCACTTACGGTGGGAAAGCAGGTGGAAGGCAGGGAGTCATGCGCCAGTCCTTGGGGACCTTCTGTAGGCTCTGCAGCCTCATCTCTTGTAGCAGGTGGATTTAACCCTGGGCAGGAAGTGGGCACTGGCTCATATATTCCATGGGACACCCAACAAAAACACTTCTAGCAATTCTATAAAGTCTCCACGTTTGCTTTCTTTAGGTCAAGAGGATGGACCTTTTGGTCCATGAATGTGGACCTTTTGCCCTAGAAAAATGGGCAGTGAATATAATTTTTGGGGAATCATTCTAAAGTGGGAGCTTAAACTGTGGGGTCCTACAAACAAGACCCTTCTACTAACAGTGATTTGGTTCAGGCCCTGGATTTTACCTTGGTTTCCTGGCATTGCAAAGCTGACGGCCTTTGCAGCATCTTCTGAGACCCAGCTGAATTCCAGCTGAACACGTCCTGAGTTAACCAGGTCAAGCCTGCAGATTAGTCAGGAAACTGAACTGAGAAAGGTGCAGCAGGCACTCGCGGTCCTGCCCACGTATCATCTGCCCCTTTTATATTTTAAGCAATTTTAGTCTGAAACCAGGCATTTGATGTACTAGTTATACTTCCTCCTAAAACGTGTAAGAGACCTATGTAGCTATTACATCGCCATGTTAAGAGTAAGACTGTGAACATGTCTAGCACTTCAGTCACTTTGCACACTCCCCACACTCTTCCCGGTGATCTCTAAGCAGGTATCAAGGCAATCCTAAAACATTCCCGTAACAGAGAAAGAAAAATCTCTGATGGTATCTTGTTCAGGTGCTGATCCCATGGGCCCTTGCTTCCGGAACCATCTCCTACCAGGACAACATCTCAGTGATCAGAAGTCATCCACTCCTGCCTGTGGTGCTCTCGCTGACTGAGGACCAACTGTGGGGATTGGCTGTTTCAACCTCAGATTCTGAATCGGCAGAGGATTCTCTTGCCTCTGACTGAGTTCCCAATGCTAAGACAAAAACGTGGAGAGAGAAGCCTGAATTTTGGAATCACTATTGAATCTGCTCACAGTCATGATAGGAAGATGAGGTCGCATGACACCAGAATGTGACGGTGTTAGAGAAACACTCCCTGGCTTTTGGGGAGCGGTTGCAGCTGGAAGGTGTGGGCTATGAGCAGGTGCAAGTTGGGATTCAGAGATGAGATTTCTATTACCCAGTCCAGGGGGACAGTGAGCTGAACCATGAGGGCTTACCTACTGTGTGAATTTTTTTTATCCTACAGATAATTTTAAAATGTGGATGCCCTCTGAGTGGCATAGAGTACTTTCCTAACAAAATTTGTTGGTATATGTTTGTGCTTGAAAATATTTTTATGAAGAGCTGTATAACAAAGTTTTTTTTTTTTTGCGGGGGGGCTTTGCGCAGCATTATGGTTCTATAGCAGCAATGCAGTTCTGTTTTTGTAGCGCCAAAGCACCCACAGAGGGCACATGGATGTATGAACGTGGTTGTTTGCCCCTCCCCCCAATTTTAACATGCCAAAACAGCGCTTGAGGGAAATGACCACGCTCTGGTTTTTGGCCCCCTAATAATCTGAGAGGACATGTTAAATGCGAAATGAGCAGCATGAGTTACTCACTTTTATTAGGTACAACTGGCAATTGGGGTATATTTCTGTCTTTGTACATGTTGCTCTCCCTGCCTGGTGGGCTCTTTCTTCTCACCCCTGCACCTGGTTCCCTCCCATTCCTTAGCTGGGCATCACCTTCTCTCCCTGGCTCTTTCCACATCTTGATCTGAATTAACAAAGCCTCTTGCTGTACACACAGGACACAGTGCTGCAACTGACAGTTCAGAGAAGACAAACTGGACTCTGCATTAGCTTTCTAGCTCATTATGCCTGGAAACTTGATAAAGGAGAAAATCCAGCTATATTACTAGGACATACTGCTGTAAAAAAAAAAAAAATCACTCTGGCTGGTAAATTGCAAGTGGATTGGGAAGAACTGGGATTACCCAGAGGGAAGCCATATTCTGGGGTTTTCTGAGTGCAGTGACTCCTATATTAGGGAACTGTTCCCTGAAAGGGTCCTGGAGGTGACTGGTATGGAGTGGTTATGAAAAATGCTGCCTTCTCTTGGGCCTAAGACAACACTGGCCCATGCCCCGCAATGAGATGCCGACTAGGAGCTGTTGCAGGCACTGCGTGATGATGAATGGAAGCATTGTGAGGATTTTGGTGACTCACTCAAATACTCGGGTCTGGTAAACCAGCGTTTCCTTAAAGCATATGTCATTCGTCTGGCACTGGTAGGAGGCGAAGTCCACGTTGGCGCTGATCTGCAGCTGCAGGTCGCGGTAGTTCTCTTCCAGCACTGAGTGGGCAGGCTCGGGGTCCGTCTCAACCACCTGCAACAAAGCCAGCCATGCCAGCAGCCTCAGAGTCAGCCACCTTGCAGGAGGAAGGGGCGAAGCGTGGGACATCTACACACGGAAGTCCACACCATGCCACAGACTCCAGTTCCAGAATGAATGACTCACAGAATGAAAGACAAAACAAAACAAAAACCAAAGTGAATACCCCCTCCTCAACAACAATTACAACAACAACAACAAAAAAAAAAAAAAAAGAGAGAGAGAGAGAGAGAGAGAGAGATTGCTTTAGGTCTGTAGGGGCCAGCATTTTGAGATCAGGTTGGTCTCCAAAAAAGACTGAGGAAGGAGAATCATAAAAATGGAAATAGATGCTAATGAAACAGGAAGCAAATCTAACATAGAGAGGACCAGTGTAATTGCTTATTGGAAAATATCTCTAAAAAAATCCCATGAGACTAATGGATAGGAAGGACTATATAAATAACTAATGGCAGAAACAAAAATGCACATTGCCGTCAACCTAGAGATTCAAACACATAACAGTAAGCTATCATGATCCCGTAAGCATGTAAATCTGTGTCAAGAGAAAACAAATGAATATTAAAAAAAAAACCCAGTAAATTAGGGCCTGGCATGGTAGCCTAGTGGCTAAAGTCCTCACCTTGCATACACCGGGATCCCATATGGGCACTGGTTCATGTCCCTGCTATCCCACTTCCTGTCCAGCTCCCTGCCTGTGGCCTGGGAGAGCAGTCAAGGACGGCCCAGAGCCTTGGGACCCTGCACCCGTGTCACAGACTGGGAGAAAGCTCCTGGCTTCAGAAAGGCTCAGCTCTGGCCATTGCGGCCACTTGGAGAGTGAATTAGTGGACAGAAAATCTTTCTCTCTGCCTTACTTTCCCTCTGTATATCTGCCTTTCCAACAAAAACAAATAAATTTTAAAAATTTTGTTTATAATAGTTTATTGTTTCTTTTTAAAGATTTATTTATTTATTTTATTGGAAAGTCAGATCCACAGAGAGAGAGAAGGACAGAAAGATCTGTCTGCTGATTTACTCTATAAGTGACCGCAATGGCTGGAGCTGAGCTGATCTGAAGCCAGGAGCTAGGAGCTTCTTCTGGGTCTCACACGTGGGTACAGGGTCCCAGGGCTTTTGAGCCATCCTCAACTGCCTTCCCAGGCCACTGGCAGGGAGTTGAAAGGGAAGTGGAGCAGCTGGGTATGAAATGGCCAATATGGGATACTGGTGCATATAAGGTGAGGATTCAGCCACTAGGCTATTGTGCCAGGCCCTATTATAAACAATTTTATAAAATGCACACAACAATTTAGTTGAAGGATAAATTCCTAGGAAAATAATTTAATCAGCCTGATATAAGAATAAGAAACTCTGAAAAGTCTTATAACCATGAAAAAAAGTAAAAGAAGTTCATGAAGAGTCCTCTTACTATAAAACAAGTGGTAAACAGAAAGGACAAATTAATACAAAATTTTCAGTTTTTCCTAAACTGGCCTGTAGAAGGAATCCAATTCCAACTAAGTTTCATTCAGGGGTTTTCCTATGCTTGATATATGCACTCTAAAATCACATAGAAAAACGAGAATCCGAGAACAAGCAAAATATTGCAGACAAATATATGAAGGAAGGAATCCCCTCTAGACATCAAGGCTGATTCTGAAACCGAGGAAGAAATGAAGACGGAGTAGAATTGGCACAAACATAGACAAACTGACAGTAACAGAGGCAGGGGACATTCCAGTCACTGCACAGTCTACATTCCCGGCAACGGGGTCCCAGCACACGAGGAACAGAGGGCTACAAACCAGGATTGGGTTAGCTGTTAATGTGCAGGACACCTGCATCCCACATCCAAGTACCTGGATCAAGTTCTGACTGCTCTGTGTTTATGATTTAGCTTCCTGCTAATGCACCTGGGAGGCTCCTGCCACCCGTACGGGACGCCTGCCTTCGGCATGGCTGTCACAGCACCTGAGCAGGGAGCTAGCACACGGGGCTGTTCTCTCTCTTCCTCTTCTTGCTCCCTCTCTCCCGCCCCCCGCCCCATGCCTTTCAATGAAAAAAAAAAAAAAACCACAGCCCCCTCCCTGGATTTGGCAATATTAGTTATGTAGTTTAAAAATCTGAAACTATATCCTTGCCGTATGTCATCTGTAACATCCTGGTAGTCCAAAGGCTTCAATATTTAAAGCAAAGCTCTGAAACCATGTGTGTGCATGTGTGTTTTCTTGCAGGGAAATAATAATAAAAAAAAGATATAAAATGTAGTAACTACAAAAAAAAACCAAATTTGTCAAAATTAAAATTTTCTGTTCATCAAAAGTTACATTAAAGAAAATAAAAAAGTGAGCTATTAATTTGGGGAGGATAGTACAGTAATACAAACAAGAATTTATAAAAATTAAACCACTCATACAAAGGACAAGCATCATGAGCACAAAATGGGGAAAAGCATGATGAGGTGTTCACATAAGAAATATCTGGCATGGCCAACTTTACGAAGCATTAGTGACTGGGAAGGGCATTCTAGACTCAAAAAGGGCGTTTTCCCTTCACTCAAAGATAAAGTCTGACACTGCCAAGCGTTGGAGAAGATGTAGATTCTATAAGATCTTACTGCAGGAATACAAATAGCTAACAGCCACTTAGGAAAAATCTTGGACATCCTTTATTTTGGAAAACTGAACCTGTCCTCTGATTCAGCAATTCCACTTCTACAAATACAATTTCACATGAATACCATGTGATAGGAACAATTCATGCAGAAACAACTCCCATGATGGCAAAATCCGAAATAATTTTGGAAGGCAAATAATAATGAAATTCTATACAGCAGTGAAATGGAAACTGTGTACCCATGATCACATACAACAGACTTCGTAAAAACAGAACTAAGAGCTATAAGTAGGTTAAATAAAGCAAAACCAAAACTTCAAGGAATGAGCAAAGACAAGATTACTTCTAGGAGGGAAGCAGAGGGATGAAGTGGTTGAGGACCACTTAGGCGGTAGGTGCTCAGCTTTCCATGTTGGGTGAGGCTGGTGTTCTGTTTGTCGTGTCAGTAAAAAGAAACTAACTATGGCATAAATTAAAAGGGAGCATGCGTGGACCAAAGATGAGATCTTGTGATGAACCTAGGATTGTGACTAATCTATTTCTGGAGAAATGAAAATGGAACTGAAAGAACAGCCATGACATTTTGGAAGGGAAATGCAGAAAGACTGGCTCAACTAGTTACAAGGCTTTAAAAAGCAAAGCTCTGTCAGCTAAGGTGTACGCTATGTGTGGCACCCAGAGAATGTGTGCGAGGGGATGAGCAAGTGGACCTGAGAGCAGAGGGAACGCATCGTGGCAGGCCCGCCGAGGTCTGGGGCTGCTGCACTTACTTTGCGCTTCATGGTGAACGTCCCAGGTGTGTTCTTGGGCACATCCACCCACTTGACTGTGCGCATGCGATCATCCCAGTCGGGGATCTGGTCTGAAGGGAGCTGAAACATGATCCTGGAGAGCTTGCACTTGATTCCCATCTTTCTTAGGTTGATGGGCACGTCTGACTTCATGGTCACAACTATGTCCTTGGCACATCCAGGGTGGAGGTGGCCCATCTGAGGAAGAGCCCGATATTAGTATTTTTTAGAATTCAACCATGCGGAATTTTGATACCTGGTAAAGACCTTCTAAAGAAGGGGTGGAAATAAAAGTCTTACAATATATGTATTCAGCTTGTATGCATGGATTGATCAACATATGAACAAGAGGCAGATCATTATAATGGGGCAGCTAACACTTACCAAACTACTGCTTATTTCAGGGCCTAGTCCCAACATTTCCGTAATTCTGTTACTCCTTTCAACAATTTTATGAGAGGTCAGTTATTACTCTTATTTTATAGTCAAGGAAGCTTTCTGGATTACCCTGAGGTCTTTAATATTGGAAGAGCTGGATTCAGACCCAGGAGTAAGGCTCTCAATACCACACGCGGCCTCCTTACACTTGCCACTCAGCACGACTCGTACACATCATGGAGAAGTGAGTACAGTGGACCAGCTGCTCTCAGGATGTGTTCTGGTGGCCCTTGGGATTCCCAAGACCTTCTTAGGGACTCCATGAGGTCAAAACTATTTCATCAAAGATGAAAGATGGCATCTGATTTTTTTTTTCACTCTTATTTCCTGATGGGCCTACACTGAAGTTCTCTAGAGCTTACGTATAATATTGCATCAAATTGAATGCAAAAAATGGATACAAGAATCAATCATCTTCTATTAAGTCATATATTATGGAGATTTATGCAAATATAAAATAATGCCATTCTCCAACTTTTTGAAAATATGTTCCTATAAACAGTCATATAACTTCTACACAATTAAATGACTATTATTCGATTACTAAGAAAACCAAAAGTAATGGGCCCAATGCAGTAGCCTAGTGTCTAAAGTTCTCACATTGCATGCTCCAAGATTCCATATGGGCACTGGTTCTAATCCTGGCTACTCTACTTCCATTCCAGCTCCCTGCTTGTAGCATGGGAAAGCAGTCAAGCAAGGCTCAAAAGCCTTGGAACTCAGACCAGGAGGACATGAACCGTGTCCTCTGGTAGTCGGTCTGAATGTAGGACACTTCCTAGGCTGTCTTCCTGGTCAGCGTGCACCTTCTCCAGTCCCTGACATCACCAGAACAAGCTGATAATCATATCGGGCTGTTTTAGGCCTAATGGAGTTTAGAGTACAAGGAAGGCTTTTACTCACCTGGGGGGAGAAAGAAATTGTCGCTAAGAGAGGCCACTCAAACCGTATCATGTTCACTTGGCTGTGGTTAGTAACCGTGAAGCTCACGTTATACACGCAGCCAATGTGGCAGTCCCCAAACTGGATGTGGTCCACCAGGGCGGCTGGGGAGACAGAACGGGAAGGTTGGTGGGTCTTTCCTGGCCTCATTAGAGGGCCTGCTTGTTGAAGAGGCAGTTCCTGAGAAGCACTACGCCTTCCTCTGACACAACTCTTGTCTTGGACAGTTGTGAAAAAGCTGGAGCCCTTGCAATCCTGGAGAGTAAGATTTTCTCCCCAAAGGAATCTATAGACCCATCCACCCACCCACTCACCCATCCATGCATAATCTATCATGTATCTCAGCCTTCATTTCCACTTGGACAAGACAATGTGTAGGTCTTCAACTTCATTTATTACTTACCAATCAATTTTAAAATTAATAATTAGTAAACTTATGTATTTGTTATTAGTGAGATAATACCATTAAGTATTAGGATGGCCAGGTAATATATAGGAGACTCGATTAAATTTCAATTACAGCTCAACAGTGGATTAGGGTGGATATGTCCCATAAATCCTTCTGAATAAATGCATACTAGAAATCATTGACAGGCTGTCTGAGTTTCAAATTTATTGGAGATTATATCGCATTTTAACTTGTTGGATCTGGCAATCCTGTTACAGTGCTGAAGTCTGCTTTCCACGTGAGGAGTCACAGCTGGCTCTGCCTGACTGCTGACGTGAGAGATGTCACAGTGTAACCTCCAGCAGGGCGGACAACAACACAGGGGGAGAAGCACTACCGCTGCTGTAGCGATCCCTGCAGGGTACATTCCGGAACTGAAAGGAAGCCGCTAGAAACGCAGCTGGACTGTGTATATAACCCCCTTTACAACGATCAGCCACACAATTAAGGCAACAAGTGCTTTTCGATCACAACCACCAAGTAAATATTTTCCTGTCTCAAATACAAGACTGTGGAACTGCACATCTTAAGCTTTCTTATGGCACAGACCACCCAGGGATCTTGTTCAAAGCTAAATTTGTGTTCCATAGGTCAGGATGGGTCAGAAGCTTCCCTATCGAAGACTACCAGGTGGCGCTGACGCCACCGGCTACCAGACTGCCTGTTAAAACTGAGGAGCGGGGTTGTAGGGTATGTTTTTCTGGAAGCTGCACAGACCTTGATCTTTTCTAGTTAAACAAGCCCAGCTTTTCCCTTAGGATGTCCAGGATACATATTCCTGAAAACCAGCCCTTGCCGACACAAGCCAGCGCAAAGATAAGGCCAACCACAAGGAAGCACTTACTCACTTATTCACCTGAATGGGAATTTCTGAGCATCAACCTATAACAGTTCCCTAAGAGCAGGATTCTCTTATTAATCTTTATAAGTCCAGGGCTCAGCAGAGTGAACATGTGACTCTACAGAGAGACAGAGGCAGCGGCTGAGGCAGGCTGGATGGACAATGTCCTGGTTCTCAGGAAGCTCACCAGACTGGTATTTAAAGCTCACTCCTGTGTAGAGGGAGACCCATCAGTTGCCGCTGCCTCACTGCCGTTTCTCTCACCTGCCACCAAGTCATCCATGGCATTTTCCTCGGAGAACTCTATGATCTCAGTGCCAGCTGAGATCTCTTGGCTGGCGGCGGCCACCAGCCCGTGGATGTTGTCCAGGGTGATGTCATCCTCGTAGCCTTCCCCCACCATGTAGATGATGGTCTCCTCATATTGGTTGTTGATCACAGACAGGTGGATGGTGCCTGTCATCCTGCCAACCTTTTGGGAGTGGAAGAAGACTTCGAATTCGGCTTTATCTCCAGGGGAAACCACCAGCGAGGCTGTGTGAGCTTTCTTTGCTGCATGGAGAGGAGAAGAGATGCAATTTAGAAACAGTTTAAAGAAATACGGATCCATAAAGACTCTGGTTGAAGGGGAAGCAGGTATAGCATGAGAACAAGCCTTGGCCACAGGCCCCGGGTGATGCGACGGGCAGATTATTCTGGTTGGGCCCTGGAAGATCCCTAATTGACCAGCTACTGGGACCCATGGCCTCCGGGAAGACTACCCTCCCCTACCCCCCAACTCACCTTTTTCATTTGGTTTGTTTTCTTCTATGATGTAGATGTAGGTGGTTGTGGGCCTCCCTTTGAGCGAGAAGACTCCTAACGGGTCCTGCAGGTCAACATGCAGCTGGCAGAAAGTAAGCAAGACTGAGTGTTAGGGATACAAGCTGCTTCTCAGTTTCGGGTCTGGGGTACAACTGGGACAGGATTCCCCCAAAAGTCATTGTACCATGTGTTCATTTTTTACTTTCTTAAGAGAGATAAAAATATATATTAGATATTGAGAAGACAAGACAAGAATAATACAGTGGGAATGAATACTCACAGTCCAACCAGAGATTGCATGAATAGAAATTCCAAAAAGCCAGTATTTCCTACGAACTTTCCTTTTGCTCTCTGACAGTATCATGTGGAGTGTCCCACCAGGAGGAGGAGCAGAAAAACAAGGCGGGCATCTGACCCACTTGGAGAGAAGGGAAGGCTGCTAGCCCATTGGCATGAAGGTAAGAGTAAAGCTATAGAGCTGGTTTTAGATATGAAACATCAGTGGATATTTCTAGAAGGCAGCAGCACTGGCACCATTATGAATAAAACTGAGTAATGTAAAAAGAAGAATTGAGGTGTGGGTATTGAGCATGCTGCTTACGGAGCTGCTTGCGAGGTCTATATACCCTATCTGTATGCCTGGGTTCAACTCCCTGCTCTGTTACTGCTAGTGCATCTAAAAGGCAGCAGGTGCAAGCCCAAGCACTAGGGTCCCTGCCACCGGGTGGGAGACCTGGATTGCATTCAGCCTGGCCCATTGTGGCCGTCGTGGACATTTGAGAGAACCAGCAGATCGGAGACCTCTATCTGTACATCTGTGTCTATCTCCACACCTTTCAAATAAATAATCCATACACAGATAACACTGCAAAAGTGAGGCATGAAGAAGGCATAGTGCCATCACACAGAAGTTTCTGAGATAAGAAATTAAATATCTAGAAATAACCTCAGTAGGAAACCATATAGAGGAGTTATCTGTAAGAATATTAATGTAAAAGATTTAAATAAATAGGTAGTGATCTTGAATATTGTTTCTCATGGAGAGTCCAGATGCTCCAAAAGTAGAGCTGCTTCCCTGTGATTCTCAGGTTCATCTGGGAGGTGAACACCCAGACACTGGCAAGGAAAATCACAAAAACAGGGAATGGACAGGAATTCATTCAACTAGATGCTAAAACACAATGCAACTAGGTAAACTGAACTTAAGATAACACAAAGAAATTAAAAGCAGTAAAGAGCTAAACAGGCAAGGAAGGGTAGTGTGTCAGCATCTCTGAGGGTGTTGGAATGCAAGAGGGTCAACTTAACTTCCAGGGCTGCTGCTGCTGCTGCTTCTTCTCTCTCTCTCTCTCTCTCATACACACACACAGGCTGAGGTCTGAAGACCACCAAGGCAGCCCTCACACACCCAGTATGGCGCAGAGCCAAGGGTGAGAGTCTCCTGTTTCCCTTCCCACAGGGCTTCTCCCTCGGGTGTCACCTGCGCAGGGATGGTGCCGTTGTTTTTGAGGATGAGTGGCAGTTTCTCTGAGTGGCCGAGCTGGAGCCTCTTGAAGAGGAGCATGGGGTTTCCGTACTGGTTGTGGAGGATTGGCCGCACCACCGTCACTCGGGGGAGGGTCCCCTCACCAAAGATGTCAAACACAAGGCCTCGGTTCCTGGCCAGGTTGCTGCAGAAAATAGGAAGGTGGTGGTTGGTCAATCTGGTGTGGCAGGAATGACGTCCCATGAGAGGTGGGGCCCTTGCCTTGCTGCGGAAATGGGATGGGGAGCAGTACCTGGGCAAGCCGTCCAAGGTGGCCTCAAAGATACATTGGTACGTCTGCATGGTCTGTGGGGTGAAGGACACTGTGGCGAAGGCATGGGAGCGGCTGCCCACACACATTTTACTGGGTTCCACTTCAAAGATGTCAATGATACGGTTGATGGCCTGAGGAGGCAGGGCAGGGACCAGAGTGTATTAGCCACTTGGCAGTCACACTTGCCACTCACCTTCTGCCCAGTAGTGACTGCTCTTTTCTATAAGCTCTGTGCTAGAGATGCTCCAGTGAAATAATGGGCCTGACATGAGGGACTCCATGCTGGGCTGGGCTCCATCTTAGGTGAGGTATCCCTGTACCCGTGAGACTGCAGCCTACATCCTGCTTGGCAAGAATGCTTGAATCCCTGACGAGGCTGTTCAAGCAGGATTAGCAACATGGTTCGAGCAACTAAAGCTTTCAAAGTTAGTAATCTTTTATCCCTGAAGTGGCTCTGCATGAATCTAGCCTGGGTGAATCCTCAGGATCCAAGGGCCAGGCAATTCCTGCCAGGTACAGTGGCACCAGGGCAGGCCTTCTGAACCTCTTCCTTGGGCTTCCTGCCAAGCGCCGTGCACCAGGGTCTCTTTGGGGAGTCTTACCTTATTGGAGATTGGCTTAACTACAATGTTGACATCACAGGCAATCTTGCCCACGTTGCTGATCTTGAAGCGTGCCTTGGCCTGGTGGCCCACCAGGACGTTACAGAAGATGAACTTGTTTTCATCCTCCACAAACAGGCCCCCACTCTCAATGGTTTGCAGGATGTGGAACAGGTTGGGGCTGGTGCAGATCTGGTGCTCCTCAAATATGGAGGAATTGTTGTCGGTGACAAAGGCTGGGGAGTAGAGGGTAGGCACACTGTGAGGTGAGGCGGGGTGGTACCTGCTCCCAGATGCCAAGAGCTGTGTCGTTCCTGACAAAGGATGCCTTGGAGGAAGAGGGGGCTTCACATGGGGCTGTGAGTAATGGGATGGATTCTGTCTCCTTTCCCTCTTTCTGTGCTGCTCCTGTTGGTTGCCCCACCCCACCAGCCCTTTTCTGGCCAGGGGGAAGGGAGAGTAAGGTTCAACATCTGAGGTGGGCTTAGGAGGGAAGGAGGCATGAGGCCCACTATTGGCCTCCTCCCGCCTCAGATGAGCTCTTGGAGGGTTGTCACGTGCTGAGTGCCTGAGCACGGCTGTCTGTGCACAGGCTCCCCTGGGAGGGGCCTGACTGTGAGCAGGACTCAGTGTTCCAGTGTCCTGAGCCCAAGTCAGCAGCCGGGTGAAAGCACTCTGTGGTAGTGGGTAGGCTTGCTGAACGTTTTGACAGCACGGAAACTTTGGGTTGCAGAGACCCGCTTGCTCTGCCCTTCCTGCCTCCTTCAGCAAGCCATCTGAGTTAACTGAATGCTTTGTACTGCGTGCCACTCAAGTTGATTGGAGGATGAGAGCTTAAAAACTCCTGACTTCAGCCATGATGTGCAGTGACTCCTGGAGCGTGGCTGGAGCTGCTGTTGCCAAGCTTGGCTAATAAAGACTTCTCCTGACATCATACGCTTGTGTCTGGTATGATGTCTCTTTGCCCTTCACAACAGTTCTCAGACAGCTCTACTGACTGGGGTCAGAAGGAGTCTGGGGCTGCATGCCCTCTCTGGGTTGTACACTCTTTGTAAGTCTTTATAAGGAACTGTGGGGCTGTAGATACCAGAGGAGGCTCTCCACCCCAGAGGAGGCAGCCCAGTCTTGCGTGCTGGATATCTGTGAGAAATGCACCATGCCGGGGCTGTGTGTGTGTGTGTGTTATGCAGGAAGGTCTCTTATGCGGGCATTGCTCACGACAAGCAGCAAGTACCTGGTAGACAGGCTTCAGCCAGCAGTGTGTAGGTGATGCCACTTGGCTGGTCGGTAGGGTCTCGGTCTGTGATGTCGATGACAATGAATTCCTCACATCTTCCCACGGGATCTGCTACACAGTCCACAGTGATCACCTGCTGGCCTCCGGCAGGGACAGTGCCAAACCCAGGGTACACAGTGAACATGCCATGGGAGAAGCGGGCCTGCAGGGCAAGGGGGAAGGGACGGCAGAGGGGAAACGACAGAAGCAGGGTGGGTGTGAATCTGAGACTTTTCATCCGACCTGTAAGATGTGTGTGAAGGAGGCACAGGTGGACAACTCAGTTCAGCTCTCCCATGTGGGTGGTAGACCTGAGTACTTGAGGTATCACTGCTGTCCCCAGGAAGCCGGACACAGCAGCGGGGCTAAGGTCAAACCCAGGTATTCTGACACAGGGTAAAGTTGCTCCACTCACAGTGCCAAAACGCCCATCTCCAGGCGTGTACTACAGTCACACTGCGTTAGGAAACGGTCTAGATTTTTCAGGATAGCAGGAAATTCCCTAAGCTCTTGCCATGCTGTTACAGGCAGGTTGGTACACGGCACTGCTGTTACAGGGCACCTGTCATTGACGGAGCCCCTGATGTCACGAAGTGTGCCGACACAGCCACACCTGCAGGCTGCTGTTGCTCTAGCTCGGTCAGTATTTATTGACCATCTGTTACACGCCATGACCTGTCTTAGGTGCTGGTGATTCCCAGATTCGCCAACTAGGCACCAAAACTGCTTTCTTGCTTTTCGTTTTTTACAAACAAATGATTCTTGATTAAAACAGGCACAAGAAGTTGAAGTCAACTTTTGGTAATAAGGACCCAAGGGCACATTAAAGCTCTTCAAGCCCTAGCTTAATTAACATCAAAGTGAGGGTTTAGCATAATGGTTTAATGTTCCTGTAGATTCAAATCCCGTTACCCTGGGAAGGGGCTGGCTGGAGAGGGCTGGTTGGAAGGTGGCCTTATTGGATTTCTGTGTGCAGCAAAAGGGGCACACCCACCTGGTTCGTGATGTTTACTTCTTTCTGAATTGAATCCGAGAACTTGGCAGCTTTAGTGCCACTCTTGTAGAAACTCTCACTTTCCCGGGTTCTTACATGCCTAATGTGGGCGGCTCTGATTGAAGAAGCAAGAAGATCCCCTCAGGGTGGGGTGGCGACATTAGCCGTCACCTGCCTGTCTGCTGGCAGGGTCCCTATTCCTAGCAATAACCGGACCCTGCTTGCCTGAGGAGGCATCGGAGTGGCACAGTCAGGTTGTTCTTCTCTATGCAGTGCTGGCATTTGTTAAACAGGACTCTAAGGGTACTGCCAACACTGCCAACACTGCAGGCAAAGGATAATTTAAAAATGCTGACCTGTGCTTAATGAAAAGCAATGTGTAGAAAATTAGTTCTTTCCATCAAGTCTTTCACCTGATCTCACCTAAAACTATGAGATGGCAAACACACTAAATTCTGCCCCTATTCTTCACATTTGTAGTCACAGAGATTCTTTAAGGCTTAGTGCAGGACACAGTTGAAACACAGGTTTTAGAACTTGAGGCTAATTCACCTAGAAACCACTTGACCTAAAACATTCAAATATATCTGGGGTGTGTCTTAAACTTTGGAGAATTTTATGTATTTAGCATTCACTTGCTCCCATGACCAGAGAGCCTGAAGCTCATCCTTTTCTGTGCATTCAAAAGTGGAAAATAATTTAAATTTAAAATAATTTAGTGAAACAATAAATTGCTAAATTACTAATTTGTAAAAGAAATTCTAAAACATTACGTTGAAATTAAATCTGAAAGATATAGTGGACATTTTCATCCCCAACTCTTAAAAAAAAAGTTTTGTTTTATTATTATTATTTAAAAGGCAGTGTTACTGACAGTCACAGATCTTTGATCTGCTGGTTCACTCCCCAAATGGCCACAACAGCCAGGACTGGGCCAGATTAAACCAGGAGCCAGATCCAGGTCTCCAAAATGAATACATAGGCCAAAGACCTAGGGCACCTTCTGCTACTTGCCAAGATGCATTAGCAGGGAGCTGAACTGGAAGTGGGGAACAGCCAGGACTCGTGCTGGCGTCCAAATGGGATACTAACACCACAGGAGTCTTAACTGCTGAGCCACAGTGCTGCCCCCCTTCTTAATATGTTCAAATATTGCCAATATACAAAAGGATAGCCAAGAATAAAACAATTATAAATTCTGTAAAAACACATGTTTGACTTAAAGGATTTCATCAGGAAGTCAAAATTGAGTCAAAAGTACTTCAGGAATTTGCAGAACCATTCCTAATTTGACAAAAGTAATCTGACAACCCAACAGAGGCCCAAAACACTGTCAAAGTAGGTTATTTTTGGTGGATTGATTGAGAACCACATTTAGAAGAACGTGAAGGTTTGATGTTGGACAATAATTTGTGGGAAAATGGAACTAAAAGTTCATTTTGATATTAAAAATGAAGTTCACACATCATGGCATTCACTTCCATGAATATTTTAAAAATTAAACATTTATTTTTATCTATTACAAAACAGAAAAATAGATGGAAGGAGACAGATAGATTAGATAGATAAATAGCAAGGAGGAAGGAAAAAGAAGGAAAGGAAGGAAGGAAAGAAAAAAAAAGGAAGAAAGAAAAGAAAAAGAAAACTGGGCATCTAGCTATTCCCCAGATGCCTGCTACAGCAGGGCTGGGTCTGCTAAATCCAGGAGCTCAACCTAAGTCTCCCACATGGCAGTGGGACCTGCTACTGGAGCCACCACCTGCTCCCTCCCAGGGTGGACATTAAGAGGGGGCTGGGTCCTGGAGCTTGGCCTGCTGACCCCCGCACTCTGACGCGAGATGTGGATGTATCAAATGATGTCATATTTATTATCAGGCCTAAGGCCCACCCTGGGGTAAGCCATTTCTAGGTCTTAGTGTAGGGCTGGGCACTGGGACACAGTATAGTTAAGTTGCTACTGGGGATGCCTGCATATCTTATTGGAGCCCCTGAGATTGAGTCCAGCCTCTGCTTCTAATCTAACTTCCTGCTAACAGTTACCCTCCTTGGAAGGGAGTAATGATGGCTCAAGGGCACTGGTTCCTGCTACTCAGGTAGAAGATCCGATTGGGAGTTTTTGGCTTTTGGCCTCAGTTTAGACCAGCCCTAGCTGTTGCAGGCGTTTGGTGGGTGAACCAGTGGATGGAAGATAACTCTCTCTCCCTTCTCTCTCTCTTCGCTCTGCTTTTGAAATAAATAAACTTTTAAAAAGCTTAAAAAGTAAACCTCAGTGTAATTTTTACGAAAGAGGATCGAGTGAACTTAGGTAAAACATATGAAGGCTCTAAATAAAATGTACAACACTGATTAGCCAGGGAGTGGCATGAGTCAAGCCAATCTTTGTCTTACACTTTCTTCTGATGAGTAGGGTTCTCCCCCGTCATCCTGTACAGGGCGTACTTGAAGTCGATGATGCCTTGATTTTCTATGGTGAATGTGGTGCTTTTACGTGTGCCACAGATTAAGGCCCCAAAGTTGATGATGGACGAGGGGCTGATGTTGTACTTGGAGTACACTGCATTCACAGAAAACTTAATGGGGATATTGGCGATGACCTCACCTCCTTCTGCCATATTGGGCTCAACAATCTAGAAAAAGAAGGTTCGGGAAGATGTCAGCTGTCGGAAAAGGCACAGAATTCCTGTGACTGTCCCTTTCATGCCCCATTCCCGTCAGTGAGAGGAAGCCAGGTCCTGTCCCACCCACCTTGGCTTAGCACCTCCGCAATAGGATCTGCAAATGAGAATACAGACAGAGCAAGGTATTTACTAGCCCAGGTTCAACACTGACTAGCTCTGCCTTCTGTCGTCAATTCACCACTATCTCTTGCACTTGACAACTGAATTCAGCCTCCTTGTTTCTATGCTGCCTCAAGACTTTGGGCATATTTTCTCTCTTGCTCTATTTCTGATGATTTTGTACGTCTCCACTTGACCCACCCGCCTGCAATGGAGCCTGTGTGTCTGATCTGCTGCCCTTTGCCCCCTGGAGCATGGACTGGATCACATCCTTTCTTTTCAGCAGGAAGCCCATAGCTCTGCCTGCACTGGTTCCCCACGTTGGGCCCTCTTACCTGACAACGCAAAATGGGCTGCTGTTCTATCCTCACTTCCTTTTTTGCACAAAAGAACACCTGGACATTTGTGGGCTTCTCTGTTGTGGTTAGTGAGCCCTTCTTGGGTTGGACTGAGATCATGGAATTTAGGTTGGTCACAGAAATCCCTGCGGAGTCCACAGAAAAGCTGAAAGACACCGTAAACACCTGGGTGAGATTCCTAGGCTGCGAGTGGGCGGACTTCACACCAAGGGCCTGCTGTATCTCTGGTCCCGCCCAACGGCTATGTTCAGAGGTGTCCTCTGCAATTGTGCTTGGTGACCTCCTCTCCTTAGTCAGGATCCACCCTGCTTGGGGCTGCTGCTTGAGGCCCAGATGGCTGTCCTTGCATCCACGATTAGGGGATGCCCCTGTAGGATTGCTCTATCCAACAGGGTCCCTCAATACTAGAGCAGCACCAACTAGATTCTCTCTCTGCTGCATCTTTCCCTCCCCTCCCTGTCTCTCTCATCCTCTGAGACCGAATGTGGCACACGCGTGGAGGATCAGCAGCAGAGAAGCCAGGACATCTGAGGAGAGATGGCCAGGTGGTGGCTGGGGAGGCGGGGCAGAAGGCATGGAGCAGAGGCAAAGGCAGGAGAGGTCTAGGGCATGCTGGGGCTGGGATGCAAACCATAGAGTGAAGCTCACTCTTAGGAATGGCACAAAAGCTAGACTGGACCCAAAGGACTCCCGGGCACCTGGAGTCAAGGACAGATGGCATCCAAACGTCACTCCCATGTCTGCTAGTTGAGAGCAAATTCTGGTGCCTCCCTGCCACTTGAGCATGGACTAGACCATGTTACTTTTTTCCCACTTTGGCCAGAAAGAGAGATAGAGGCTTTACCGCTGAACGCGTGGTGCCTGTGCTTTCTCATTTCTTGCACATTCTTTCAATTCCTCTTCCCCACACCCTATCACCTTTCCAACCCAAGAGTGACTTCATTCCAGGCAACCAAGGAGAAGTTAAGGCTCTCACAATCTAAACCAAAATCTGCAAGTGGGGAAGCTGCCCTTTAGCATTAATTCCAAAGTGACAGCGGCTTTTCCCAGGGTTTGTTTGTCTCACTAGCATTGGCTCATTTTAGTTTACAGCTTCATTACTTCTAACTCACGGGAGTATTGAAGCTGATGTCTTTTAATTGAGCATCCTGCCAGCTGAAATGAAACTGCCAGGAAGCCACTGAATTCCTCTCAAGTCTGACAGGGGGAAGTCCCTTTCTGTCAGCTGTGACTTTCCCAGGAGACAGATGACCGTGCAGGAAAAGCAGCTGATGGAATGCTGGCGTGGCTGGCTGTCAGAGCTTTGTGACTGCCCGAGCCACGCCCTCCCCATCTCCCCACCACCCTGCATCATCCCCTTTCCTTTCTCAGGGGGCTCTCTTCTTGAGGTTTCACCTATATTTATCTGAGAGGCAGAGAGAAACAGCAGGAGAGGGCACTGCCACGCGGTCAGCGGTTCACTTCCCAAATGACCTTCAGTGGCAGGGACTAGGCCAGCCCACTCCACCATCCCTCACCACAGTTTCCCAGGGTCTGCATGAGCAAGAACCAACCTCAGGCAGTTCAGTGGAGCAGGTGGACATCTTACCCTCCAGGCCAAACATGCACTTCCCTGGTATTTTACTTCTCATTTCAAGCTGGAGTTTAACGCAATCTACCAAACTATTACAGTGCATTCTACCACAAAGATTCTTCAAATTACAAAAAACCAAAAAGCAAAACAAAACAAAAAGCCCTCAGAAAACCCTTTTGTTATGTGAAATCTTAGAAAGTGAATCTGTAGAACAGGGAAGATCTGCAAGTGAAACAGAGGTGCCACCCCCAGCCCTGTCCACTCCGCCCCCCCCCCGACTACGCCCCAGCCTCCCTCTCTCCATGCCTGCACGGCTCCTCCCAGCCTCTTCCCTTCAAATGCAGGTGGATTTAGAGGCTCCTCCAAGGTGCCTAGTAAGCTGCAGGTGAGAACAAGGTGGAAACCTCTGACTTCTCAACAGGTGGGATTTTATTCATTTGAAGCCAAAGGAGGCAAAAGGGCAGACAAGCTTGTGGCTACTTACTGGAATGATTCTTTTTTAAAATGCCCAAGCAAAATTCTTTTTCAGCATGAGTGGACACAGACGGCCACGTACACAATGGTGGGGTTGGGGTTACCTGAAGATGATCTCATATTTCCCACGGTTCTTCAGCTGTAGGGGCTGCTTCACCTCTTCCAGGACCCTCACAGTGCCAAAGTCAAGTCCTCCTTCAGCGCCTGCAGAGGCCAGAAGCAGGGGAGGGGTGGGAACAGAAGCAGGGGAACGAGCATTTCAGCGAAGTTCACGTGGGAAATCCACGGGGACCACTTCAGAGAATTTGGCTTTGGACAACACTGTGGCGAGAACGGCCTCCTGTGTGCGAGTCTTGACGAGGAGTCGCCAGCTGCTGTTTTTGCGCCCTGTTTCAACCGGATACAGTGTACAGCTTCCTTCTAAAACTTTTGGCATTTTATTTTTATGTATTTATTTGACTTATGGGGAAAGGAGAAAGGGAAAGAGAGAAAACCCTACCTCTGGCTGGGTGACTCCCTAAGTGCCCAGAGGAGCCAAAACTGAGCGAGGCTGAATCTGCGAGGTAGGACTCAATCAAGGGGGCCACAGTCCCTGCAGTGTGCAGGAGCAGGCAACGGGAGCCAGAGCTGGCAGAGGTCCACGGGCAGCTTAATTGCTGCACCAAAACTTGTTTTAAACACATGATATATTCAATATATACTTCACAGAGTTGGGATATACTCCCCACGTAATTCAAAGCTCCTTCTAACTGTGTTCTGAGGGACTGTGTGATAATCCCTGATATGGCTAGTGCGTAATCCACATTATTATTCCTCCAGTATGGAGAGATGTTTAGGTTGATTTACAGTTTCTCATCCTTCCAAGCAATGCTGTCATGAGGAGGTCCACACCTCAGACAAGTGGCATCTCAGCTGGTGCTGAGTTCTAGCATTTGATGAATCTTGCTGAGGAGCAACCCTGGTAGGCAGAGGAGGGATACTGGAAAAGAGTGTGCTGTACCCAGGGAGAGACATAATTGGGTACAGATGTATAGCCTTGTGCCCCAGCCGAACTAACCCCTGGAATCCGTGAGTGTGCCACCTCACAACGCAAAGGAAAGCTAGGGTGGCAGATGGCACTGACTTTGCAAAAAAGGGAGAACCAGACAGGTGGCAGAGTGAGAAGGACTTGGTCAGATGCAACTGACCTTGGAGGAGGAGGAGGAGGGGGACCAAATCAAAGGATCGGGGGAGGGGGAGGGAGAAGGAAGGCTGCGGGCTGATGAAAGGGTCAGAAGAGAGGATTTCCCCTCGGCCTTCAGAGAGGCCCAGTTTTGCCCTCACCCCGACTTCAGCCAGTGAGACTCATCTTAGACTTCTGACCTCCATAACTATAGGATGATAAATGTGTTACTTTAAGTCAGGAGGTTCCCAAGCAATCTTTTTGTTATCGTTGTTAAATATTTATTTATTTATATTGGAAAAGCAGATATTCGGAGAGGAGAGACAGAAAGATTTTCCATATGCTGGTTCACTTCCCAAGTAGCCACAATGGCTGGAGTTGAGCTGATCCAAAGTCAGGAGACAAAAGCTTCCTCTGGGTCTCCTACATGGGAGTAGGTTTCCAAGGGTTTAGGCCATCCTCCACTGTTTTCCAGGCCATAAGCATGGAGCTGGATGGGAAGTGGAGCAGCTGGGATATGAATCGACACCCATATGGGATCCCGGTGCATGCAAGGTGAGGACTTTAGCCACTAGGCGATCGCATTGGGCTCCCTGAGCAATCTTTAACTAAGGGCAGTGATAGAAAATGGATGAGGGCAGGCAGGAGAGGACTGCTCAGGGGAGAGCCCGCCAGTGTCACACTGACCGATGACTGTCCTCTTGTTAGCTGGAGAGCTGACCATTCGTGACCAAAACTGTCCTCTCCCTCACCGATCACCTCTCTGGCACTAGACATTGCCGGCCTTCCTGCTGTGCAGAAATAAACTATACGGAGAGACAGACACAACCTGCAGCCGCTTTCCCTCCAGGGTGGACAGACCTTTGGGGAAGGTGATGTCCAAGGCGATGTCATAGGACTCTGCAAAGATCAGGATGTTTTCGATCTGAACGACACCAACAAGATTTTCTGCATCTAAAACCTGTCAGGATGGAGAGGGGCGCCCAGTGAAAGCCAGGCCTGTGGGGTTCAGGGGGGCCTGATGCAGGGAATGTCGGGATTAGTGCCCCTTGCAGGGAAGGCTGGTGTAGACAACGTGGGAATGAGAACAGGAGCCTGCAGTTTTCCTGTGTCCTTTTCCTCTGGATTTTCATTATTTCCATGATTAGCGCTACATTCTTGAAGCTTGGGCTGACAGTAGACACTCCAGGAATGTGTGTGTAGTTTTTTTCTTTTTTTTTTTTATCTTTAAATCAAGTAAGTCTTCAGAACATTTTTCTAACACTATATATTCTAAGTTATCCTTCTAAATAATTTTATAAATCTGAGTAATAGTGCCGGGAAGAGCTACATTTTTCATATGCAATAACGTGGTTGATGTTTCTCCATTGTCAATGTCTCACAGCCCGTGGATACTGTTACCATTCGGCCTCCAGGTTCCAGGGGCTCACCATGCTGCCATGATCCCTGCTGAGGAGCCTTCCTGTACCCATGTGGGCAACCGGCAACCGGTCCAGGGCTGGCACAGAGCCAACCACCTGAGCTGTTGCCACTGCCTCCCAGGATGTACATGAGCAGAATGCTGGAGTCAGGGGTAGAGGTGGGTGGTCCAGGTACCCTGACGTGGGATGTGGGCATCTCAGCCAGTGCCTTAGCCACTGTGCCGAACAGCATGCCCTACGGTTGGCTCCTGGACTAGGAGGCAGCGGGCGCCTGGCTTCCACCTGCTTCCTGTTAAGGGCTCTAGTTGGGAAACTGAGTCACCAGCTCCTTATCACATAGGCTTTGGGTGCCATGGGGACATTTGTGACTGTCACCAAGATTGAGTTTTCAATCAGATTTTTTTTTTTAGTTTTTATTTCATCAGATATTGGCCAAGGCTTGCAGGGTAACTTGGATCAATGTCAGTTTCACCTCTGCCCTTCTGCTGCTTTTCCGAATCAGAGGACAAGGAGGGCGGCCTGCCGTCACACAGCACTTCCTTTCTGCTACATACCAGGTACTTGGAGTGCTCAGTGCCTTTCTTCCTCACCCGCTGGGATGAGGGTTCAGGTTACATTTTATAATCGAGGATGACAGCGATGACAATGAAAGAGGTGTACCGGCAAAACAAGTGCATTGAACACTCTGCACAGAGCAGATACTGAAGGAGCACTATGTGGGAGAGCAGAGTTTCCGGGGGCTTGAGGGACGCCCTGCTCTGCAGAATCTCTGTCAGGCTGCTGGTTTTGGGGGACACGCAGGGATGGTCACAACAGTTAAGATACAGAAACGCTTCTGCACCAGTTGGTAAGCAGCTGTCATGATGGCCTCCCATTCATTCACTCTGCCTTCATGGCACGGTCTGCTCTTGGCCCTGGGATGGCACCATTTCAGTGCCTACAGTTGTGTGCAGAGCGAGGTATTGTGGGCTGGGAATGTTAAAACAGGGATTCCACAGGAGCGATTAGCCGACCTGGGTGTGTGAGGGTGTGAGCGCTGCGTGCATAGCTCGGCAGGAGCGAGCATGCACAAGCGTGTGGCTCACCTCCAGCCGGATGGCTTTCTTGATGTTGACGGGTTTGGAGGGCTGGAAGTGCACGTGCAGGCCATACTCGGCCCTTGGGGGGATGATGCCCTGGGTCAGGGACACGGTGAAGTCGTCGCCCAGGTGCTCCAGGCTGGTGATCCGCCAGGCCACTGGCAGCGGCAAGGCGTTGCGGAGGAGGACGACCTTGGATTCTTTCCTGCCGGACCAAAGGAAGCTGTGTTGGTTTACAGTGACTTCTGAGATCACAATCTCTTTTTGGTTTGTGGGTGTTTGCAGATTTATGAACCCCTCTTGGCTCTGTGGTTAGCCCAAAGCATCCCAAATGCAACTCAGAACTTGGCGCAAAGCTCCAAGGAAATTCTCCCCTCTCCAGTTTTGGCCAGGGCTTATGGTTTTGCTTGCTTTGCTTTGTGTATTTCCCTTCCCCATCCACAGCATTCTGTTTTTGGAACCATTTGAAATTCCACAGGAGATACTGTGCTCCTGTGTCTTGAAATAGTTCAAGGTATATTTAATAAGAAAATAAGAATGTTTATTGAGCCCAAGGAATTTCACAATGATATGATAATGTTATTTAATTCGCATTCACATTTTAACATTGTTTCCAACTTTTAAAAAAAGATTTATTTATTTTTATTGGAAAGTCATATTTACAGAGAAGAGAGAGAAAGATCTTCTGTCCGCTGGTTCACTCCCCAAGTGGCTGCAATGGCCTCAGAGCTGAGCCGATATGAAGCCAGGAGCCTGGAGCTTCTTCCGGATCTCCCATGCGAATACAGGGTCTCAGGGCTTTGGACTGTCCTCCACTGCTTTCCTAGACCACAAGCAGGGAGCTGGATGGGAAGTGGAGTAGCAGGGACTAGAACTGGCACCCATATGGGATCCTGACGCATGCAACATGAGGACTTTAGCCACCAGGCTATTGCACTAGGCCCCATTGTTTCAATTTTTAAAAAACAGATTAGAGGCTGGCACTGTGGCATGGAAAGTTCTAATTTGGGTCTAGTGTTCTGTGTACGTTAATTTCTAGAGCAAGGATTTTAATCGTTTAGGGTAATGGCTGCTTTTGAGAATCAGAAGAAAGCTAGTACTGAGAAAAATACAAATATGCACACACCTGGGCAGCTGACGCTGGAGACCCACCCACTGACCGCAAGTTAACAACCCGTGAAGTAGAAGGTGGGACTAACCGTTCTGGCCTTCCCGGGAATAGAGAGATCCTCAGGACGGGATTCTCAGTGCAAAAGCCAGCGTGATCCAGAGTCCAGCAGGATGAGTCGGCTGCCACAGAGCTGTGTGTTCTTTACATTGCATTCCCGTCCTGGTGTAACCCCGAACTCTTACCTGTGCAGCAAGAGCCGGTCGAAATGCAACTGCCTGGGGTCTAGCTCTAGTTCTGGGCGGATTCCCTGGCAGCTTAACTTGAAGATGGCGGGCTCTGGGTTCTCCTTGATGCAGCAGACGATGCTGTCTTCAAAGGTCCCGACTGCAGTAGGGTAGGCCCACACGTTTAGTATCTGATGGAAGAGTCCAAAGAAAAGCACATTTGTGCTGAGAGGCCGAGATCTGAGAGTTCCCGAGAAGGCCCCACCCTGGCAGACTCGTTTCCCGGCAACTGTACCTGCTTCTCGTTGGGCTTCAGGGTCATGTTCATGGGCTCCAGGAAGTAGGTGCTGGCTCTGACATCATTCTGAAAGCAGAAGAACGCTTCCACTATCATAGGGGAGTTGTTGAGGATTGTCAGTGTTTCCACGTTGCCTGGGAACAAGGAAGACTTGTATCTGGAAATAAACACAAATGGGGATGTGGACTTGGTGACTGAATGAGAATTCAAGTGGAAACACAGACTACGAAGCACAAGGCAATTTACAAGAGCAGCTCGGGCTCGAGGAATGACAAGGCACCTAAGAACACAAGATCTGTACTTTGGCAGACTTTGAGAACACCGAATGGTGACTCAACCGTTCGAGCCGAGGCCTCCTACCTCTGCTATGGGTTCACAGTGCTCCCTTGAGACTACTGAGCACTATGGGAGATTGTGTGCCTGAAGTTCCTAGAACAGCTGCGGCCATCAAAGCCCAACAAATGTCAGTTACCACTATTACGGGAGAAAGATGCAGAGGCATCCTTCTTTGTGCTTATGCACCTGGGAGAGATGAGCCTTTGCTTAACTTGTTGTTGTGTGTCTGCTTAGAGAAGTCCTCCTTCACCTCTGTCTCCCACATTTGCATGGCATGTTACGGTTCTGACATGGACTCATGTGGCTTTGCTCGCTCTTACTCCTCAGTATCTTAGTGAGAGAGCCACAGAATGAAGAACTACAAGCATTGGAAAATGTTCATCTGCTGGTAACTAAACAGAAAAGGAGGCAAAGGAGAAGGCGCCGGGTGTAAGGGTGCACACCATGAGCAATTACAGCCAAGGCCGGGAAATCACAAACAGTTCAAACCACTCTTTGGGTAGACTATGACAGAGGAGACACGTGTGTGTGAGTCACTGCCAACGGGGTGGCGGCCCTCGCTTCTGACTCAGCACCACCACCATCCAGCACAGCACAGCACAGGTGGGTTTCCCGTGTGTCGGACCAGCTGACTCCACACAAGTCTATGGATTTGTGGGTTCTGTCCTTGCCTCTTGGCAGACGAGCACAGTGAGGCTGAGCAGGGCATGGACCTTGCTCACCATGATCAGTGCCCTCCTGGATCAGCATCATCCGGCCCCACGTCCTCGTCAAGTCAGTGCTGTCCCAAACACACGTATCACTCTCGTAAACATACAAGAGTACTCCAAAAGAGTTCGTGAAAATGAAAGTAAAAGCTTATTTTGGCACAAATGTTTTAAATATATGCATAAAGGGGTGGGTCTTCACAAAAAAGTTCATGAAAATACATATTATATTAAAATCAAAGGATCAAATTCCAATTTTTTTCTGCCCAGATAAAAATCTTACAATTGAGTTTTCCATGAACCTTTGAAGTGGTCTTGTAGTGATAGAGGGACTTTCTCCTGTTCCAACAAAACTGTAACTCTACCTTCACCTGAAGCCATCCTGCCTTCTGGCCTCCCAGGATGAGAGCCTCTCAGCCTAGTGGGCTGCCTCGGGAGCTGTGCTGCTGCTGGCCCTTAATCTCTCCTGAAACTCCGTCCTGTTTGGTGTGTACACACATACCCTAACAACAACAGTGTCCAAGCAACCTCCCACAGACTCTATCATCCTCTCATCTACTCTCAACCATCTTCATTCACGGCCAAGCTTTTCCAAAGAGTCATCCTCACGCCTGTCTCTATTCTTTCACTACCCACGGATTCTGCAACTCACTTGATTTGGGCTTTGCCTCCAGAATTTCTCAAGAAGATCCTTTATTTTTATTTTTTAAAAGATTTATTTATTTATGAGAGAATGAGAGAACGAGAGAGATGAAAGGGCACTGGGTTTGTGTTGGGCTGCTCCCCCTTTTTTTTTTTTAAAGATTTATTTATTTATTGGAAAGTCAGATATGTAGAGAGGAGGAGAGACAGAGATCTTCCATCCGATGATTCACTCCCCAAGTGAGTGCAATGGCCGATGCGAAGCCAGGATCCAGGAATCTCTTCCTAGTATCCCACACAGGTGCAGGGTCCCAAGGCTTTGGGCCGTCCTTGACTGCTTTCCCAGGCCACAAGCAGGGAGCTGGATGGGAAGTGGAGCTGCCGGGATTAGAACCAGCATCCATATGGGATCCTGGCGTGTTCAAGGCGAGGAGTTAAGCCGCTAGGCCACACCGCCGGGGCCCCAAGGGCTTTTCCACTTTTGATCCAGCTCCCTGTTAATGGCCTGGGGAAAAAAGAGGAAGATACCCAAGTGCTTGGGATCATGTTGCCCACGTGGGGGGGGCCTGGATGAGATTCCTGATTCTGGCCTTGTCCAGCCTGGCCTATTGTGGCCATTTTTGGTGGTAGACTTGTGGATGAAAGATCTCTGTGTCTCTCCCTCTCTCTGTAACTGTTTCAAACAAATAAATAAACTGTTTAAAAACTGAGAAAATAAAGAAGGAAAGAAAAAACAAAGGAAGGAAGGAAGGAAGGAAGGGAGGGAGGGAGGGAGGGAGGGAGAAAGGAAACTAGATTGAGTGATATCTTCCATCTGCTGGTCTATTCCCCAAATGCATGCGATGGACAGGCTGAAGTCAGAAACCAGGAATTCCGTTTGGATCTCCCATGTGGGTAGTAGGGACTCAAGTCTGTGAGCCATGAACTGTTGCTTTCCCAGGTGTATTAGCAGGGGGCTAGATCAGAAGCAGCACTCACATAGTGACTTAACATGCAGTACCACAGCAGCCCTAGGAAGAGTCTCACCAAGGCCTTGGTGGTCTCCATGATATTGAGTGCTGTGGAAATCAACACTCTCCTTTCTGCAGCATCAAGCTTAGCGAGGACCCCTTCTCTCGGCCCCGTGACACCACACCTTCCTGACTGCTCCTGGCAACAGCTCTGGCTCTGTTTATTATCTCCTTTGCTGACTCCCCCCCATCTGCCATCCCCTTCTTTTATGCGTGTACTGGAGCTCTCTGGCTGCTGCCTAGGTCATCCTCTTTGGTGATCTCATTTGCATCCACAGCTTTTGTTGTCTTTTTAAAATATATATACATATATATATATTATTAATTACATTGCATTATGTGACACAGTTTCATAGGCTCGCTTTTGTTGTCTTGAAGACAGCTGTCTTCTGAGAACTTAAACTACACAGCCTATATTCCCTTCTTTTCTGGCTAGCTGAGCTATCTCTCAAGTACCTGAAACTTGATACATCCCTAAGTGAACTCTTGATTCCACGCTGTGAACACTGGCCTTCTCCTATTCTTTCAATCCTCTGGGTGCTTAGCAGAAACTTAGCAGGCCAGAATCTGATTTTCCTGATCCAGGCTGAGGCAGGCTTAGCAAAAGCTTTCTCCACGTACCTTGCATGAGAGTTATTCAATACTTACTTATCTCTTGATTTTCCACAGAGCAGTGGCCCGAAGTAATACCTCTCCATGCTCACAATGTACTTCTTAAAGACGACTTCGTTTGTCTTCATGTCCTTTCGGCACTGAGGGAACACTAGTCTGAGGGGAGAGAGAGGTAAGGACGGGACGCCTGCGTGGACCCTTACCTGAAGCCAACAACAAACCCAACACTCTGGGCACAATGGTTGGCTGTCTGGGGGCAGTGCTCCTTAAAGCCTTGAGAACCTCTGATGACCTTGTCTCGTCCACCCCCACCACCTCACCTCTAGAAGAGATAGTGGTGGGCTGATAATGGAGCTACCTGGATGCTAGAACATTCTCTGAAAATCACTGTGGAAAACCAGCTCAGGTTGATATTAATCAGGGTTCTTGATTTGGGGAGAATTGCTAAAGAGTTCCTTCTGGTGGATGCAAAAAGCTTTATTGTAAATAGGAAACTAGTTTAAATTAGCTCAATAATGGAATAAGCAAACTGACTTTATACTTCTTATTATTCTTTTACTTATTTTTTATCTTGGTCCAGGACGACTTCATGGCATCACGTCATTCCTATGGCTCTTAGTCCATGTCCCAGACACCGAAGCCTGACATACCAACGGGGCCTGGCATGTGGTCCCTACGGTCCCTGTCACATGAGGTTATTTAAAGTGGTCTCTTGTGCATAGTGCCATGAGGGAAATGAAACGCACTTACTTTGGGTCTTGACAAATGTATGGAAAGGTGCAGACACCTTGGCAATACAGCTGGTACTGGCAGCGAGTTCCAAGGATCTCAAAGTTAAACATTTGGTCAAAGTTCCCAACGTCGTTGGAATAGAAGTGCACTCGCAGTGTGACTTCACCATTGGCCGGCACGATCCACCGGAAGTGACTTAGCCTGCAAATGAGCACACAGACTTTCAAAGGCCAGGGCGCTCCCTGACATGCCCAGAGAAGCCCCGTCCTACTGGGGTGAGGCAGGCCAGGCCATGGGGCCAGGTGGGCAGGACAACCCCCTTCCCCTGCTCCCTGCCTGCTACTCTCCCTGGGATGCTCAGGCCCACCTGCTGAATTTCTCCTGGGAGTGCTGCCCGCTGAAGTTGTTCTGGTCTATGTCTGACAGAGGGGCGATCGTCCCAGTCGCTCCGCCAGAAATGCCTTTCCTGTTGAAGGGCATGCGGCGCTTGTCCTTCTGAGAGTCGCGATTTTGGTCTGCTTTTTCTTTTATTTTCTGTTTGCCCCCTCTGGACGAGGTGGCCTGCTCCTCTGCAACCTTAATTAAAAATGAACATGAGATCTTAGACACTTATCTTACAGATGTACACAGACAGAGATGCCTAAGGCCTGCCTGGAGGCTGGGGTGACAGCGCTGCAGGTGCCTGGTCTCACCCACCAGGGATGAGGCCTGAGTTATTCCCAGCTCAAACTTGAAGCTGAAATGGACTGTAATCTGTTACTATTTTTGGAAGGAGCAGAAATAAACACATTCCTATTTGTCCCAGATGCACCTTCTCATAATTGTTCTTAAATTCTTAAATAGGCATCTAATCACGGTTCCTACATTATGTTGTGCGGCTACAATCCATTAGTGTCCAGACCTTCTAAACCTCTCCCAATCACACTGATTTTTTTTTTTTTTTTTGGAGTGCCTGGATCGGTGCTCTCACTAAATTATCCCACTGCCCGGGTTTTTCTGTCTCCTCTGATAGAGACATTTAATTTATTCCTTTACTCTTTGTGAAACCAGAAAGAGCGAGCACGGTTAGACTCACAGGTGAAGCTATGAGCTCTGCCTTCCAGCACCATCAGGCTGACCTACCGTCACGGGCGCAGGGCAAGTCCCAGTGCTCGAGTGAACCCCTCCTTGTCTTCGTGGCTGGCCAGTCACCTCCTGAGGATGCTCTGGCTGCTGGGAACGTTTCCTTCCCCAACAACCATTTACCTACTACTTTCCATACTCAAAGATGGTCCTGAATCAATTATGTTTTTGGGAATAATAAAATGCCATTTTTTTCTAATTCTATCATTCCTCTCTCCCAAGCCCTGCACTCTTAAGCTGCCATGCATCTAGAAATGAATCAACTCTCAGAGAACAATTAGTAATTCTCTGAAAATGACAGGCTAGAGGATGCTTAACTATTCCCTTTTCACGGGCAGTTCCTCAAATAAGAGATTTGTGCAGATCTGCTTTGGATGATGGTGGCGGCTTTTTTTTTTTCATTTTAAAATTTCATTATGAATGAGCTCACTGCCCCAGCAAGGCACGCTTCCCAATGCTGCTGCCTTTGGATGCTGAACACCCACGCAACTGTGAGCTGCTGCTTAGAGCAGTGGTCTTGGTTGCCCTGTTGCGCTGCAGGCAAAACCTCTGAGTGAGCTGTGCTCACTTTTTGCTGACGTGTACAGTTCTAGGAAGCAGTGTGAGGACATTAAACCTGAGGATGCCACTCTCCTCCAGGAATAAAAAAGGTCTTTGTAAATTTTAATATGCACAACTTGGTACTACGGGTCAAGCCCATCTTTCTTTTGTGACTTACACTATTCATTGTTTGTATATTTTCTTCTGTGTTTACATGATTTGATTTAGACTACATATTTTTCTTCCTGTTGGAATTATTCACTTGGTTGTGAGAAGACCAAAAGTGACTTTATCCAAAGTACCCATTCTTCGTTCTCCGTTTTCAAATAAGCTGTCCCTTCTCCAGTGGTGAGTGTTCTGTAACTTGTGTCAGTTGATTCTTGTGTTTTAATGCACTGCGTGGGTCACTCCTGCCTCGCCATATACTTTCATCTCTGAAACAAAGAGCTAGTTTGGCTCATTTTTCCCGACAGGTGAAGTCTGGAGTCATTTGACAAACTTTCTCAAAACCTTCTCGATAGGTCTGGGAGTGATGGAAGGGGCCACCATTCTGTCATCATCTGACAGGTGCACTGAAGAAACCCGTGGAAGGCGGGTCCAGGGGTGCTGCTGTGGGTTTCTCAGCAAAAGTTCAGCTGCGGGCTGCCTCGAGGGGAAGCTCCTTGCCCTGCCTGCAGACAGTCCTGGCAGGGTCCGGGGGACTCGCTGCTGGCCTCTTACCTTCAGGGTGATGGCGGCGCTTAAGAGATCTGCTTCTATGTCTGCTTCTGTTTTCTCATCCATCAGAGAGAGATCGTCAGAGGGTGGGTTCACAAACACAAAGTGCTTCATGATGTCTGTGGTGGCAGGAGGCAGCCGCTTCACTGGGTAGGAGATGACTGAGAACAAGGTGGGTGGAGGGATGGGCGGTCCGCAGGAACCCAGACCCAGGAGCTCTAGGATCTGAAGGAGAGGCCCCTTGTTAACTTCCTGTGCAGAGGGCAGGCTCATGCTAGCTGCCTACTGAGTGAGCAGAAAGCGGTTCACTTCCTCTGTGTTCCCTCTTGCCCAGCGTTCTGGGGATTAGACCACTGCATGTTTCAGGGAAGGGGCATGAAGCACCTGGGGCATGGGTCTGCAGATCTTTCCAGAGTGCTACACCCTGGACCCAGCAGGGGAACTCTTGCTCTGGGCTATGTGCTGCCTGCTCCTGTCTTATCGCAGCCTTTCCCCCCATGTAAATGCTGACTGCGAAAAGACTATGTAATAGGGCCGTAAACTCTCCTTCCAAGCCACTGCATCTGAACCATTGCTCCATGCGACAGGATAGGTTCCTTCCCAGTGGGAGGCTTGTCTCAGATCCATCTCTAAGGGCACAAGAGACGAATGAACTTCAGGGGTCATGGATTTTCAATGAAAAGAAAAAAAATTTTTCTGGGCCTTGCATGATAGTCCAGGGGCTAAATCCTCACCTTGCATCTGCTGGGATCCCATGTAGACACTGATTTGTGTTCCAGCTGCTTCACTTCCTACCCAGCTCCCTGCTTGTGGCCTGGGAAAGCATTGGAGAAACTCCTGGCTCCTGGATTCAGATTGGCTAAGCTCTGGCCATTGTGGCCACTTGGGGAGTGAAGCAGTGGATGGAAGATCTTTCTGTCTCTCTTCCTCTTAGTAAATCTGCCTTCCCAATAAAAGTAAATAAATCTTAAATTTAAAAAAAAAGGGGGGAAAAAAAGACTTTCTGATGATTATACGCATGGCTCCTTTGCCAGCCTGGCCCAGGGTGTGTACCTGATCTTCCTTGGGGAGCTTGTCGCTCTCCAGGGCCTGCTTCCAGCTCGAGCCTTCTGAGTCCAGAACCTGGATGTGGATGAACGGCACGCCCAGGTCCTTCTTGCCTTCACGGTCCTCCTCGCCCTCCCCCTCATCCGTGCTGCGCTCCTCCAGGGCCCGCAGCTTCTCTAGGCGCTCCCGTTCGGCCTTCTCCCGCTCCTGGCGCTCCCTCTCGGCTCGCTCCTTCTCCAGGCGCTCCCGCTCCCGCTCCTTGCGGCCCCGACGCCCCCCTCCTGCTGAAGGGACCTGGCGCTGGTCATCCGGCTCGTGGGGAACCTCCTCTATCCATGCCTGGTGCAGTGGGATCCCTTGCTTCCGGTCCCAGTAGGCAAGAAGGTTCTGGATGTCCTTCAGACTCAACTCATAGGACTTGAACCTCTGGGCCAACTGCTTATCACCATCCTTGGGGAAGTCGCCTTCGCTGTCTTCTTGCTCCTGGCCGATGGGAAACCCTGCAATGCTGCTGTCGGTCAGGAGTTTCTTCTTCTTGCTGGGGTCCTCCTTCTCGGCCGCTGCTTGCTCCCTCACGGACACTTTCCTTTCGAGGGATTCCATCTTGACGTCTGCTTTGGTAGAAGAAAGAACCTAGAGGCAAAACGCACAAAATATGCTTAAAAAAATAGTTTGTGAAGGAAAAGGCAATTTCAGAATGTACCTCGGGAGGCTGTCTGATGTATAAGGTGGCTTCCTGGTGTCCAAGCCCCTCTGTGGACGCTGACGTGGGGCCTCAGGTCCAGTTGAGGACTCTGATTTAATATCTGTCCTGTGGGCTCTTCTGTGTGCTATGGATCTGGCTAGGTCCTAGTCTTGTGTGTTTGAAAAATGTGCCTAGAGAGCTTTCCAGGCATGCCTGGTTCAGGGTTGCTGTTCTGAAGGACCAACAGGAAAAGCTTGGCAAATGCAGCCCTCTCTGCTTTCAGCATCTGGCCTGACTTTGGGGACTCCATGTGTCGGTGTGATCAGACAAGGAGTTAAGAAAAATGTTCAGTGCTGTGTGTGTGTGTGTGTGTGTGAGAGAGAGAGAGAGAGAGAGAGAGAGAGAGAATGAATCTTCCATCTGTTGGCTTACTTCCCAGTTGGCTACAATAACAGAGCTAAGCCAAGCTGAAGCCAGGAGTCAGGAGATTCATTAGATTCTCCCACATGGGTGGCAGAGGCCCAGGTATTAGCATGGCACTGGAATAGAAGTGGAGCCATCAGAACTTCATCTGGTACCTATATAGGATATAGGAATTGCATGTGGCATCTTTACCTCCTATACCATAACCCTGACACCATGGCTTTTTTAACACAACAGGAACATTAAGAGGCTTTAAATAGCAAATTAGACCCCACTGAAGAAACAACATAATTAGACAGTGTGTCAGAAGAAAATATCTAGCATGGAGCTGGGTGGGACAGAAGTAGGCAGAACATGGGAAAAACCTAACTGCAAATTAAGTGGTATTCAAAAGTTTTCAAAAGGGTTCAGTTTACGCATGACTGGAACCCCAGAGGAAGAGCAGTGGAAGGGTGGAGGGGCAATGTGCAAGAGTTAATGGGTAATGGCTCTCAGCCTACAGACCTTCCCTTTCAGCCTGGTGTACTGCTGGAATGTTCTTTCATGTCTGAGAACCAAACATCAGCAGCTTTTCTGGAGCTGCAGACTAGCCTGTCCAAGAAGAGTTTATAGCAAGTTTCCTGGGAACAGGATTCATTGTTTCAACCTAAGCTCCAAAGATACAAGGTCAGGGGCCAGTACCATGGTATAGCAAACTAATCTTCCATCTGTAGTGCCAGTAGCTCATGTAAACACCATTTCATGTCCCAGCCGCTCTACTTTCAATCCAGTTCCATGCTTATGACCTGGGAAAGCAGCAGAGTGTGGTTCAAATCCTTAGGCCCCTGCACTCAAGTGGGAGACTGGAAGATTTCAACTGCTATGCTATCACGCTGTGCCCTGTGGGGACTACTCTTGCCATTTTGCCCTTCCTGGGTCACAGCGGGTGGGGATGTGACTGGAAGGCATAGCTCTGGTCTTGCAGGGATAAACTCATGCTGCAGCATCTTCTTTGATGGCTATCAAGAATGCACTCTGAATGGAACACATGGGTTTCATGGACTTTGTGTTTTCCGGGAGGCAAAATGTGTAATGCCAGCTTAGCTAGCGCCATGTGGGAGGCAGCAGAAAGAGGGCTATGGTCGGACGTATCTGAGTGAGGACCTGGGATTGTGACTTCACCTCTCTGAACTCCACAGGGTGGGCGGGACCCCAATGTGAAATGGTCATGTTAAGCACAAGGCTGTCATTTGGCCTACAGTGAGCTATCAGTGGGCTCCTCCCTCCTACTTCTGCCCCATGGCAAAAGATCAGTCATCTGCAGGGGACACACGGCTGCCCTCTGCCTTTTGGTGAGGGATACTACCTGCTTATTCGCTGCCTGAGGCTTCTTCCCGGGGGGCTCCTCCTTTCCTGGTCCCTGCTTTGGTTTCTTGAATTTCCGCTTCAATTCTTCTTCCTCCTTTTGGCGCTCGAGCTCTTGCTGCAGCTTCTTCCTGTGCATCTCCTTGGCCAACCTCTCCAGCTCCCTTTGCCAAAGCAGGCAGAGAGGACAGTTCAGTGGTCCCCCACCCGAGCCCCTCTCCTGCTGGGGATTCTGGGTGAGGGGGTTTTGGGCACAGAAAGAAAGAAAGCTGGGTCTAGGGAGAGGAAGGAAGGAAGGAAAAAAGAAGGAAGAAAAGAAGGGAGAAGAAGGGGAGGGAGGGAGGAAAGTAGGAAGGAAGGGAGGAAGAAAGGTCCACAGAACTATCAACCTGTATTGCTATTGCAATCTCCTCTCAAGGGAAGGTAAAGCAAGTGCTGAAAATAAACCTCACGGTAACAGGGTGAAAAAAGCAACTTACAAAGCTTGTTCGATTAGCTCCAGTAAGGCCTAGCTCCCTATACTGTCACATATGTACTCAGACAGCAGTGTTGTGGTGTTGTTAACAGCAGTCCCTACCATGGTTACCATGAAGTCATGGAGATGGGGCTGAAAGCCACCATCCTCTCCATCCTCTCCCTTTCTGCTGGGCATTCAGCTGTACCTGTTCCTGCTGTTAACAGCAGAGAGGCCACCAAAGCCAAGCACCAAGTGCAAGCAAGAGAGCAGACAGCACTTGTGCAGATACCTAACCCATTTACTTTCATCTCCAGGAATCCCCAGTCATTCTCTGTTGCCATCAATCTTTGTCCTTGGGAGCCAGTTGTTATACTTCACAGGGTGAGCGTGTGTGTGTGTGTGTGTGTGTGTGTGTGTGTGTGTTGCAAAGATGCCATTGTGGATCACCTTTGCATCCAGGCACAGAGACTGCTAAGCTAGGGTGCACTCAACAGGGGAATCAGTTGGACACTGGGACCACAAGGGGCTAGAAGACCCTCCCCAAGTGCCAGCTCTGACAACATCATCTGGAGAGAACAGAGGTGAGGGAGGGAGAAGCCTGGAAAGCAAAGGCTGAGGCACCTAGGACTGGGGGTGTGCAGGGAGTCCTTCTTGTTCCCAGCATGTCATGTCCAGGGGCTTGTGCTGCCTTCCTGGAGCTGAGAAAGAACCCCACTCCCCACCCCTGTGACCCCCTTGGCGTGCCCTTCTAAAGGGATGGCTTCTGCCTTGGGCCACCTTTGGTCCCTACCTCTTCTTCCTCTCCTGGAGTGCCCGCTGAACTTCTCGATCAAATGCCATTTTCTCCTCCTCTGTCAGGGCGTCATACTCGTCCTCATCCATATTCTGGAGGCGCTCCTTCTCTCTCTGAATTGCTTCCCGGCGCTTGTGTTCTGTGCAGGCAGCACAGATGGCAAGGTGAGGCCCAGGCCTCCAGTAGCTCAGCTCTCAGGGGACATGGGCTCCAAGGGGGGCAATACAGGGAGGGGCGGCTGGGGTAGCAGTTGGCATTCTTAGCTCTTGGTAGACTTTCTTTCACTGGCACAATTCCAAATGTGGGCTCAGCTCTGATTGGCTTAACAGCAACATCAGAGACACCTGTGTCCTGACCCTTGAATCTGTGACTATTATGTGCATACCAGAGGGAGTTGGTGGTTATGATTAAATTAATGGTCTGTGATGGGACTGCCTTGGGTTGTCTATGAATGACAGTGTCATGTCACAGAAGCAGGGGAAGAGGAGACAAAAGGAAGCAGAAATCAGAGGGTGCAAGGAAGGGGCCATGAGCTCAAAAATACAGGGGGCTACTAATACCAGAAAAGGCAGAGAGGTGGCCCTTCCTCTCAAAGCAAAAACAACAGGACCCCTGGCTGGGAGGACACAGCCAATGTATGAGCTTCATCTCTTTCCAGTAGTGTATTTCATCAGGGAAACTGCTGTAAAAGCCCGAGGATCTACTGAAAGGAAAGACGTTTTGGGGTTTGGGAAGGATAGTCTGGCAAGGACTGGGGCCTTGCCTTCTTGCTCCTTTTTGGCCTTTTCCTGGGCCTTCATGGCCGTGTAATCTTGGGCCATGTTGATGACGTATATGTGCTCCCGGTTGCCGATGGCCTTCAGCAGGCAGAGGAGGGCAGCCGTCCCATTCCGGGCAAAGAGGGTGTCCAGGCCATCGAATACCACTCCGCGGAAACAGTCACTCATCTGAAACCGGGGGTGGGGGAAAGACAAACATGGCTGCCAGGGCCACAGTGTCATTCATACTGCTTAGAGAAGACTGCCCATCCCATTGTTGCTCCAGCTGCCTCTGGAAATGCCACTGCACCTCCCTCACATTGTGGGCAATCGGCACAGAGGCAGAGACGCTGTGTGCATCATCAGCATCCTGCATCAGTGTTTGGGTTTGAGTCTGGCTCTGCTCCTCATTCTAACTGCCCTGTGAGGAGGCCACAGGTGACGGCTCAAGTAGTTAGTTTTTTGTCATCCCTGTGGGTCACCCAGCCTGTGTTCATAGCTCCTGGGTATCTGGGGGAGTGAACCAATGGTTGGTAGATCTTTTCCCTCTGACTGTTAAAGAAAAATAAACCGTGCCCTGATTGCTAGATTCAAGTCTCTATTATAAATGAGAAGCACAGAAATATCTGATCAGGCTTGAAAGGTCTTTGTTGTATTAATTAATTAATTAATTATAGTATAAAGGATTTATTCTGTTTCTATAGACGTGACTGAGCAGCTAAAGGTTAAAGTAAGCAGATCTGGAAAGATCCATGAAGGACAGAAAGACAAGATGGGAAGGGAAGAGGTTTCCAAGGCCAGAATGAGGGGCTGGCAGGAGTGGCACTAGAGGATGAGCCATTTGCAGAGTTCTTCAGGGGCACCTGCCTTGGCATGTAACACTCTGGTAACATTCATTGTGGAAGAGCAGCTTCCACTGTGCTCCAGCGTTGCTTAAGGCACAGCTTGTCACCTGGCCACTGCTGCTCCGAATGGACTCTTCACATCACCACAGGACCTGGTGAGCAACTCGGCTCTCTGCTCACAAACCATAAATCAGGCTGAAGAGATATCCCTTCCCAAACTCCACTGAGTTTATTTATTTTTTTTTTTTGGATTAAAGTTTTATTTATTTAGGTTTTTTTTTTTTTTGAGGTAGAGAGAGAGAGAGAGCGAGTGCTTCTATTTCATGCTTCACAATATGAACCATATGAACACAACAGCTGGGGCCGGGACAGGATAAAGCTGGGAGCCAAGAACTCAGCTCAGGTCTCCTAAGTGGGTGGCAGAGATCCAATACCTTGAGCCGTCACCAAGGTGCACGTTAGCAGGAAACCAGAATCACGAGTGGAACCAGAACTTGAACCCAGGCCCTTTGGCTTGGAGCCCATGTATCCTAAATGGCAGAGCAACCATTTGACAAAATCCTCACCCCATTTGTTTTCTTTAACCATACAACAATTACCGATTTTTTTTTAACAAAGGAAAAAATCAACTTTTAAAAGGAATATGACATAAAACAAAATAATTCAGAGTTGTGAAGGAAGATCAGAAATCTGTCATCCTGTTACCATGAACTTGAGACATATACTTACAAAGGTTTACATAGAGATGTAATTGGGATTCACGTTCTACTTTATAATCTACTGTTTTCACTAAATAACATGTTAAGGCCATATCTTGAAAACAACTATCACAGCTCCAAATTCAAACTATTAAGAGCTCCACTACTTAAAAAAATAGTAAGTATAATCTGTTTGCTGGGTCTATAAGAAGGTGAGTGGCTTCAGGCCATGACAAAATGGGCCAAGGTCAGGGAATGATTGGAGCTGCCAGAAGCAACTGCGCCCTGTGGGTGAAGACTCCCACATTTCTTCTTCAAGACCCTGGGTCCGGGCAATCCTGAACCTCAGCTTGCCCCACGGGGCCAGTGCATGAATGCTCCATGCTATAGCTCTGTGCAGTGGGTATGCGGGCACCTGTATCCGTTCGGCCAGGATCTGCACGAGAAGGTCCTCAGGGAGCACACAGCTCACCAGCCCCGTCTCACCTCCCACGCTGGCGCTGACGCTGAGCCGCCGTGGGGTGGGTCCTGGGAGGAGAGGGCTGCAGGAAATCTGCGAAAGTGGGAGGAAAACCAGGAGTGAGAATCCAGCTTTAATGTCTCAACAACTTCTACGCCTACAAGCCTTAGGATCTCAAGAAATTTCCAGGCCTCATTCCTTCATTCCTAAGATGGGGGCGGGGGGCTCACTCCTCCCTGCCTTAAAGAATTGCTAGAAGTCTAGCACTGCGGAGGGTAGTCCTTTGGGAATGTCTTGGAGCCCACACCTTTGTGCCTTCATTCAAGAAATAGTTCCAGAGCAGCGACCAAGCAGCAGGCCTTTTCTGGTAACAGGGCTTGACAACAAGTACAGCTTTCAGTGGTGCTGCCTGCATGGCTCTTACTGTCTCACGGATGAGAGGTAGGGCAGCACTTTCACATTCAAATCAATGACCTAATTTCAGATAGAGGTACATTCCTGGGGGAGAGTAGCTGGGCCAGGGCATGAAGAGCTATGAAGAGAGACTACTGTAGGCTGTAGAGTGGGACAAGTCTTAAAGGATGAGGCTTACTGAGAGAAAATAAAAACCCCTGCCAACATGGTTATGCTAGGGGTACCTGGGGAAACACATGTGAGCCCAGGGTGCATTGAGCTGAGCAAACAACAGGAAGATGGACAAGAACGAACGAAGGTCAGGTTGTAGCAAATGAGGAAGATGGGGGCAGGCGGGATGACCAGGAGACAGCTCATGCGCCAGTTCTTTGAAGGAACAGCAGGGAAGAGGAGATGGCAGATGGGATGGCCTGATTTGAAAGTGTCTCCCCGAAGCTTGTATTTTGCAACTTAATCCTTGAAGTCATGTTAACGGTATTCAGAGGTGGGACCTTTGGGAGGTTGTTAGAATGAGATGAGATCAAGAGGGTAGGGCCTTTGTGATGGCACTTGTGGCTTTAGATGGAAAGAGAGACCTGAGCTAGCCCTCTTGCCCCGTCTCACCAGTGATACCATCCCTGGACACTGAGGAGGTGCCAGTGCCAGGCTTTCAGACCTCCTAGCATCCAGAATTGTGAGCCCAACAAACCTCTTTTCCTTATAAATAACCCTGTCTTAGGTATTTTGTTACCAATAGAAAACAGAGTCAGAGATGAAACAATGCCTACAAATGGATGTGGAGCCAGAGTGTTCTCAGTGAGGGGAGGCATGACAGCCTGTGTACACACTAACGGGACAATATAACAGACACAGAAATTGTGGGTAGGAGAGGACAGCTGCATAAACTTAGCTCTCAAATAAGAAAAACACATGTTGTGCCATGCACTTGTGAGGGACCAACCCTGGATGAGGGCACGCAGGGAAGGCTGGCATACAGGCTGACTGGCAGACCTGGTGTTGTGAGGAGGTGGTGGTTACCTTTTGAGGACTGCTGCTTTCTTAGTCAACTCCAAAGAGAAATGTGTCTTACAGGTTACAACCGTGATGAGATCAAGAAAATAGTTATGTTGACTAGATGGAGGCAGGCTTACTAGGGCAGACCAAAGTGTCTGCTGGAAAGCTGTGGTCTTAAGTCAAAGCAGGAGCACTGAGGAGGTGCTGTTCTGTCTCCAGCCAAGTCCAGCAGCTCTTCATGGACCAGCTGAGTCACTGGGGTTTCCAGACTGTCAGTTTTGCTTGGAGAGCATGAGGAAAGGGAAGTTAGAGTGGACGCCTATGCTGGTGGACTGTGGAATGCAAACTGGGTAAGATGGGCAGGAAGGTGAGTGGTCAGCTGGGAGTAAGTGACCTGCAGTTACTGGTCAGTGGGGCGTGCCAAAGGAGAGCTTGGTGTCTACAGTGATGATAAACAGTATCTAGGGTATGGTCATGGGAGGCAGCAGCTTGAGGAGACCCTGGAGCTAAGAGGCCAGAGGGTGGCATGAAACATGATCCAAAAGATCAGGATTTCTAACTGGTCATTTCATGAAAGAAGGTGATTTATAAACAAAAGCAGCCTATCACAGGCCACTTTACTTGCATAGTATAGTATACATTTCTCAGTCAATGTGCAACATCATTGAGGATACAGCTGTTGGAGGAGTCACGCTCTCTGGGAGCTTCAAGACGAGCAAGCAGCTGCCTCTCCAGGAAAAGTCCTTTCACAAGGGGATTCTTGTATAACCGCTTAAGTCCTGTCACAGCGGAGTGGTACAGACAGCCTCTTGTGGGGTCTGTGGGCTCTGATTCCTAACCATGATCATTATAGTTCCAATTTTTTGAAGGCATCTTGAGTCACAACTGGGATTTTCTCTTGCCTTCACAACATATTAGAAAACCTTACTTCACCACCCAGAGGGAAAGAATCAAATCACTGTAAGACCTTATCTGGTAAGAGATATATGAGTTTTCATTTATCCATGAAAATTTGTGCCAAGAGTTTCCTATTAGTTCCTAGAATAGAGGATAGTTCCTCAATACAACACTGAGTCAATGGTCTCCATTTTCAAGGTATTAGAAGGAAAAGATGGAAGAAAATGATGGTTGCCACAGTGACCGGAGGAGGGCAGAATTTGCTTTAAGCCCCATGTGTCTCTCTAACCTCAGTCTTGGCCTCCGAAGGATGGATTCTGGCACGCCTCTCAGACAACAGGGTCACCGGTGTACCAGTGATGGACACAGACCAATACTGCCCAATAATAAGGACTGAAGTGATCCCCGCTTCAGCTTCTGCATTAAGGGAGATTTAAAACTCCCTTGCACATCTCTTGCTGGCTTTTCTTTCTTCGGTAATTCCCTGCTTCACATCTATCTTTTCACTACACGGGGAAAGAAAGTTCATGACTGTGGTTCCTGGGGTTCCTGGAATAAAGGCCATATAAATTCATTTCTATATGTGGCTGATGTGTTCCTTCCCTGGTGGTTGGTGAATCTTATAGTAAATAAAGCCAGAGACACTGTCTGGCACAATCCCAGCCCCATGGGATGCTCCATCCAACCTGCAGGCCCATTCTTCCAGGGAGATCTTGGCTTCTGTGCATCCATTTGCCCTGTCTAACCCGTGGGCCTTCACTCCTGCAAGGACATGAATCCCTACCCACCCACCTGTGGTTCACAGTCGTCTGTGCTATGGAGGCCTATGGCTCTGTCCCAGACAATGCACAGGGCCTTCTCTCCTACTGGAATCTTCACTTCGCTCTGTCAGCCTCAGCAATGCTCTCTGAAACCTCACCCTTCTTCCTGTTCCTACAGCACTCAGATAAGGTGAGGCCCAAAGTTCTAACTTCGAGCATCTCCCTGAGTGTCCTCTTAGAATCTGCTCTATCTGGCCTGGGCTCCCTGCACTGCGGTCAGTTCTCCTGACCTCGGTTGTCAACACGCTCTCTCCCAGGCAATGATGACAACTTTTCTGTCTCTGAGAGACCCAAAGGCCCAATGAGAAAAATCTTTCAGCTGAGTAGTAAGTTTGTGGCATTGATTGGACCACTTCCAACTATTATTTTTTATTGTCCATTACCAGGTTTTGGTTCTGTACACTGCATTTGAGATACAAGAGGTTTTTTAGTCTCCTCCATCATTCTCTATATGCCCAACCCCAGTACTGCCTGCAAAAGACACTGCCACTGGCACATTATCAGAGAGCCATTTAACAAGATCTTCAGATTTCATACTCTATTCTTCTTTTCCCACCCTTAGCTCTGTCTGTTTATCCCTTTTCTGACCCCAGAACAGGCTGACTCCTTTATCTGTCCACTGTGATCAATCTTGTCTAGCCCACCTCCCCTCAATCTCCCATCCAGTCTTGGTGTCCCCCATCAAGACTTCATCTCCAGCAGCTCCTGGAGACTTGACTGCACCTTTACTGCCTTTTGGCAGTAGACTCTTGACCCTGGGTTTGTCTTTGTAACAACTACTCTATCTTGCTATTTTTTTCAACTCTCTTAAATCTTATATTCATTCACCTCCACTTTGATTCCTACAACTCATTACTCACCTGCAGCTGCCTTCTTGGGCTTTCACATCTCCCACTCTTCTACATCCTTACGTTGCTCAAACTCTGTGAGCTTTATGGCTGTCCAGGACTCTCCCCAGAGCCCTCCTGCAACTGTACTAATGGTTTCATCCTGAACATTCCTACGGTACTAGGTGGCATCGCACAGGACATCACTGTCACAGGTTCCCCCGAGGGTTAGAAACTGTCAGTTTCATATGGCTCAGCTGAATCCCTGTCAACACACCCCTTCTGTCACTCATCTCTTTTTGCGGTAAACATCTGGAGGTGACATTTTCCTCCTGTATCAGCATCTTTTTCAGTGCAGCTTGGCTGAAGGGGCTGTGTTTGCTTTATATTGGCATTGCCAGCAGTCAGCCCAGGGCACAGAACACACAGAGTGCTGGCTAAGCACTTGCTGGGAGTTTACCTCCTTTGGGAAGGACCGAGGTGTGGTGACAGCACTCAGGCTGGTCTGGTGAGGATGCCAGTGGGAATCAGGGGTGCTGACCATGGGCTGTGGGATGCTGGGGGAAGGAAGAACGGCCCTGAGCTTCCTGCTCCAAAGCCCCGACTGGTACCTGCGGCGTGTCGGACTGGTGCGAGTGGTGCTGCTTCTGTGACCCAGAGCCATGGCTGTCCACCTTGCCTTTGGGCAGCATCACACTGCCACGCACACTCTTCCCGGGCTTCAGCTCTGGGGTCAACACGGTGATATCAGATGTAAGCTTGCCCAAGTTCTCAGAGCTTAGACGTGTTTGGCCCAGGATGTTTTGGCTCAGATATGTCTCCTGGGCTGCAAGGAGAGGGTGGGTTTTTATTAAAAGCCACATTAGAATACTAAGAAAATGACAGTGTCCTAGTTCTCCAGAAGGGATACAGAGCCATCTGTCTCCCTTTGAGCTGGCTTGGGAACAGAGGCTGCACCCACGGAGCACTGGGGGGCAGGTCTGTGGTGAGCTTCATGGGGTACTTCATCACTCACCTTGCCAGGGGGGTCCCCACGTTAACCTGTGCTCACTCAGTAACCCCTCCAGCCCAGAGCGGAATACTTTTGATAACTGCTGCTACACAACAGCTCTGGTCTTGGATGCCCAACACCTGATCTTTCCTGGTGAGAGGTTATGTTGAAGCCAATGAGCATCTTAGCAGGGCATTCTCTGCCTCCTCAAAGAGTCATCCAGATGAACAAGTGAGTCAGGTAATGACCATGCGTGGCTGATGGCAAAATGGCTTCAACACTGATCTCCTTTTCTGCCCCCAACCCTTCTTCCAATTAGATGGCCACCCTTAAGAACTCCCCTTTACTGGAATGTTCCCTTCCCCAAGGTCAGGGTTGGATTTGGTTACCTAAAAACCACTCAGAGAAGACCCTTGCTAGAGAGCCTGTGGCCACTGTGATAAACTCTTGATAATCTCCCACTCCCCACCCTCCAACAGCATATCCTGTCTCATCATGTCCCCTGGGACCCTGAAGAACAGGGTACAGAAGATGCTATTGCTCCCAGCTCTGCCCCAAGAGAGAGTGACAGGGACAGATGGTGCTGGGCTTCACCCACACTTCCTGCGCTCTCGGGGAGACTCATTAGGGACCCAGGGCTCCAGGGTGACCTTCTTGGCAAGTAAACCTCCACAATCTTTCTAGACTTGTCACTGCAACTGAGTCTGCCATATCCTTTCATGCTGTTCCCTCCCAGCGTCTGGGGGGCTGACTATGAGTAGAAGCACTCCATACAGCATGTGGCAGAAGATTCCGTACTCTACAGCCAGCACTGGAGCTGCTGTGCTAAGGTTCTCCAACGACAGGACTGGCTGGTCCATGCTCACTCAGCTCCATCAACCCCAGCCCTTCCTGATCCTGCCCATGTTACCTGCCACCAGGCATCTCACTGTGGTAATAATGACTGCCCCAGCCCGCCTGGCCCAGCGCTGGGGCTCTCACTCCTCCCTACCCATGCCCATCCTGCCCTGACTACTGCAGAATCTCTTCAGTGGTTTCCATGTGCCTCTAACTTTTCCCTGCACATGGCATCATTCTTCCATATTTTAGAAACAAAACAACAAAAAACAGTTTTTACAGATTCAATACTCACGCGTGCTTGCATTTAACCCTTTGTTTTTGTCAAGATCTTTATTGCACCTCTTCTTTTTCCTTCACTAACCTGTTCTCAAAAACCCTATATTAGTTCTACCAAACAGATGATGCGAACCACATGATATATAGTTCTAAAATTTATAGTAGTTCCATAAAGAATGGACATGAAATTTACAGATTAAAGAATCGAAATGAATTTTCATGATACATGTATACCAACACATCTTAAAGAATATATTCCTAAACTTGCCCTAGCATGGGAGCTGGCATGGCATTAAAGTCAGCCTTCAGCCAGGCCATGGAAGGGAAATTCTGCGGCAGGATGGAGACGAGGGCATTGCCAGAGTGGGTGCCAGCTGCTGTTTCCGCCAATGGGCAGGTGCAGTCAAGCTCTTACCAAATTCCTCGCCTTCCTTCATGGACTGCTCGATGGCGGCCTTGATGCAGAGCTCGCGCGCCCGGATCCCTGGGACGTTACTGCTGTCAGATATGGCTTCCACCACGACGGAGTCAATGTTCAAGCAGGCTGCGTGGTAGTGCTTGGCCACACTGATGGCGTTGACTGTCTTCCCTAGGAAAGAAAGCAATAAAAATTTAAAAAAAAGGTCAGGGGTTGAATTTTATGCGCAGTATTTGCTCAGTATGCTGGGCAGGAGTCTCTAGAACAGAGGCCTCCACTAAGTGGATCCCTCGGAGCGCTCTGCCTTCAAGTCTCCCGCGGCTGGAGGAGGACTCAAAGCGTGGTTGGGGTTTTGGACATGGCCCTGATCCCACTCCTGAGATCTGTGTGCAATAATGACCTCCTTTCTCCTGGGGTGCTTTCCTCAGCCTAAAAAACAGATTCCATCAGATGACCTTTAGATATCATGCAGTTCCTATGGTCTCTAATGAGAAGACCTTTTGGTTGAGAGGACAGCTTGTGCCGACTTACGCCCCCCCCCCCCTTTTTTTCATAGCACTTTTATTAAAAAGCAAGGTAAAGGGTCCAGCACAATAGCCTAGTGGCTAAATCCACCCCTTGCACCTGCCCCATATGGACCCCATATGGGTGCTGGTTTGTATTTTGGCTGCTCCACTTCCCATCAAGCTCCCTGCTTGTGGCCTGGAAAAACAGTGGAGGACAGCCCAAAGCCTTGGGACCCTGCACCCATGTGGGAGACTCAGAAGAAGCTCCTGGGTCTTGGCTTTGGATTGGTTCAGCTCCAGCCATTGTGGCCACTTAGGGAGTGAACCAGCAGATGGAAGCTCTTTCTCTCTGTCTCTCTTCTCTGCACATCTGTCTTTCCAATAGCAATAAATAAATACATTTTTTAAAAAACCAAACATAATATTCAGAAATATCAGACTAAAGCATCTATAATCCACTCATCTGGAGATAGTGGGGCTAGACTATGGGTGTTAAATTCATTTCTGGAAGCATGTCACTTGTGTGTGCTAGGCAGAGTAATGGCCCCCAAAGCTGTCCACAGCCTCATCACTAGAGCCCACAAATAAATCACCTTACGTGATCAAGAGACAGTGTCAATGTGATTAACCGATGGCTCTTGATGCGGAAGACAGCCCTGGATTTTCTGGGCAGGCAGCACCTAATGCCAAGGTCCATGTAGGGGACAGCGGGGTCATGGCCAGAGCAGGGGAATAAAGAGCAGAGAGCCCTCTACTGCATCACACACCACACACGCTCATGCCGCCATGACCTCCAAAGTACCGTGAGTAGCCTGGCTTTGACACAAAACCATCTGTGTCAAGATTTTTTTTTTTGAAAACTATAAAGCTCCACACAAAGATGCCACAGGCCTCTTCTGGCTGCAGCTGACACTCCTGTCTGTAATGCTGTTGCCTCCAGCTGCAAATGGCCTTCCAACCTGGCCTGGTAGGTTCTGCTGTGTGCATCCTTCAGAGAAGGCTCCCTAAAGGAAAGCATGATGGATGCTGTGACATCTGTGAAGATTCCTGGGGCCACACAGTGATCAGGACACAGGGAACACTCTATCGGTGGGATCTGCTTGGGTGACAGTCACTGCTTCACAGGAAGGTCCCCTTGACCTCCTTCGAGGGAGCTGAGGCTCAGTGAGATTCCTTCCCGATAGCAATTCCTCCCCTGCCATGTTCTATGTGATCTGGGGCTTGGTCCCGTGAGTTTCTTGGGATCTCCCTTTCCTGTGGGGCGGGGGCTCTCAAACCTCTTCTTTTGATAGCCGTGGAGTCTAAACATGGCGGTGACTGAGGAGGAGCTCCAGAGCCTGCAAACAATGCCGTCAGCTTAAGACCTTGTTCACAGGGATGATTTGGCTGCTCTGGGTTCACGGTGAAGTTAGCAGTGTGCTTGGGGCTTGGGAAGAACATGAAGAGGTTTGCCCTACACTTGCTGGCTGTTCCTCTATACTATTTATCATGTAATTTTAAAGGCTATTTTTTTCTTCAGCGAGGACTCAAACTCCAGAAATGGATATAATTGTGGATGACAAGTCATTACAATAATACTAATGGCAAAATCAAGTTGGGCTTTTTTTTTTTTTTTTGGACTATTTGTTATTTGCCGAATATTGGGGTTAGCATTGTACCCTGTTAGCATTAGCAGTGTTGTTTATTATGATCATCCTATAAAATACTGTTCTCACCATTTTACAGACAAGTAAACTGGGCACAGAGACCTACAGAACTGCCAAAGCCGCTTGGCTCAGAGGTGCATTTTCAACATTACCCTGTCCGTCCAGTGAAATCCCAGTCAACTGTGACCACCCAGCTGGGATGGCGACGTGGCAGCTCCAGTGCAGACTTCCTCTCCGGAGTGGGGCGTACCTGACAGGGGCGTCCCGTGGACGATGATGGCGATGCCCTTGCGGTTCTTGGCCATGCGGCCTTCGGCGGAGATGTCGACACCCATGTGGCGTGCGATCGCCCTGTTCACGGGGTTGTTGTCCACCTCTCCCACTTCGTCGGCAGAGTGGCTGTCTATGCTTTGAATCTTGTCGGCTGCAGGTTAAACATGTGTGTGTGTGTGTGAGTGCATGTGTGTGCCGGTATGCACACCCAGCACGGAAGTGGACGCTTGTGGGAACAGGGAGGGGATGTTCCTTTTAAGCACTGTTGTTTTACACTGGCAAACTCTCTAGCAGTCGCTGCCTATACACGCTTCTTTTGGATAATAATTTTTCCACAGCCACTGAAATCTTAAAATACAGATACTCTTGGCTTCTAATCCAGTCTGGGGGAATCTATCTGGCTGAATAACAGAAAGAGCGTCTGTATGAAGACAACTTTTTTTTTTTTCTAGTGGCAAAATATCAGACTGTTAGCTGAATGTGTAACATAAAGGGAAATGGCTAAATAACCAAATTTACAGAATTAACACATAGCAGCTGTTACAAGTATGACAAGTCTTAGAGGCTTCGAAACTATAGGCTCCATCTATCCTGTTGCTTGTTTTTATAAATAAAGTTTTCTTGGGATGCAACCACACCTTTTATAGATCATGTTATCTTTGGCTGCTTCTAGCTTACAGAAGTGGAGCCAGCTAGAGGCAGCAGGGACCACATGGCCTTCAAAGTCCCACATAGCTACTGTTCTACCCTTCACGGGAAAAGCTTGCCAAACTCCTGAGTTATATGGAAAGTAGTGGTCTTGGAGTGGCATCTATAACAGAAAAAAGCTGTGGAATAATCTAGGAGCATGCTGAACACCATACAGTGTCAGATACATATATGGTCACTTCAACCACACTGTTTTCTCCCCCCAAAAAACAAGGTCACACTCTTAAAAAAATTCTGTTCTGTGACTTTCTCACGTATTCCAACTTGGATAACTTTCCACAGAGCCAGGTTCAACATGAGGCACGGAGCTGGGAACTGCTGTCTTTACACTTAGTGTCACCATCACAATCCTGTTGCCTTCTCCTATTGATCTGCGTGACCAAGGCTAACAAGGGGAAGCTCACTAAACTCTTTACGGACATCAGTCACATAGCCCGGGTTTCCTAGTCCCAGAGCTGGGCCTTCTCCTGGTTTATAATGATTGGTAAGCAAGCGGCTTCTGTACAGCTGGCTGAACTGGATTTGATTTCTGAAGATGATTTTCAGCATTCCGTATTGCTTGATGGGGAAAAATGGGCTTTTAATGCTGGGAGGCCAAGGGGAGGGGCTTGTAGGAGGGCATGAGGCAGAATGTCATTCCTCCTGTTCTATCCCCTCTGTTCTATCGTGTGACTCTGAAACTCCCCCACGCTGGCTGGAATTTTGGCTTTAGAGGGGTAAGACCTTCAAATGAGGCCTTAGGCTCGGCAGAATGCAAAGAACCACGGCAAGAATTATATATCTTACACTAAGTTATCAGCAGGGTCCTGGGCTTGCACACTAAGGGGAGGGCTGGAGACCACAGCTTCCCCAAGGCAGGCATAGTGGCGGCTGGGGTGGGGTGGGGATGGGCTAGGAGGTTCAGAGGAGGAAGTTTCTGATTTTTAAAATTAATATATAAAGAGAAGAGATTTAATGTATTTCATAGGTGTAACTCTAATAAAATAACCATAATGCCTTTCTTCCTTTTCTCCCTTGTTCAATCCCCTGGAGCAAGAATTTTAATGGAGAAAAGGGACAAGGCATCAGGTGGCCTTCCCACTTCTGATCCCAGAGACCTGGTCCCCGAATGTGAAAACGCTCCATTACTTTGAAACACGATTTTTTCCAGGCTATCCTCATCTTCATCTTCATCCGGGAAGGTTTTGGAATCGGCCAGAGGGGGCCGCTCTCCCAGGTTGGATGTGGCCGAGACCCCTTGGCTGAGGGATGTCCTTTTCGTGCTGGGTGAGGTGCCCGTTTCTGATGAGAAAATATCTTCGTCTTCTGCTGGGGAGCAAAGGATCAGGTGCATGGCAGGGAGGGGAGGGGAGGGAAAAGGAGGCGGGACAGGAGAGGAAAGCCAATGAGATCATCCCTGTGCTGGCCACCATCCCCAGGCATCCAGGCCAGACAGACAAGGGCTTCCGTCGGTGGGACGCCTGGCTGTTTCTCTATCATATATCATATATGTATATATGATATCTATATACATGATATCTATATATCTATACATATATAGAGCGAGCGAGCGAGAGAGAAACACATGTGCATGTGTGAACCAGCCCCCGGGGCAGCTGATGGGGTGACAGGGCCAGAAAGGGCCAGGTTGAGAGAGTGCAATTCAGTTCTGTGGTTGAGCTTTGGCCTTGAAGAGCACAGAGGGGCTGACCTTGTTTTTATAAACTTCTGCCTCTTTTGGGGTACCAGTTTCTACCTTACATGGCACATTACTGGGTATCCTTTAGGCACACCTGTAGGAGGGGCTGGAGCAGAGGACTCTGACATGCCTGGGCTGAGGCTTATCCTAATTCTGCCACCCAAAGCCACGGCCCTGGCTTCTCTGTGCTACACTCACTGGCACAGGGGCAAAGCCCTCGGCACAGCTTCTGTGCAATGTTTTTACCTGTACCAGCTGTTTCAAAAGTCATAAAACTCCATGGCATTCCCTGTGAGCTGAATGTGCTCCCACCTCTGTACTACAAGGAGGAGAGAACACGGCCTACTTTTTCAGAGTCAACAATAAAAATATGCAGGCACTTGGCAGCTGGACTCCTAGCATCTGGCATTCAGTAATTGGCCCCACATAAGGGATTTCATTCAAACGGGCCAGGACAGTGGCTGGGACCAGGGGTTCACCCCCCACAAAGTTCTTCTCACCATCTGGTCCCAAATTGTCCAAGTATTTGGCCTTCATCTGCTCCTCTTTCGACCTCTTGAGCTCCTTGAAGTACTCGTACACTTCCACGGGCAGCTTCTCCCCTGGGTCACGCGGAGGCATCAGCAAGTTGTTGCAGGAGTCGTAGCCCTTCAGCTTTCGCAAGATCTGCTCCAGGGAAGAGTGGCAGCTGCTGCGGGCCCTGCCCTGGGTGCTCCCTGCGCCCTGCACTGACCCTGTCAAAGCCCAGGCTGCTCCCAAAGCTGTGAGTTGTTGAAAACACCTTACTGATTGCAGTGGGTGGGGCCTGTGGGAGGAGTCTGAAAGGGCTGAATTGGGAGCCTGTGGGCATGCAGGATGTTGCTTTTGCTTCATTTGAGTGTGGCCAGTTCACACGTGGAAAAGAATCTTATTTTAAAAATAATGCATGCTGCCCTTTTTTTCCCACAGTGGCCAAAAAAAAAAAGAATTTCACTATGTATTTTGAAATACCCATTTGAAAAAAAAAATTGTGGCTTCTATCAGGGAGTTTGAACAAAAGGTTCTTGCTTTTTTTCCCCTGTAACTCTGACCTTTAAATAAATAATGTTAAAATTTGTATATTTTTAGAGCCATCCCTACATTCTGGAAATCTACACAATGAAAAAGACTTTTAAAACTAAGGGGGAAAAGACAATTTCCCTGGAGGGAGAACTAAGATAAGCTCATCAGCAGGTCTACCTTGAAATAAGTAAAGGAAACTCTCCAAATGGAAAGTAAATAAAAGAAGAAGAAATCTTGGACTATAAGGAAGGAAGAAAGAGTCATAGAAAGGCACACGTAATACAATTCCCTTTCCTCTGGCGTTTTCTAATATGTATTTGGCTGGTTTGAGCAAAAAAAAAAAAATCTGACAAAGAAATATGTCAGTTATATAGAAAAGAGTGGAACGGAAAGGGAGATAAAGCTAGGGATGGCTTCTGAGTTATGCGAGAACTGGCGAAACGGCAGTGCAAGTTGATTGTGATCTTACATATGTGTACGGATACGTGTTGAACACTGACACCTGCGGCAGTACCTAATGAAGCTATAGAAGACACACGGGCCTCTGCTCACCTTCTCTTCTAGTAGGTACTGCTGGTCGAACTCTAAGGAGTAAAACTCAATGGGAAAGCTGCAGGGGTTCCTCACTACCACCTCGCCCTCGTCCCCCGGTGAGTAAGGCAGCAGCGGCCCCAGCTCCAGCACCGAGGGGCTGAACTCCAGGCGTGGCTGCAGACCTTGTCCCTGGGCCAGCAGCGTGAGTTTCTGAGCACTCTGGCCAATCTGGAACATCAGGGTTTGGCTATAGAATTTCTGGAAAAACAAAGGCAAAACAAGATTTAAATTTTTGTTGTGGTGGTTCTGGTTTGTTACGTGCAGTGTAAAAACTTCAGAATGACTAAGGGGACGAGACAGCCTGTTTAGGTGAAGAGAGAATAAAGATTGCTTGGGAACACTGTATGTATACTCCTGTATTAACCATGGGTCTAGATCTGTAGGTGACAGGTGCATGCTAGGCCTTGCACCAGGCGCTCTGTCACTTGAAGTATGTCCTATGAGTGGGGCACTCCTGTTCCTCAAGTCTGGTCACTGTACCTCGAGACTGAAGGCTCAATTCCCAGGCCGTGCTGCCCCTGGACAGAGGAGACAGAGCAGAAGCACGAAGGCAGCAATGCGGCCGGGGAGCAGTCTGCAGTTGATGGCTTGAGGTGGTTGCCATGTAAGACCCTCAGCAAGGATAATTTTCAAAATACGTACTTTGTCTAGTTCTCCAGAGTTCGCCAGAGTGAGAGCACTCAATTGGTTCTTCTGATACGAATAAATCAAGACACCGACTGAGCCATCTCCTGCTGCCTCCCAGGGTTTGCACCAGCAAGAAGACAGGCTCGGGAGCAGAGACAGAACTCGAGTCTAGACATTCTTACATGGCAGGTGGGCATCTTAGCTATTAGTGCCAACTACCTGCCCCCACTTGGCCCTTTCAAAATCAGATTACTCTTGTTATTATGATCATTATTATTTGCTGCTCAGTTGCCTGAGTTCCTTATCTTTTCTGGGTGTCAGTCTGTTGTTAAAAAAGCCGGCAGATGTTTCCTCCCCTCCTGCTGCATGTCTCATTGCTCAGCTGACTGCCTCCTTTGCTGGATGTAAATCCCAGTAGGCAGTTCTTCCTGTTGTTGCTTGTGTCTTTAGTTACAACAAAATACAGACCAACGTCGTCAAGTTTCCCTTCCATTTTCTTCTAGGAATTTCACAGGTTTGGGGCTTTCATACATTTACACTTGATTTTTTTTTTTTTAATATGGTGAGAGATAAAGGTCTAGTTTCTTTTGCCTCTGGGTAATCCAGTTTTCTCAACAACATTTATGAGAGTCTTTCCTACTCTGCAAGATAGGTTCTTGCTCCCTTAGTGCAAAAAAAAAAAAAAATACTTTGGTTGTAAATATGTTTGTTTTCCCCCCTGATTTTCTGTGTCCCCGTAGGCTGGTTTTGTTTCATGCCAGAACCATGCTGTTGTGGTTATTATAGTTTTGTAGTCTACTTTGAAGTCGACACCTCCGGACTGTGTTCTGTTGTCCTCCCTCGGGAGTACTCTGTCTATTCAGGGTCCTTTGTGGTTCCGCAGAACTTTTTTTTTTTTTTTAAGATTGATTTATTTTTATTGCAAAGTCAGATGTATATAGAGGAGGAGAAACAGAGAGGAAGATCTTCTGTCCAATAATTTACTCCACAAGTGACTGCAATGGCTGAAGCTGAACCGATTTGAAGCCAGGAGCCAGGAGCTTCTTCCAGGTCTCCCACACGGGTGCAGCGTCCCAAGGCCTTGGGCCATCCTCCACTGCTTTCCCAGGCCACAAGCAGGGAGTTGGATGGGAAGTGGAGCTGCCGGGATTAGAATCGGCACCCATATGGGATCCTGGCGTGGTTAAGGCGAGGACATTATTCGCTAGGCCACTGTGCCAGGCCCCCACAAAACTTTTATTAGGTTTTTTAGTTTCTTCTGTTAGACACCTTGATAGGAACTATGTTGAACTTGTAGACTGCTGTGGACGGTATGAGTATTCTAACAATAAATGCAGTGGTGTGGCGGTCTGGCACCTTCCCAACCTGCTTAGGGTCTGTGAGGGCTGCAGGATTCTCCACCGTCACATGTGTCAGGTACCTGCGGCCTGTGTGGAGATTGCTGGTCACCTCCTGCTTTCCCTGCTAATACTGAGCAATTTTGGTTCAGGGTTGTCATCCAGAGATGGGCAGTAGCTGCTGTTTGCCCATTTCCCTCCCACGTTTCTATATGCTCTGTGATGTCTCTGCCATGACCCCACCGTACTCTGTGGTTGATCTTAAACACTTCAGTTTGACAATTGCTTTCTTTGTTTAGGAAGTGAATTAGGCATTTCTAGTTGGCCATTTTGCTGACGTCACTCTCAGTGGTAAGTTCCAACCCTTGTTTCTTTCCCTCCCCTTCCTTTCATTTTATTGCAAGGGTAGAGATACAGAGCAAGAGGGAATTCCTCTATCCACTGGTTCACTCTGCACATGGCTGCAACGCCCAGGGCCGGGCCAGTCCGGAGGCAGGAACCTGGAACTCTATCTTGGTTTCCCACGTGGGTAGCAAGGGTTTGGGCACTCAGACCATCTCCAGCTGTTGTTTTTCTAGATGCATTAACAGGGAGCTGTATTGGAAGTACAGTATTAGGGGCTTGAACTTGTACTCACCCGAGACGCTGGAGTTCCTGGCAGTAGCTTAGCTTGCTGTGCCACAATACCAGCAGACCCTACCCCCATCCTTGTTTTCCTGCATAGAGTATTTTAATCAAACGTTGTAAGAGCTGTTACGTGTAGACATAATGGATTCTCTGGGCTGATGTTGATGGAGACGCACGTGTGAACAGAACAGGTTTTAGAACTTGTACTTGTACTTACTGTCAATAAACTCTTTCCTAATTAGTGAAAACATTAGCATCCATCAATTCCAAGTCAATCTTTATGGAACTGCCTGTACAAATCTACTTTTCCCCCTATTTTCTGACATATTACTTATTCAGCAATGGGGGAAAAAAAATCCCTTAAAACTCAAGTAAACCCTTTGACAGTCTTAAGACTCTTAAAATTGCAAACACATTATTAAGTCTTTTCAAAGGCTTGGAAAGATTCTGATAATAATAGAAACATGGGCTTCATTTTAAAATGAGATATGAAGTAATTTATTTTCCCACTTCCTTTCTACAAATTCTTAGGTAGTTCCTCAAAGCCCATTATTAGGAAGATGGGAGTTAACTGTTACTATTCTACAAAATTCACATCAGTGTTTCTTTGAATAGAGTGGAGGAAAATTCATCCTCCCAAATGCCTTGAGCTTTGAACAAGCATCTTTGCCAGGTAACTTCCTGGGATCGTTCCTGATTCTAAAGTCTTATAATTTCTGCTGTGCTGTTGGACGAGGTGGTTTGTGTTTATAATGTTTACAAAAGATGCATTTATGAGGCTTAAGCCAACTGGAGGACAGGAACTACTTATTATCACGGCTACTTAGGATAAGACTTGGGAACTGTTGAGGGGCTTACTGTACATAGTGCAGTATGCTGTGAGATTTTATTCAGCACTGTGCACCTAGTAAGTAGCTGTGGCAGTTAACGGCTTACCTGGAACTTGAGATTCTAACAAATTCATATTTTAAAGAGTATAAAGAATACATATATCCTATGAGTTACTCAAGACTTTCAGCAGGGGCCACTTTCAGCAACACATTAATATTTCTGTTTCCATTTCGGACTTTGAAATCTAAGAGTGACACAGAACAGTGAAACAGTTTCACCTCAGTTTGTTGAGCTTTTTCTGCCAGATGAATTTGGCCTCAAACTCAGGAAAATTCCCTGCCTTCTCCCCCAGTTTTTGGAACTTAGTGGACTTCAGAATTGCAAGTGAGGCTTTTTACTTGTAATATCATTATTATTATTTTATTTTAATCTGGGAGCAAACTGAGGTTTAGCAGGGCTAAGTAATCTGCTTAGAGACACTCAACCTCTACATACTCACACAGAAAGCCTCAAATGCAAGTCTGCTGATGAAAGTTGATGTGTAAGATACACCTGCTGACTCTAGTCCACTGGGTCACAGGACTCAGGTGGACTCCAAGCACTTGAGAAGGGTCACAGCAGTGGAACTCAGGCTGCTTTAAGCTTTCCTTGGTGCTCAAAGCAAGCATGGGCTTTAAAGTAAAGGCCAAGGAGAACCACAGAATCTGAAAGAAGCCACGTTGCTTTCAAGCTCACCTCTTCCTTTGGCATGAATTTCACTTGCACATTGGACTTCTCACCGGGATCCAAAACTCCAGATGTGGGCTGGATCTCAAAGATCTGTGCCATTTGCTTTAATTCAGGATGCACTTTCCGTCTCAAGTACCTTGGCATGTGTTTGTCCAGCTGGTTTACAAACATGGGTTAATTAGACCGTCTATGCAAAAATGAATTCATCCTATCCTCCACTTGGCATGAGTGACATTCCCCAAGTGTCTCTCTCAGCTATCAGGAAATGTGTACAGACTATGGGCATTAAGACTAACATGACCTCTGACGTAACTACATGGCCTGAGAGGACCTTGTGTTTGGGCTAAGATCCCATATTTAACTCAGAAGGCACCATGCCACTGAAAATCTTTGATCTGGGGTTAAAAGGATGAGAATAAACACTTCAAATTGTCATCTGGTTGAAATGGAGATGGAGAAAAAGGGATCAAAGGGCCATAGTTCACTTACCTTGCTAACAGGCTTCTGGGTGTGGACAAACCACTCACAAGGGACTTGGAGGTGATTGGAAAGCTGCACTGTTTCCACCATGCACTGTCCACACTGTATTGAGGCAAAATCCACTTTCCCACAGGACAGTGTCATATTTGGGATGGCCAGCTTGGCTTGTAGGCAGATGTGGACTGTGGGCCCTCCAACCACCTAGAGCAGGCACAAAGTTGTTACCTTGTGGTACTGGGTTGGGAAAGATGCACAGCTGCTACACAATAACCAGATTTTCCCAGGGTGGCCAGCCAGAAGAGCAGGTAAACCTGGAGGGGGGCAGGTGGACCAGTGGGGCATCTCACCTTGATGGGCAGAATGACTTCTTTGTTTCCAATAGGAAGGTTAGCCCCTTGTGGGTCAAATCTCACTTCAAATGTTTCTGTTTCACCATAAGGCAGGTTCTTTACACGATCCAGTTCAGTACTGAAGCCTGAACCAAAGCAAACAAAATGTCATTGTGAAAAAGAGCGAGTGAGAGAGAATCTGGAAAAAGCCATTGTTGGGACCGGAGGTCCACTTACAGCATCTACAAATGACCTAGCTGACCCAGCTGACCCAGCAGCAGGGTCCCAGGAGCAGGGTGGCTGCTGCCCCAGCATGGGACAGGTGGTTTTGCCATTAGCAACAATGCAGTGGAACAGGAAGGGGTCTCCCGGCCTGGGTACCTGTGTCATGGAGGACACGCTTTTCTGCATGGAACGACACGGGAAAGTAACTGGTATTGATGATCTTGATGGTGTGGGTTCGGACGTCACCAAGGACAATGTAGCCGAAATCTAGGATATACTCTGGCAGCTGGATTCTGAAACATTCAACAGGTTCTTACCTGTCTTATTCAAGCCCACAAGCCTACTTCTCCGAAAGTGAGAGAGTTACATTTTCTTCTAGCTCCAATGTACCATTTCATTTTTCAGAGAGAACAACTCATGACCATGACAATGGAGACTAAAACAATGTATTCCCCTAGGAAGTCCACACCAGTGTTTTAGCTGCTATCTTAGACTGCAGTATGGGGCTGAATGGACTGGACACAGGGCCTGGCCCTGCCCACTGGACAGATGGGGCTTAGTGCACCTAAGGGGTAGATGCTTTCCCAGCCTGCCTGATGCGAGGGCACGGCACAGTGATTTCCATTTGCAGATGATCAGCCATCATTTCGGCGTGTGCTGGGCATGGGGCAGCTCTGCTTGCTCGGCCACCCCCTGGCACCGACACACACAGGGAAGGGCACTCACTTGGCTAGCCTGCGGCGATTCCGGTGACTGAAGCACGTGTCATCCGCAGGGTCAGGAACGGCTGTTTTCTGACATTCCAGGGCATAGTTCTGGACTATAAGTCGCTCCACTTCCATCTGGAGATGAGCACTCAGCTGGAGCAAGAAGCAAAAAGCCAAGTCAGCAGATTCTTCTAGAACATGCATTCTCAAAGGAGAGACTATCACCCCCAAGGGGGAGAAAATTGACCTTTCTGGATGGTGAAAGTCTCAAGTACTGCAGAGATTTGTGGCTCTCCAAAGCAGATTTGTAGTATATTTGGATTAGCAAGTCTTCATGAGGGGGTGGGGAAGGTGCCTCCCTACCATGGAATACTACTCAGCAATGAAAAAGAAGTGAACTATTGTGACATTTTGCATGCATTATGCTGAATGAAAAAGGTCGAATCCAAAAGGCTATATATCGTGTGATTGCATTATGCAACACCTTTGAAACAACAAACGCCTACAGAAGAACATGTAAATGGTTGCCAGGACTAATGGATGTGGAGAGTGGGTGTGGTTATGAGGTTAAGCACCTGAAAACAAAACCTCAATTAAAAAATAAGATTTCATTCTCCTTGTTGAATATAAGAGCCATCTTCTTCTCTCCCTTTTCTTTGAGAAATCTTGTCGTTTTTAGTTCTTTTTCCATCTCTTTGATATTTCGAACTTGCTAGGCCAAGAAGATCTTTCCCAAGGGCCGGGGAGTCATCTCTTTCAAACACAAAGGCATCAAGGAAGATGGGGTCCCCATCTCCTAGCTCATGCCTACCAGCAGGAACCTGCCTTTGGTGGGGCTCGGTCATAAAGGGAAGCTGCCTTTCCTTGGAGTAAGCTGGCTGGCTCACGTGGGAGCCACCCCAATCACTGAGTGAGAAGAGAGATGTTGTCAAGCCTTCTTGCTGCAGGACTAGCGACTGCTGACTTCGGAATGCGACTGATCGGCTGCATGAAATGGTAGGACTTCCTTCTGCTTAGGCAGAAGCTGGCAGGTTGCCTGTGACAGCCACCATATTCTGCTTTATATCCTGTACTCAACCAGGGTTCTGCAAAACAAGCCATGGCCGGTGGCTCTGGGGCTCCTGTCCAAACCACAATACCCTCCTTTTCTGGGCAGAACCCCTTCCTAACCAGCCCAAGGTTTGTGCAGTCCCATGGACACTGCCCATGTGAACAGAAGAGCATGAGAGAAAGCAGCTTTCAGGTTTAGGAACAGCTTGTCAAGGGACGAGTTTCAGATGTCAAGGACATTTGGAGAGTCTTGCCTTGTGTCACAGCCTTCACTTAAAAGCCTCTATTTTTCCCTCAGAGACCACCTTTTGGCTGGACTCTCACATTCCTCATTTTTTTCAGACCCTGTTGCTGATGTAATTTTGTTTGTCTAGTCTTTGAGGACTCCATTCTGAATCCATTCTGTGCACTCCACATTTTAAGGAAACCGCATCACATCTGACAATTACAATGACCCTCTGATGCTTGAATCACTTTCTTTGACCCATCTCTCTTCCCCACATCCCACGCAATGGCCCTGGTTCCTTGAGGCACAGGGTTTTCATGCTCAATAACGGACCATTTGAACTGAGTTTCCTTTCTTACTCTCTCACCTAAACTTGCTGCTCCTTTGTTTCCTATCTCTGAGCTCCCTTCTTACCTTGTCAACTAACTAGGACACCTGAGCATCATCCTCGACTAACCCCCAAGCCCCATGCCATTTCCAATCAATCCCTGTTCCCTCACCATCCTACTTCTGGACACTCCTTGAGCTCACCCTGTTGTCTCTACCCTAAGCACAGCCCCGCTGCTGATATCACTGCCATCTGCCACGAGCAGAGACTCCCACATGGACGCTCACCAGCCCCCAGTCCCCACACCCACAATTCATCAAAGCCAACAAAGCATCAAAGTGGCTCCCCAGTGTTCCTAGGATAAAGTCCCAAGCCTATGGCGGGTCCTGTGGGAAGTGACACATTTCTCCAGGCGCACATAGCCTCCATCACCTCTCTGCTTCTTCGCCTTTGCGGTTCTTGCTTGCTCTTCCCTGCTTCACACTTCTCCCCTGCTGCACGCTCTGTGGTGGGGGAACCCACTCTTACCTTGGTAGACTCATCCTCAGCCATTTCTTCAGCCAGTATCTCAAAGTGATCCAAGGTTTCACATTTGCTGTACTCCTTCTCTACGTTTGCTCTGGCCTGATTCAAGAAGGTTTCGTACTTTTCAACACCTGTGGCGGTCGGAAGGAGAAGGGAAACAGGATCGTCAGAAAAATACAAACTGAGCCCCAGACACAGACTCTAAGTGCAGGGTGAAGTGAGAAGGGACGTGAACTGTCTGCCACTTCAGCTGCCAGGATTCCTCTCTTGTAGAGGGTGAGGTGATTGGTGAGTAGCTGGATTTGTATCTGAGTTGATGCGGCCACACAGGAACTTGGAGATAATGATTGGCATGCTGACCATCTGGATTCCAGCTTGCTGGGCACTTCCCTTGGTCCTGCTCTGAAACCCCACACCCTGGCACCCCTGCAATGATGGACAGATGAGGACAGGTGGATATTCCTTTTCTGTTGTGAAAAGTCAGTTTTCACATTGAATACAGCTCTGTTTACAAAGTGAATTTGAGTCAAAGTTGTTTTTTTTTTTTTTTTAAAAACTAACTCTAAATGTGCCACAACATCCTGTATCAGGGAGGCAGGCAGTCGGTAAGAAGATGATAACTACTCCAGTATTAAGCCAGCGCAAATTTTCATGCTTTAATGATCAAGGGCAAAGGAATTCAAAAGCCTGTTACAAAAGAATAAAGGAGCTTATCATAAGCAATTACAAAGCCAAGTAAAAACATGAGTAGCCATCAACCTTCAAATAAGCAAAGCAGAAACACATGCTGTGTCCCTCAGTGGGGAGATACCACAGTGGGTGCACAAGTACCTCTGAGATTCCTGGGGAGATCAAGGCTGATTCGAGGAAAAATTCCCTCTCCACTGATGGTGATGTGTTCTGGGTCCAGGTGGGCAATCTGGATCTGGAAACTTCTTTGAAATACCTCAGGTACTCCAGGTAGGTAGGAAATCTTCAACACCTGCTCATCATGCGAACCGATAAAGCCCTAGGCAGTAGAAAGACCAGCGAGAACTCTAAAACATACAAATAAATCTCTGGTTTGATGAACTAAGTCATCTCAAAAGAAAATTTTCTTGGTTATTCTCCACTCACACTCCTCCCCAACGACCCATTCTTATGAAACTACAAGAAAAATGACAAGAGAAACAAAAAAAGAAACAATAGGCAACATTTCATAAAAGACAAAACATAACAGCAAATAGGAACAATAAAAAAGGGCCCGCACCCGTAACTCAGCAAACTAAGGCCACAGCAAAATATTCACAAACTGTAAGATTGATCCTTCTTTTTTTTGGCAACAAAGGAAACTCCCTGCACATCCGGTGGGGAATAAGCACAGAGAATGTCCACACTGTTTTAATAAGTTGAACGCACACGTACACTATGACCCAGCTATTCCACTCCTAAGAAAAGTCACAGGAAAATTCTCTCACTGGTGGTCCAGGAGTTGTATAAAGGATTATAGTAGGATTGTTATACTAGTGAACAGTTAGTATAAAAAAAAATCAAATTTACTTTCAAGAATATTTAGTTAGAAAAGGAATATTATTCAGTAGTGGAAATAAATGAACCACATTTACATTGACAGTGTTGACAAAGATTATAAAACAATATGGAGTGGGGAAAAAAGCCTAAACACAAAAGACTATATTTAATGATATCATTTTTTAAAAAAGATTTATTCACCTTTATTGGAAAGGCAGATTCATAGAGAGGAGAGACAAAGAAAAAGATTTTCCATCTGCTAGTTTACTTCCCAAGTGGCCACAATGATTGGAACTGAGTCAACTTGAAGCCAGGAGCTTCTTTTGGGTCTCCCACGTAGGTACAGGGTCTTATGCCCCTGGGCTGTCCTTTACCACTCTCCCAGGTCACAAGCAGGGAGCTGGAAGGGAAGTGGAGCACCCAGGATATAAACTGGTGCCACATGGGATCCTGGAGCATGCAAGGCAAGGATCTTAGCCACTAGGCTACTGTGCTGGGTCCAATGATGCCATTTTTATAAAGCTCAAGATAAAGCAATACTTCATAAAACAAAAATTGATAAATAAGTGCTTAATAAGAAAGTGGTGTGACCTCAATTTATTTTTTTACTGCTTCTGAGTGTATTTCAGTTTTAATTAGAAGAACAAAAGGAAAGGAAAGGAGTCCCGTGCACACTCGTGGCAGTGAAGGCTGGCAGTGTGGCTTGTGGGACGGACCCTGGGCTCCTGCTGCTGCAACTCACCGAGAAAGGCTGGATGAATGGCACTCCAGGCAGGAGGACTTCGGGTGAAGACTGATGGTCGGTCAGGACCTTGAAGTCAAAGCCGACCTTCCCGAGGTTTGTCAGCCTGATTTCACGCTCTGTGACGTGGTCAAACAGCTGGGGAGAAGACGGGGAGGAGTGGTGGCACCTGCTGCCACCTGACGAAGGTGAGCGACAAATGTGCCTCACAGGCGGGTGTTGGCTCTTGTGAAACACACACTGCAGCATGCGTGTTCCAGGACCCCAGAAAGGCACCAGCAGCAGCAAGAAGGGGACCCCTTGGCTCTGCAGACCTGGAGGACCCGGCTCTCGTCTGGTGAGGCAGGGGACAGTGGGGTGCGAGCCTTTCAGCCCTCTGCCGCTCTGCGTCTTTCACCACAGGAATATGTCTCTGGTAGAATCTTGGAAGTCCATTTTTTAATATGCCAAGACTTCCCTTTTGAATTTTATCTCGTAAGGAAAACAATAAGTTTTGAGGCCAGAATGTTCTGGGCTGAATTTTTCCATTTGTATGAGAATGAAGGGTGTCATAGGCCAGTTATGTTCTTTTTCCTAGTCCTGTGTTAACATAATTCACCAGTTACGTTAGCCAACTCAACTAACCACAAACCAAGTCCACTGCAGGGACCCTCAGGGCCACCTAGGGCAAGGATGAGCTGTTTTGAAATATCTACCCAGAGATGAACCAAAGCCAATTGTCCAAAGGACCCTGGAGATAATGAAGGAAAGAGAATTCTATTTGGTCAACACGGATGTTGGGTCAATTTGATTTTAGGCACAATAATTATAGACATAGGATGTGAGTCAATAATTATTCATGTAGTAGCCACATTCTGGGCATTCAATCCTGCTTAAAAATTTCTAGATATGGTATTTGAGTACCTTATATGAAATATAATTGGGAAGACCAGTTGGCTAGACAGAATTACTAATGGCTATTTCAAAACAAAGATGAGAAAGTATATTATGTTGTGGTGAAGTCCATGCTTCAAATGCTAAGGGTTTGTGAAGTGGTGGGATAACTGGGATGCAGCTGAGCTGTGTCTCATAGCATGCACAGGCTTGACGCTGGCAGAGCGGAGGATAACAGGGACAACACAAGAGAAAGTATGGCGCCAGGAGAGGCTGGGGGACATTAGGGCCCGTCAGTAAACCAGCTTGGTCACAATTAAACGAATGGGCTATGATGGGGGCTTATGAGAAATGAACTGTGTAATGAGCATCACTTAATAAAGGGTCTTAGCATACCCTTACTCACGTGCAAGAAGATGGCTCCCACTGGACAACAGAGAAAGAAACTAATACATGCAGGCCTACTCTACCACAACATAGCATTGACCTGATGCTTCACTTAAGACATGGCTAGAGGCTTTAAGCAGTTGGCTGATGCACCCAAGGTCACAGTCATTGTGAATTAAACAGGATGCAAAATCATGGTCTTTTCTCAATGCCATGTTATTTTTCCAAATGCTTCTGGGAATATCTGCTCAGTCAGAGGACTGATGGGATGAAAAAGACAATTGGGAGAAGACCTTACCTGGCAATGATGCTTGGATGGATCAGTGAAGGGTGCTATGAATACTCTGCAACCCCTCACATGAAGGGGTCAGGGAACCAGCAATCTCAGGAACCCTGGGGACTTGTTGGCAAAGCAAACTCTCAGACCTTGTCCTGGACTGACGGAACCAGAGCCTGTACTTGGACAATATTCTGTGTGATTTGGGTGCATACTACCGTGTGGGGGAACTGCTGTGATAATCTAGGCAGGACTTGATAAGACCCCCTGGTGTGGTTATAGGATGGGGATGCTGACCGGGGGAACAGACTGGGAGGATGCTGGGGACAGGGCCAAAGGACAGAGCCCTATAAGAGGTGAGAAAATGGTAGTGCAATGGAAAGGACAGAGAAAGTGGGAAGGATTTGTGCATTAAAAAGGAAGACACAAACTTCAGCATCTGACATGGAGAGCTTTGGGAGATGGAGAGAGAGTAAGCAAACATTTCTGGCCAACAGCTGGCATTAAGAGATTAATCAGAGGTATGGAGGCTGACCAGGGATCAAAGACAGGGTAAAGGTGATTCTGTGATGAACAAAGGCTTGGAAGGGAGGCAAGGAAAAGGACCAGGGCTCATAACCACAGTACCTGCAATCCGTAGTTAATATCTGTGGTGTCAAAGGAGTAGTTGATTATGGATGCCTCTCCTTTTAGTGTTATCTCATATGTGGGCCCTTCTTCCACCTTGCACAGTGCCTTGGCCTGGGCCACGATGTCACAGTGCCCGTAGAAGGTGAAAGAGATCTGATGGCTGCTGTGTGGCTGCAGCACTCCGTACAGGGGCAAGATGTCAAACACCTGTGGAGGAGAAAGCCATTCCACATGAGGACAGCTGTCAGCATGAAGGGCCTGTCCAGAGGGGAAGCTAAAATCTTGCCAGCAGCTAGATTCCTAACTCCTTTGCTTGACCAGAGACAAAGCACCCCCAAATATATAGGATGGCAACATGATTTCATCACAGTGTTCCAGTGAGACTGAAGCTTCCAAAACGTGGGGACTCTGTTGGAAGAATCAGGGTCCAGGAGGCGGTACTTACTTCTTCTATCCCGATGGAAAGTATGTCATCCCGTTCAAGGATCCACAGGGATTCTGGACAATCCATTTGGCTCTGGGTCCTTTCTGTTTCGGCAGAGCAAGGCTTTACTCCCTGGGAAGTAAAGATGCAAGGAGAATCTAGCAAGCATTCAGAATGGGTTGCCAACATGTTCCTCCTGATGTGTGTGGTCATAAACATCGCTCATATAGATATTTTTCTTCTTAGGGAGAAGTACCCAAAATGTATGCATAAGGATGTTGAATGCGGTTGCATTTATGATGGAAGGATCCTGGAAGCAAACTAAATGCTCATCAATAAGGAATCACTTTTGGGAAATGCAATGTGAGTTTTAGAGTAGGAATGGTGTGCCCAAGATTACTGAGTGGCAAAGCAGTTTCCGTCACATCAGACTACACCCATGCCTCATGTGCCTGGAACTGTGAGCTGTGCAGGTCCGTTCAGAGACCATCACATGCAAACAGCATTTGCCAAAAATGCTATGGTAGCATTTTTCTAGAGTGATGGGATCTTGATGTTTTAATTTCTCCATATTCTCCAATTTTCCATGAGAAATTTGTTTTCCAAATAGTGTAAGAAGAATTCACATTTAGAAGGCAAATGTTTTCCTTGTTCCATTCCTGCATTGTAAGGAAAAAATTATAGAAAGCTCCACAAAAAGAAAAATCAGCTGTTACATAATATGGTAGATGTCATGCGTGTCTCTATGCACTGTGCACATACATGACAACATGTATACACAACGGTATTCTGATTTTTGGTCGATATTATAACATTAGCGTCACCTTCTTCCAGGGACTGGAGAGTATTTATAAGCATCAAGTGAAAGACTAAAAACCAGACAATACACATGTACAGTGCAAATTTAAAATTATTCAACAGTCTGGTAAAAAGCACAAAATTCCTGTGCTGTTTCCTGAGTAGCCACTGTCCAGCTTCTTGAATATTTCAATTCATTTTCTCTTCACTCACAGTATTTATCAAGGGCTTTACTATGAATTAGTTCTAGATCCTAAAGGGGTAATGGAGAACAAAACAGAAAAGAATTCCCTGCATTATGAAACACATATTCCAGAGATACCCCCACGCAAGAGCAAACACATCTGCCTAACTCTCTGGGAGGTGATACAACGCAGTGGGTAAGGGCCACGGGCCCAGCTCCCGCTGCATGGATGTGGCCCTGGTTGCTAAAACAGGAAAAATCACAGCATTCAAAACATGGCACTACGTGGAAGGCAAAAGAGTACAAAAAAAGAGAGCCAGGGGCAGTTCAAAGCTCACGTAAGGGCTAAGGAAGTCTTACTTGCTTTTATATACTTTTTTTTTTTCTGTGACATGATGTTAGCTCACTCTGCATAGTTTTACACTTAGTAATTTTTTTATTAATTACATCAGAACTTATGACAAACTGGCAATATGGAGAACGTCCTCATGTCTTTCAAGAAAGGACTTTCTCATTTTAATGTATTTGCAGATACAGTCTCTGTTTACCCACTGCTCTCCCATCAGTGCAATTAAATTGTTTCCACTTTTTCTTGTTTCTATAAATAAAGTGTATAAGTATAGCTTCACATCTTTATATAAAGGCGGAAGTGTACTTGGAAGAACTATAAATTTTGCATTTTGATCTATTTGCCAATTGGGTATCATATTCCTGCCCACAAAGTCTATAAAATGCCTGCTCAAATTTTTTTTTTTTTGCTGCTACTAACATAGCCACTATTCTAAAAGACTGTAATATCATGGAATACAGCAACTTATTTTTTCATTATGTCTTCAATTTCTAAATTATGTTTCTAATAACACACATCTTGGTATGCAAATCTTCATGAGAGAATTGAAAGGTATGAGTTGTTGAACTCTCCTGATCTCTTTGTGTTTACTGAGGAAACATTGAGAAGAATTTCTCTCCTTCGGTAACCCCCATCTCATGGGTAGCAAGAGCACAGGACCACCAGGCTTTGAAATCTGTGTGGTGAGGTGCCCTGATCTCTCATGGAGGTGCTGGCTGTGGGGTGTTTGGTTGGGACCTGGTGAAGAGAAGAGGTCTGCCCCCTTATCTTAGCCCAATCCAAGTTTAATCCCAGCATTGCACCTGCCACTCTATCTTCATTGCATGTGAAGGATTCCCCACCCCAACTTGCCAACCCTCCTGAGGGAAAGGGACCTGTACATCTGAGATGGTGGTGAACATGTTGTTCTTTCTGGGTTCTCCTTCTTCAGGGCCGTCGTCATCGTCTCCTAGCGTGGTCCTGGGGGTTTAGTGAGATGCGGAGAATCACTTGCATGGCAGAGCCACCCATCTTCCCCGTCCACTCTGCCACACCCCAAGGACAAGTGCCCTGTTGCCTTCTGCCCCAAATGTGTTACCTATGACAATGACTCGGCCAAGCACGTTTTATCTTGGACCATTAAACCTGTGTCCAAATTGCAGAAAGTCCTAGAAAGCTCTTGCAGCTGTTCAGATCATTAGAATGCACTGCCATTTTTGGGAACATTTTCCTAGGAGGATGTAACACTGGGTGAACTGTTACATCTACTCTGCTCATGACCCTGGGTCCAACTGTGACTGCAGACCTCGGGCGTACATACGGAGAGAGCAGCAAGATAGGGAAGACTTAGTTCCCCAGGGTGCAGGACTCTGCACTCTTGTGAGAGCAGAAATAACTCTCAGCTCTCTATTCCAGTTGCCTCGCCCGGGCCTAACACATGAAGGGGCTCATTTTACTGCTGACTGGTGAACTGATGGCCGCAAGGACAATGGAGGATGAATACTGAGGATGTAAAAGTCAGCACATAGGAAGAACACCATAACAGAACATTTGTGTTGGCCTTGCACTTACTTGACAGAATCACTTAAATCCATCTCGGTGGACTCTGTGGTCGCTGGGGCTGCTGCTAGGCTGGCAGATGTTGATGTTACTGGGATGGATTCTATGCGGGACAGGAGGTTACCGAGGGGTTTCCTCGGCCATGTCACAAACCTACAAAGGAACACATGGGCAGGGATGAAGGGTAGGCACAAAGGGACATAAGCACACATCTACTTTTGCAAATCACCCCATGGTAGCATTTCTGTTTCCAAGGCTTCCCTTGGATTTGTTGTCTTTGAATTTTACTGTAGCTTCCCTTGCCCTGAAGCCTTTTCTGACCACGCCCTGGAGTTGACCATGGAGCCTGGCACGGAGAACATCTGACCTTGCCTCCCATAAGACTGTAACCCCAGTGCCTTGCTCGCCACACGTAGGCACTGAGCCCATTGGTGAGCTCGGCTGGTGTTGAAGCCCACTTTCAGGGCTGACTTCCAAGGCTTTATGATGTCACAAAGGTCATTCCTAGTCTTCCTGTTTTCCTCACAGCCTGAATATTTTTCTGGGCTCCTTGCCTCCCCCCTCCTCTCACTGTTTTACACTCTTGACAGCAATTTCAACCCAATTTCACAACTATATTCACTCTGCCTCCCTGTGTACATGGAGCCTTAGCAGAAAAGCCATCCGGTGTTAGACACTCTCACCACTGTCCCATCTTTCCATAGGGAGAAGTTTTTCCAAAATTTCACAGCATTTCACCTGTACTTCTTCTAGGACACTGTCCCTCTCCACTCTGTCCTTGAATTTTGTTTACTGAACTGCAGGCTTTCTACTGCCACATTGAGCATCACCTGATAAAGCCATTTGGTTGAAGAATAGTTTATTCAGACAATACACTCATTGAAAGCATGCAGTTTGAAGATTTTGTGCACACACACACCAACACACACACATGACTACTTGAGAAAGTTCATGGATGGGGCTGGCACTGTAGTGCGATGAGTTAAGCTGCTGTATACAATACTGGCATCTCCTACGGGTACCAGCTTAGTCCCAGATGCTCCATTTCCAATTCAGTTCCCTATTAATGGCCTGGGAAAGCAGAGAAAGACAACCCTGCCACCATTGTGGGAAATCTGGAGAAAGATCTTATTCCTTGCTTTTGGCTTGGTTCAGATAGGCTATTGCAATCATTTGAGACGTGAACAGGTAGATTAAATCTTTGTCTCTTTCTAACTCACTGTTTCAAATACAGATACATTTGAAAAATTTTATGAAGAAATCAGAATGATGTTTATTTTGGTAAAGTGGTTGAAATATATGTATGGCTTTTATAATATGCATTTCTATGAACTTAAAAAATGTGTTTATTTGAGAGCGAGAGAGAGGAGAGACAGAGTCCTCTCAATTGCTAGCTAGCTCCGCATGGCTCTGCATGGTTCACCCACGATGGCCCCCGGCTGGGGCTGAGCTGGGAGCCCAGGACTCAGCCCAGGTGTCCTGGGTGGTGGCAGAAACACAATAACTTGAGTTATCAACACTGCCTCTCAGGGTCTGCATTAGCAGGAAGCTGCAGTCGGATATCCCATGCAAGTTCTCCAAGTACAGGACGTTAGTGTCTTAACCGCTATCTTAATGAATGTTTGAAGCACTCTTGTTTATATGCCTAGGTCACTGCTCCACATTAATGAACAGAATTCTCCTATCAATCTAAAAAGCTCCCTTGTACAATACTTATTCTATCTCAAGTCTCTATAGATTATATTTGCATGCAACTTCACAGAAATGGAATCAGCAATATGTACTGTTCTATGTATCTGGCTTCCTTCACTCACTGTAAAGTTTTGGAGATTCACCATGTGTCATGGAACCAAAGTCTGCTTTGTATTTTTTTTTTAACTGAACAGTAGTCCACAGTGTGGATATTTATCCATCTGGTTGATGAACACATGGACTGTTTCCAGCTTTTGGATACTACTCATAAAGTTGCTATGAGTATTTGTGTATAAGTCTAGGTATTTGCTTTTCTTCTTTTTAAGTTTCTTGGAAGGGGAATTCCATGGCCTAATTATGCTGGATTATATCACATACTTATATGCAGTATTATAGGAAACTTGTTGAACTGTTTTCCAAAGTGCATGTACCATTTTATACCACCACTTGTAGTACATGAGAATGCTGGCTGGTCTGCGCTGCTATCCACTCCTGGCACTCTGTGTTTTTAATTTCAGCTATTCAAATGATTACATAATTATAGTATATTGCAGTGTTCATTAACTGAGTTATTTTAAAGGAAAATTTTACATCCACATTGTAAGAGAAAACTCAATATTACCTCCCACTGGAAAAAAGCAAGGGAAAAATATTTTTTTCTTTCCTGGTAGCGGTTCTGAGCTAAACCTTGCTTGCTCTTTTAAAAAGGATGAGAGTTTACTTCCATTCTGGAAAACGCGGGGCTTGCACCATCTGTGTCTGGGTTTCTCACCTTACAGAAATGTGATCTAGAAGGGAGGCTCAATGGTGTCTCCTCATCACAGCCCCTTAGCACAGGCTCTAATTCATAGGCCATGAACTCAATAGATGTTTGGTTGATTGGATAAATGGATGGAAGGACGGAGGGAGGGATGGATGGATGGATGGATGGGTAGGTGTGGACAGGCAAATGATGGATGAGCAGGTAGCTGAATGAGAACTGCTAAATAACATGGAGGGTGATTCAGCCATTCCCTATTCGGGTCCTGTTGAGATATCGCCAGTTGACATTCTCTTGGCTGAAATCACATGATTCTGGGTAAAAGATCCATGTTATACCAGGTGCTGTAAAATCTACTGGAAACCGTTTTAGAAATAATGATACCTGGACTCCATTTTGGGTAGATTCTGATTTGACAGGTTTCAGGTAAATCTAACAAATGGCCACACTGAAGAGTGGTCATGGGTAGGAATGGCAATCTGACAGCTGAGAGTGGAACTGATAATTAATGTGGAGTTATCACTTGCAGCCTTACCAAATAGAGACACTGAAAACCTGCACAGCACAAATTCTGAGCACTTATTAAATCACCCCATGTCAGCAGAGAGGCCTGGGGAGCCTGCTAGGATCACTGCCCCACATAACAGCATTTTCTCACCCAACATGTGCACCCCATTGGATGTCGTGCTGAGGGGGGGTGGAAACAGGTGGGAATATCTATAGAGGAAAAACACCAAACAGTACAGCAACACATGTGGGGAGACATAACACCTCCTGACAATGATACCTGGACAGCAGGGAAATGAAAGCTCTCTGGAAACCAAGGGCTGGCACAGCCCTCCCTGCTTACAGTCTGAGTTGCAGCTCACGGTGAATAAAACCACAAAACTGGTCCTAAAACTGAACTTGAATATTGGTAGAGTGTTCTGGATAAGATCTCATTTTTTTTTTACCCTCAGGAACAGGTGACTGCTTTCTGATTGGGCAGACTGACTGGATTAGATTGGGTTATTTAAAAGACAGAACATGTAGCAAGTAAGGAAAATCAATACTGCTCAAATTCTATGGTCATTGGAGGAGCCAGGAGAAGACCCTTTCCCTTTTAGAATTGAGGGAACATCAGACACCTGCTGACCAGCAGCTGGGGATCAGCAGTTTCTCTCTTCATGTTTTGCTGTGAATTCTTGGGTAAGGATCAATAGAGAGAGAGAGAATACATACATACATTGCTGTAAGCTTTAAAAAACTCCACCACACTTATTTCTCTTACTTCCCTTCACTGGAAGCAGTGTTTTGGCAGAACAAAATCCCAAGAACAAGCTTGTATGCAGCTGAATATTATGTGTTGAGGCTGGCATGGTATTTGCAGATGTGCGTTGGACATCCCTGGAATCCGTGCAGGTCTTGAAGAATGGGGTGGGTGGCCACCTTAAAGCAGACACAACCCCTTCACTGGTTCATTGATTTGGATGCTGGGAGTGTGTACTAAACAGGGTGGAAACTGCCACTGGCTAGATGAAAAGGCCCGGCATATGCCGTCCAATGTGTTTTCAGTTTAGTGGCCATAGCAGATGCTGTTCGTGTGTTCTCTAGATACACTTGACTACAGTGCTGCATCTCTCTTTCCCCCAACCCCAGATGCCACTTCACTTTTCTCTGGAGCATTGTCCTGGCCTGATGGGAGCTGCTTCATCTATCCTGCTGAGAGGTTCTGCCTTCTTCCCTTGAAGTATAGCCTGTGGGCAAAGAACTGGCTGACCGTGGTGAGGGCTGTTCCAGCTGTCTCCCATGTCTGAATTGGACCAGCTTTGACGCAGTCAACACTCTTGTGCTTCCAACAGGGTCAGGTAGGTGCTGCATGTCTGAAGTCCTGTCTCCCCTTCTAGTCCCACTTCAGTCACCCCTACCCCAAACACTCTGTTGCTCCTGATAACCTCTCAACAAATAATCACAAGCACCACTTCATCAGGCCACTGATTTTGTGTTTCTAAAGGGAGTAGACTGTAATCATGGTTTTAAATTCTGTTAAAAGTGGCAAATTCCGAAGCTCCCCTCTGAGCACAAACTTCATAGTTCCTGCTATGTTTCCTGTTTATTGCCTGGATTTGAGATCTTATGCTTGCTGATTTTCCCACATTGGTAAGCAAATGACAGACAGAAACAGATGGGCCTGGCCCAGTGCCTTGCCTGCCAGCACATTCTAGCTCTGCCACGGGAGAGGGGAAGCCAGTGACAGACACATGCACCCATTGTGGAAAGCAACCTGTCTCCTAGCTCCAATGCATTATTATGTTTGACAGAACTTTCAACTGGCCACCTGTGCTAAGACAGAAGTTCTTAAGAGATGACTGAGCAGGTGAAACTCAAATTACTTAGACTGTAGAGGTGGAAATCATATTTCATCTATTTACTTATTTATTTTATTAAATGGCGAGGGGGGTGGGTGGATGGGGGAGAGAAGGAATCTTCCATCTGCTGGTTCACTCCCTAGATGGTTGCAACAGTCAAGGCTGGGTCAGGCTGAAGCCAGGAGCCAGGATCTCCATTTCCCATGTGGATTATAGGGTCTCAAGCATTTAGATAACCATCCACTATCTTCCCTGGAGTATTAGCAGGGCCTTAAATTGGAAGTAGAGCTGACATTCTGACATGGGATGCCAACGTTAAAAGTAGTGGCCTAATGCACTGAGCCACAGTGCTG